GCTCGACGTCTCGCTCGGTATCTCCTCGATCTCCGACGGGCACACGCTCGCGGTGGCGAAGTCGGTCGCCTTGTGCTCACTCGGCGCCGCCGTCTCGTACTCGCTTGGGATTGTCGGGAAGGATTTGAATGATGCCGTAGACGGCGACGACTCGGGAGTCGCATAGTCCGTCGCAGGCGAGGCTGTCTTGAAGGACGTCGCCTGCGATGCAGTCAAGTACCTCTCCGAGTCTGAGGACTCTGTCCCCGACGACAGCTCGGAGGACGGCTTGATGGGGATGCGCTCGCTCTCCGAAGTCGACGGGTCGTAGCTGAGGCTGTACGACCCACTGTACGAAGACGAGTACAGCGTCATGTGCGAGAAGTCGGAGGAGTCGCAGACGTTGTAGCCGGTCGACGTGTAACTGCCGGTTTCTGGTGCGCTGCCGCTGCCGCTTCCACTGCCACTACCACTTCCGCTCCCTTCCGTCTGCGTCTGGCTGTCGCTCGTGTAGCTTCCACTCCCGTACATGTAGCTGGATGCTGTGTAGCTCCCGACGCCGCTCGAGTTTTCCTTGTCGCTCATCTCCTCGCTGCCTGGACCAGAAGTGTACCCAGACGAAAACGTCGCCGTGGACCGACCACCGCGACGCCTGACCTCCCGAGATCGGACAAGCGAGGGCGATGTACCCGAGAACGAAGAGGAGCCATCGTGCGAGTCGCCCAGCAAAGAGTTGGACTCAGTGCGCGATGTTCCCGAGGTCGTCAAGCCAGTGAAGGAGCCAGTTCCATAGGAAGTGCGCGTGTAGAAGGAAGACAGAGCGCTCCTGCTCTCGTCGGACGAGGCTCCCTGCGAGAAGAACGTCTCCTCACCGGCTTCGCTGGCAGTGCCCCGGCTGCTTGTTTTGTCGCTGGCGCGGGCACTGGGAGGGGGCGTGACGAAGACCTCGCGGCCAAGCGACGGCCCACTCGAGATGGTGACGGGACTAGCGAAGCGGGCAGAGTCGCGAGGACGACTTGTTGCGTTGGTGAACTCCTCGTCGAGGTCGGTCATGGAGCCGGCTCGGCGAAGCAGGCTGCGCCGGCGGCTTGGAATGACACGAGGGTCTCCAGGGTACACGTAGCCATCGCTCGAGATGACTGTGTCGTCGACTGTGCGTGCGTGGTGCGACGACACCAGCGAGGAGCGGCGCGACGCGCCAGATGATCCAGACAACTGGGTGAACGTCTCGGTCGGCTCAGAGATATCGTGCAGAGTCGACAGCGGTGGAATGAACACGGTCGACCGCGAGCCATTGCTCGTGACGCTGCTTGCGGAGTCGTATGAGTTGTACGACCTAATGGTACGCAGAGAACCAGTTGGCGAGCGGGTGATCGACGAGCCTTGGGTGGTCACCGGGGTGTTGACAGCCTCCCTGTACGAAGATGAGCATTATGCCTATATGGACAGCAAAAGACGTACCATAGACGGTTCACCCATCTCTGTCTCTCGAGAAGGCTCTCGGCGGCGAGACGTTCCACGCCATCCGCGTACATCATGTGGAAGGGGACCAGCATCTCCATGAGTGGCTGGCCATCCCGTTCCGCGCTTTGCAGTCGAGCCGCGATCGTCCCAACATCTTCCCTAGCAGACGGATGCGAAGGGCTTGGAGCACTCGACACATCCGTGCAATTCTGAAGGTCCAGCCCAACAATGCCACGACCACCTCCGGGAGCAATCCACGAAAGAAGCAGCATATGAGGGTATAGTAGTGCCTGGCACCGTTGCCACCTGTACGGAGGCTCCGAGTGAACGTTCAGATACCAGAGCGAACCTATGTGAAGCGGCTGTATAGAGCATGATTAGTGATTCGCCTGCATTCGTGGAACTATATGCTCACCGGCTCGTTGCTTGAGGTAAACGGCGCCAGCTCAGCGGCGTCAAAACCAGGCGGCAGTACTCCGCTGTGACCACTACGGATGCTCCCCGCGTCTGGAGTCGGGGGCAGATCTCGGTTAACATCAGGCTGCCCGGGAGCCGCCCTCCGACGCATCGCAAAAAGTCCTTCTTGGCTGCCACCAGGAGTGTTCGCCTTCCCCTCCTCCGCTCCTGGCTTGTTCTGGTTGCGGTCCTTCCATAGTGCAACAATGTTGCGAACAGAAGCAAGCGGCGACCTCGGGGAAGCTTGCGGGCGGCGGAGTGTCGTATTCGTCGGCGTAATCGTGGTCCCAGTATCTGTTGCGGTTTGCATAGGCGTCAAAGTGTTCGACACCGTGTTCGTGAAGGTCCCCGACTGCGTAGAGTAATCGGGGCTCGTGGACCGCTCGGACCCTGATCGTGTCCAAGTACGTGTATCGGCCGCGCTGGAAGGACGCGTCGGAAGTTGCGACGAAAAAGCGGAGCGGCCGTACGACGTGGTGCTCTTAGTAGGAGAAGATGGGCGCGAGCCGTACCCGTACGAGCTTCCGTAGCCGTATGTGGACCCGTAGCCAGACTGGGACTGGGTGGTCGTGAACGGGCTCAGGGCACGTGGGCCGCCAGGAGCAGATGTCGTCCGAGTGTGACCAGGACTCTGCGTCTCGAACTGCGCAATGAGTGCGTTGGCTCGACCGGGCGGTGGAAGCTCGCGCGCGCCCGGATCAGTAGAGGAGCGCGAATGGGCAGGAGAGCCGGTGCGTGGAGTCGTCGCTCCCAGGAAGGCGGAGCGACGGGCGGCCTCTGCTTGACGGACAGAAAACGCGCCAGACGTCGGGCGTGACTCTTCGGTCCGCTCGGTGATCCTGCTCAGGCGCAAACGAGGATCGGCGTAGCTCCGCGGGCCAGATGTGGCCGTCTGCGACTGGGTCTGTGTGACGCTGGGGAGAGAGCTTGAGCCACTGAAGTAGGAGGGCGATCCGTACGACTGTGAGCCCGAATAGCCCGTCTGCGAGCCCGAGTACCCTGTCTGCGAGCCTGTATAGCCAGTTTGAGAGCCGGTGGTGTAAGATCCGGTGCCCGTGTAGCCCGTCGTGTAGGAGGGGGAGTATGATGTGTATGAGGGGGTTGGGCCACTGGAACCAGACCACTCGGTGAGCGCCTGCTCGGTCTCGTCGAGCTCGTTGTCGAGGTTATTCAGCGTCTCTTCGACCTCGTCGAGGGAATTGCCTTCGGTGTATTCTTCGTGATCATCGCTCGGCGCAGGGGAAACTACGATGCGCCGCATCTGTCCCCGAGAGGACGCGTCGTCTTCGGTCGCAGATCGACGGGAGTCTGTAAGAGAGGTCAGAAAAACTGCTGGGGATGCGAGCTTGAGCGAAGTGACCTGAAGTGTAGCTGTACTCGGATGGGGTACGTCTCGAAAACTCGGTGGATTCGTATGTCGGCGAAAGCGTGCTGTACGCCTGTGAGGTCGGCGACGTTGCCGACCTCGTGTAAGTGTAGTCGCTGGCCATGTTCAGCAGCGAGCAGACATATCAACACGGCAGGAAAACGGCAAGAATGATACGCCTCGAGCCTCGAGGCAACGAAATCAACGAACGGCGCATCATCATCACGTGGGCGCTCTTACCTTAGGGCAGGCTAAGTCGCGTCGGGTCGCGCCTTCGTCGCTGTCGCTGACGACAATGAAGCTGTAGGTATTCGCGAGCATAATGAGGGGAGAAGGAGGAAAGAGGTAAGGTTTTCTGGTCGTGAACAGGTCTTTATGCGCGCGGAAACAAAAGCATTCTGGTTCCGAACGCGCTTCCCTCCCCAATATTTCCCTTTTCTGGTGCTTCGCGAGCTTGTTTGAAGCATCCATCAATGTCCGCAAGCCTGCGCAAACACAGACGATCTCCGCGGATGGTTCTGGTATCTCGACACGTCAAACTAACTACAGCCCTGTGGCAAATCAAGTATCTGTGGTACTTCTCAAGCTGCCTCCTGCGTCTTCGTACTCTCTCCGGTGTTGGACCTTGTCGGCGCGGTTGAGCTGCTCCAACTTGTCTCTGTACTGGTCTTCGACAAGCTTGGAGATACGTCCTGAGGGTAGTCGTCAGCCATATCACAAAAGACAGTCCGACGCCCTCAACAAAGCGCTGCGGGTCGGAAGAAGTAAATCATGTTGGCGCTTCTTTCGATGCTCTTTGACTCGGGCGACATATTCAAGTGAACAGGACGAACCTCCGCATCATCCCGCGCGAGCTTGGCCTCCATCAGGCCCGCACCGATATGGTATGCTCGCGAGAAAGGGTTCGATGCATTGCGCGCCTCTACGCGATGGTCACAAGCCCTGCGATATATGTCAATCAAGGCTCTCATCATGGCGCGATGGTTGTGGACGAGGGATGGTATCGGAGCATCTTGAGCAGCACTGGGGCTCGCAATGTCACGACGTACTTCTTGGAATGCTCTTTGAACGACTCTGCATGATCCGGATCGCGCAAGTCCGCCGTGCTGGCGCGAATGTCCACGTCGAGGTCCTTCAACGCGGCGATCTCGTGGTCCAGGCGCGCTGACTACGAGAGACAGCTCATTCGCCACCGAGTTCGTACACCTGGAGCAACATCACGCACCAGGTCCATGATGTTAGGATCCTCCAGTGTGGATAAGTACGTCGACTGCAGCGACGCGAGGCTGGGTAGGCTGGTTGAGGGTAGAGGGAGAGAAACGGTCTTGTACTTTGTTCAAGGTACGCCGTCGATGTGTTCAGCAATGAGATGAGACGCCCCCCAGCTTCTCAGGACAGCGTGAGCAACATGAGGCGGTTTGCGGCCTGGAAAGCGCCGAGCGTGACCTGCCGAATTCTGTGTTCAATCTAAGTTGAACCGTGACCTAACGGCCGGCTATGGATGGGCTTCCTATCCCATGGCAACATACGAATTGTATCCATGGTACTGCAGCTGACGATGGCATTGTCGCCGGTTTACGGAGAATGGTCGGACCCTTTCGAACAGAATGCGTAGGCAGCAGGAGGACAAAAGTCGACTACAATATCTCTGAGTCACCGTGGGGAAATCAATTGACGTTTCGGCCCGGTCGCCGACCATATGTTCATTCCGTTCAACACCTTGCACTCAACCTCCACTTGAGCTCGATACGGCAACGAGGGCAAGCGCATGAACTCGACCTGACGTCCTTATACTCCCCCTTCTTTCAGCGCACCTTTGTTTCAAATCTGTGATCAAAAGGCTCGAACGCACTAGTAAACACCTTATTGCCTCCCCGCCATGTCTGGTGAAGAGGCAGGCGGCATTGGCGGTTCCATCTGTGGTAAATACGCCTCAGTCTCCCTTTCTCCTCGTTGGCGCTGAAGTCTGCTCTAGCGATATGCTGTGCCACTACGCTCACGGCTTGGTGCAATCTGAGTTCGTAGAACCCTCTTCTACTCGACATTGCGCCAATGACGCTCCACAGAGCCCAGTGGCGCGCGATGCTGTGGGAGTAATAAGCAGAGCGGATGCTGTGGTTCATGCTTTGACTCGGGATTCCAAGAGGACTCGTGGGACAAGGAGGCAAGGAAGGAGGAGCAACGCCATGCGGAACGTGTTGCCGCAAGGCAACTTCAGCCCACCGAACCCATGAGTCGGCCTTAGCGCGGATCGCATGCAGCGCACGAATATGCATGACTGCTTCTGGCGTTGTCGTATTTATCTTGGACTTGTACCATGTCCTGTCCTTTCGTTTACAGCGGTCTTGGATGCGTTCGACACTCGACTTCTCATCACCAACCGGACATCATCTGCTGTAGCTTCTTGACACCGATACTGTATACCCAACCCATTAACCTATATACAAAAGAACTACAATATCATAACTTATTGCAAAGCTACAGAAAGCATTGGTGATGTGTGGTACAAACTGCAAACAAAACTCGACCGCGATTGTTGATATATGAGGTATCATCTTCTTTCCGTGTATGTATGAAGATCGTTGTTGTTGCTTTCGAAGCATTGTTTGGTTTTCTTTCAAGACATTGTTATCTTGCTTGAGAGGCGGCGTAGTTTGTCTGAGGCGAAGACGCGCCCTCGTCATCCTCCGTAGCCTCCCATACCGCGGCCGGAGCCGTTGGGTAGACCGTAGTCGTATACCAGAGCGCTCCAGCGGTCGTCCGACATCCCCCTCCCTGCGCCTGCCATACTAGGATCCGCGCCTCCTGAGCCCTGCGGCAGAGGGCCGGGTAGGACACCCAAACCATGCATACCGGGCCCGGAAAGGAAATGCGAGCTCTGCCCATGACCGTCTAGGATAGGCTGCGGCGGCAGCGGCTCGCGAAAGAGTTGCTCCCAGTCGAAGTCAAAGTTGCTGCCGGCAGTAAGGTACGACGAGTGCGTCGAGCCTGCGCCGCGCAGTTGCGCAGGGGGGCCGGGCTGCGCAGGGAATCCGAACTGCGGCGGCGGCATGGCCGAGGCTGGGTGCGACGTGCGCCGGCGGGCGATATTGGGAAGTAGACCTGACGTCGCGGCGAGGCTGGACTGCGGGAGGCTGAGAGTCGCTGGGGTTACGCCGTGGCGCATGGGCGGCGCAGGAGGTGCGTAGCCCATGCTCCCGATGCCCATTTGTTGCTGGAGGGCGGCCATGTTGGGGCGCGCTTGTTCCGGCTGGGAACGTCGACGCGCTACGATGGGCCTCGACGAAGTCACATAGCGCGACTGTCCGCCGAAGACAGACAGGGGGTCGGGTCCCTCCGATGGGAGTGTCGCTGGCTGCGACGCGGCGTCCTTCGCCTGCAAGGCTTTCTGGCGCATAATTTCCAGTACGGGCTAAATGAAAGGCATTGAATACACGAAGCCGGAGAAATCATTGATGAACTCACCAGCCCACGCTCCGCGCGACTACTGCTCCCGGACGCCTTCCTGAACAGCTCGACTGCGCTGTCCAGCTGCTCGAACGGGTCTGGCATGCCCGAGAGCTGGACTCCTTTGCGGGCGACGGTGCCGACCACGACCTACGGTGCCGCAGTCAGGGGCGATATTCAACAACTTTGAACTGCAATATCTTACCGCAGCAGAGAAGGCGTTGGACCATATGCGCCAGACCCGTGAGAGCAGCATAGGATTCTTCGCGTAGTGTTCCTGCGTGTCGGCGAGGACGATACAAGCGCTCTTGTACGCGGCTTGTACCGATGGCGCATAAGGGCTGCGCAGCGGGTTGGGGTACGCCATCGCCTCCGCGAAGCATCCGCGGTGCAGAAAGAGCATCACTGATCAGTTAGCCGATGGCTGCGGATGATAATTGCAAGGTACGCACTCAGATCCTCGTAGTGGGAACGTACGAAGACGCGCATCGCGGCGGAGGTGCGCTCGGATTCCGCGGTACTGTCGCGGGCGACGCCAAAGAAATCGCGAATTTGCTTGTCGACCTCGAGGATTTTGGCGTAAGAGGGGGTGTTGGTTGAGAGCGTCGTCAAGACCAGAGGGACGAGGCAGGCGACGCTCGCTCGATATCCCCATACACCGACTGTGGGAGACGGTTATATGTGTGAACGACTATATGGGGATGTACGACACTCACAGCCGACAGGCACTTCGCCTTCTTGGTACAGCTCTTCCTCTTCTGACGTCGGTATACGACAATCGATAAAGGTGGAGAGAATTATGGGCGGGCGTCCCGTCACGAGGCTCTGGGAAATAGTCAGCAACTCACGCACGCGTTGGAGCAATATCGGTGGGGACACGTCAGAGAAAAGGAGGGGATTCAGACGTGCGCACCTGCCACATAATCGCCGCGAGCAAGTTCCAGAAGTAGGCACGGCGCTCGTATGCTTCCTGCCCAGTAAATTGCCACATCGATGGGTCGATGTCTGCTCCATGCGTGTAAGCTCGATAGCATGAGAGAGCAGCTGGTACTCACGCGCTCCAATCTGGAGGCGAGGTCAGCTTATAACAGGATGAATTGGCGAAGGGAGGTCTTACACGAAGGGCCGCCTGACCCGCCATGCTGAGTAGGTTGTAGGTCGGCTCGAGCGCGCTTTCTTGACCACTCATTCCGTTGTAAAGACTCATGAGGTGGAGCGTCTTGACTGTCGCCATGGACTGATCGGTGAGGACCGGCTGCAAGGTGATAGCGGCGCGGGTGAGGTGGTAGTAGTGCTGCGCCTCCAAATTATATGGCCCCTGATTCAGATCGACGAGCGCGCCCAGCGCGAGGACACTGAGCAAAAGGGATAGCTCGTGGGGGCCATATGACAAAGAGCTGTCTTGCTTGTAGACGGCTGGAAGAACGGTGTTCATGATCTCTGCCCGCGAGACGATTCGGAACATCCAGGATAAATGCTCGAGCATCGTGTCGATCAGGGTCACCGCGCGCTCGACAGACGGCAGGAATGACTCGATAGCGCTCTGCACGGCGGAGACGGCCATTCCGGGAGGCGTGAAGGGGAAGGAGTTGTAGGCATTGTTGATTTCGGGGCCGAGGTAGGTGGGATCCAATTCCTGCGGTGCGGCTCGTGTGGAAAGGACGTCAAGATCCTTTGCATCCTGCGGTATCGAGGTGAGAAGCAATTTCCCGCAAATGCCGGGGAAGCACTAACCAATAGCAAGCTCTTGGCGCAATGTTGTCAGTGCTGCGCGAATAAAATGAGAGGCACAGTTATGACTGCGCACCTCTGAGCCGCCTGATGGGCCATAGAAACGGGAGGAACCTAATTCGTCCATGTGTAGGGCGCCGACAGAGCGAGTGGGTAGCGCTTCCTCTGCTGGTGTACCTGAGTCTTCCTGGTCCGCAGCCAGGTCTTCTGGCGACGGTTCAAAGGGCTCCTCCTCCAGGGATTCGAGCAGGAGGGGGTGGGTATCATCGGATTGTGTCGAGTGTAAGATGGCGAGCGCGTCCTCCAGGGCGTGCATGCGCGCTTCCATGGTCGCGCGGCGATGCTCGAGGTGTTCTGTGGCGGCTAGGACAAATCTGAGGGGGATTATGAATGCGCGTAGATTGCGGTTGGGCCCGATCGCACCTGCTACCCTCTCCGGGAGGTATCGTTCCTGACGCGCAGGTGAGTAGGGAACAAGATAGACACCGTAGATGGGTGGCGCACCATTCGGACAGAGCGCAGCACATCCCCGCTTCACGCAGGTACTGCAGGGGATGGTCCTGTCGCACTTGACCTTACAAAGCAGGTTCAGACAAAGAGAACACTGCCAGCGCATACCACCGACCTTGAGTCTTCGACATTCCGCACAGGCGATCTCCCCCCTTCGCGTCGGTGAGCACGTCTTGCGAGGGGGACGTTGCGGGGGAGCACGCTCACCTGATCCGCTTATGTGCTTTCGTACGCGTCCGCGGCGCGTGTGACGACGAGGATGAATCGGAGGGGGCCGAGCTCGGACCTGCCTCCTGCTCCTGCGCTGCGGGGCGGCGATACGGGTGCGAGCCAGACATGTTGGGAGATGAGTGCAGGAAGAAAGAAAGTGACGCGCCGCAGCGAATATCTGACGGATTCTGTTCACTCGCATCCATTCAGGCACAGCGATCACTGATTGCCGCGCGAGCACGTGGCCCGTGGGACTATTTCGCTAAGTCCGAAAGGGATCGCTGCTGTTGACGCCGACACACGAGGCAAGCTGAGCCATATCTGCTCTTGTCTTGGACGCTCACTGCTGCTCCCTGTACTGAGAGAGCAGTACATCGTTCCCCACATTGAAAAAGCATACTCCGACCGCCCCGTCCCCATTGCGATCGACATGTCCCCAAGGCTTGGGTGCTTCGAACAGACGTTAACGTTGACCTGGCTTCGACCCCTCCGAAGTAACCCTATATTTTCTCGTTATTGTCGTCGTAAGATAGGCTTTTCCGGGAAGCTGTGCTACTGCTGCCAATGGCCATTGAGTACCCGGCATGGCGCATCACTCGAAGCTGTACCGTACAGCGTCTGCCCCTCGCTAGGGTGATGTGAAGGTGCGCTTCCTGCCTTGGCTCTGAACATGCGTTTCTTATTCACCCACGCGCACGGAACGAGCCCGTTCGACAAATCTTCTTCACGATGGGTCCACTTTCACCTCGATTTCGTCACAGAGAACGACCGTGACTCAAAAGCGAACTTCTTGCAAATTATCTGACTCGACGTAGATCGCGCGCCGCTCATTCACCTCACCCGCCGAGTCCCGACACAGCTGAGCGCCTGCGTCATAGCAACGTGTCGCCCGCCCATTGCGCCGCCGATACAGGGCGGTGAATGGACAGCGTCGCGGCTGTTCGCATCGTCCGCGACGATATCGACCCCAGTACGCACACAAATAACTTTGGGCCTATCGAGTAGGAGGATAGTATGTCGTACTCGGATGGCGAAGAGGAGACCTTCGTATCGCCTGCTATACCAGTTTGATCAACGTCGCCTCGCTCCCAACGATGAACACGACTGGCGATGAGGGTTCCTTGGGCGCCTATTCGCGCCTCAATCTCAGCGCTGGACGTTAAGCGCCCTGCATCGCGTTCGAAGTGAGTCTGTTCCATGGGCGGCACAGCCCGTTAACGTAACTGCTACTTGACTCAAGTGGACGTGTATTGATGGCTCCCAGCTGGATATAAAGGACGTCGAGGTTTAAGGTCAGTACTCAATCCCTCTCTCTTCCTCACCATCCTCCTTCTTAGCTCTCGTTCCCTATCCTCACCATGACCGACCAAGCTCAGCCCGTAACTAATGGTACGTTTGCGGCGCTCACAGATGGACAGTGAACTTACGCCTTGTCCCTCAGGTGCCGTCGCGGAGTGGATCTATGAGACGAAGCACCTCGAGACGCACTTTGACGAGAAAGGGTACCAGCAGACCGTGGAGGCAGGCGAGCGGCCCCCAAAGGCGGACGACGACGACAAGTGGAAGAACTACGTTCTCACCTACACGCGCCACTTCGACAAGAAGGGCCTCTTTGAGAAGTCTACCGTGGAGATCAAGTCCCAGCCGCTCAAGGATGTTCTGAAGGTCATCATCCCCGACTACCCGGGCGTGTCGTTCGCGACGGAGACGGTTCGGCTTTCGCTGCCGAGTCAGGTGCTGCTCCATAACCGGACGGAGCTCCACAAGGCGTTGCACGAGGATCAGGTCGGCACGGAGGAGGGGCGCAAGCATCTGAAGTTCTTCGTGGACTGGTACGAGGAGACGGACAAGGCTCTCATCAAGGAGTACACCAACCTCGCCGACCAGGCGCTGACGACGTACCCTCTGTAAGCCCTGCATCTGTCTTCCTTCTGACCATAGTTTAATTTATGGCGCTTTCAGACTTTGGACCGTCCTCAAGCCTGGCATCACCATCTACGCTCCTCTCCACGGCCAGCCGCGAGCCTTCCGCCTTACCAATTCCTACGAGACGCGCGACTTCCACTGCCTCGAGGTAACCTACACCGACTACGATGGCCGCAAGTTCGGCGCCGCCGAGACGCAGCTCCGTATCTACCCTTTCCTCGGCAGCGTCCCCATCAACTCGCTCGAGGCGTACCCGCTCTGCCACCACGTCCGCTACCAGCACGTCCGCGACCAGCTCATCAAGCGTGGCCGCCGCTTCGAGAGCTTCCAGGGCAAGCAGTACCTGCAGTACTCGGGCATCGCACTGGGCGAGATCATCCGCTGCCGCCGCGTGCGCTACAGCATCAACGGGCGCGTCATGGTCGACTGCGAGACATTCTCGCGCATGGAGACGGACCGGGCGGTGTCCGTGAAGACGTTCCGCAAGCCGGATAGCACGGCGCCGAACGACGACGACTCGGACGATGGTTCATACGACAGCGAGGACGACAGCGGGTACGACTCGGATTTCGCGGAGCACAAGGGGCCGCCGCAGCCGCTCACGGACGAGCAGTGCCTGCACGCGACGAACTTGGTGTGCGGGTGGGCTTTTGCGGAGAAGAAGTGGGTGGAGTTCTTTGTGGATAAGTTGAACCCCATCGAGTTCAGCGAGGATGCGTTTGACCACTTGGTGCTTCCGGCGAGGCAGAAGAGCTTGGTGAAGGCGCTTGTGGAGAGCCATATGAAAGAGCAGGAGGAGGGGGGCTTCGACGACGTGATCAAGGGCAAGGGCAAGGGTCTCATCTCCATCCTGCACGGGCCTCCGGGCGTTGGGAAGACCTTGACGTGAGTGCTTCACCTCTGCCATGCCTTCACTCCGCTGACAACCGACTATGCAGTGCCGAGTCCGTCGCCGAGTTCACGAAGCGCCCGCTCTACGCCGTCTCATCCGGCGAGCTCGGCACGTACGCGAGCGACCTTGAGGAGAAGCTCGCGCGCATCCTCGACGTCGCGACCGTCTGGAAAGCCGTCCTCCTCCTCGACGAGGCCGACGTCTTCCTCGAGAAGCGCTCCCTGCACGACATCGATCGCAACGCGCTCGTCTCGACCTTCCTCCGCTTGCTTGAGTATTACCAGGGCATCCTCTTCCTCACGACAAACCGCGTCCAGTCCTTCGACGAGGCGTTCCAGTCGCGCATCCACGTCGCGCTCAAGTACAACAACCTCACCGAGGACTCGCGGCGCACGGTGTGGAAGAGCTTCTTGGAGAAGCTCGGCGCGGGGAAGGTGGATGTGAGCGAGGCGGACTATGATGAGCTGCAGAAGTGCGTTCTCAATGGGCGGGAGATCAAGAACGCGGTGAAGACGGCGAAGAGTCTGGCGGACTCGATGGGCGGGGTGGTGACGAAGGAGACGCTGGATACGGTGCTGGATATCCAGCGCGACTTCGAGCGGGACTTCCATGCTTCGGCGGCGGAGAACGCGGTGGCGAAGGCCTGATTTACTTCCCCACTAGTCCTTTTTTCCCATCTCATCATGTCAGTTACCATAGACCGCACCTATCTCATGTATACTATCGACCTTTGTACTGTAGCTATCTATCGGAAGTGAATCTCAGATATGGAAGTTCATGACTAGACTGCGATGTCGTTCATCCTTGATTTGTAAGCATGGGTTGTACAGTCAAGTGATGTCAGTCAAAGGACGGAGAATATGTCCCGATATGGAACAATAGCCTAAATCTAATCTCTTCACCAACCATCATGGCCGCCTCCGATCGACGACTCCTCGCCGCTGGATCCAACGCTCGAGGGCAGTTGGGCATATGCAGCACAGACGACTCGCACTCCTTCGTCCCTGCATCTTTTTCAGGGCATCCCGAAAGCTGCATCCCGTCTTCGCCCATCTCCATTTCCGGTGGCGCGAACCACACGCTGGCGCTTCTTGAGGGCACGTCGGGCTCGCCTGAGCTGTGGGGTGCTGGAGATGGGTCTTGTGGGCATCTGGGCCCGAATATCAAGCCCAATACGACGGTCTTCCAGCGCATCAGGTTGCGCGGGCTAAAGAAGCGGCGCTGTCGTCTGATGCAGGCAGCCTGGGAGACGTCGTATGCAGTGTTCTCAGCGGACGGACAGCCTGACGTTCTCATCTCGATGGGAGGAGATGATTTCGGGGATCTGGGCGTGGGGAAAGGGAAAAATTTGAAGACGATCCCGCGAACAGGATACCACATCGTGAAGCTGGATCACTTGCTGGAGGATGTAGACGGGAATACGCTGCGCGTCGACTGGCTAACTGCTGGTCCGCATCATGTCGTGCTCCGCCTCTCTGCGAACCATCGACGCGCTTCGCATCGGAAGGCAATCGTCGTTGGCTGGGGCGCTTGTCGGCATGGGCAGCTGGGGGATGTGGCGAGCGAGGGAAGCAAGACGCCCACTTTCATCGACACGCCGCGCGTTATCTTTCATGACAACCCTAACGATCCGATCGAGCAATGCGCGGCTGGACATCATCACACTGTGATGCTCAGACGCTCGGGTGCGGTTTTGGCCTTCGGTTCAGATCGTAAAGGGCAGCTTGCGGGGATCCACGGTCGGACGGGGGTCAAGGCCATTGGGTGCACTTGGCACGGGACATATATCGTGGAACAGGACAACACTGTCCGCGGTACAGGAAGCAACATACATGGGCAGTTGGGCATGGGACATGCAACATCTGAAAGAGTGGAATGTGCGGCAGCGGCGCTTCCTCCGACGGACACACATAGACTGTTTGACTTGGCTTGCGGTAGCGAGCATATAATCGCACGGCTGGAGACCAGCGGCGGAACAGAAGCATGGGGTTGGGGATGGAACGAGCACGGGAACCTTGGGACTGGATCGCTGGACGACGTAGACGTTCCGAAAAGGATATGGCCGAAGGAAGGAGACACGGCAAGCGAGGTTAGAGGAATTTGGGCAGGGCTAGCGACGAGCTGGATAGCAATATGAATCGAGAACAAAGCAACAACAGACTTATAACATCAGGGCAGAGTAACAGAGCACGACAGCACAAGCAAAGCAGAAGGTTCGGCGAGAGCATAGAAGAGCACCCTCAGTCGGCGTCAGTCAGGTCGTAGTCCTCGTGGATTTGCTTGATCGTCGTGTCCTTGAGGTTTGCGAGCTGCATGGAGTCAGACACCATCTCTCTGGAGTTTCCTAGAGTGTTCACCCGTCCAATTAGTATCTGATAAACGCGGTGAATACCAATCGCGTCGATGGAGAAGTACATTTGTGGCGCACCTGTGTTGCGTCCTTCGCCTCGTTGTATCTATGCAAAAGTTTGATGTGCTTCTTGACTATCTTCTCTGCATCGACGTCGGCTCTGATAGGTAGGTCAGTCGATGGATGGCGTGAACCAGAGGTCGCTCACCCAAGCTCATTCTGAAGCCGAGCGATCTCGGTTTCGAGCTCGGCGATGCGAGCCCCGGTTTTCTGTCGAATGTCTCAGACACAGTCGTATACTCTCGCAAAGCGCCGACCTTGGCAGACGTCGTCGCGAGCATGGTCAGTGTAAGTTATGGGAGGAGCAAAGGAGGTGAGGCGTGGGAACGACGCCGACGCGTTTGTTTACGCGTTGTTTGGCAGTGGGCTTGAGCGCGCCACATCCTACAACAGTGACCTCCCTCTCGCTCACTCACACTCGCACAGAGCTCGGAACACACATTAGAGTAAGACAAGAACACGAACAAGTCCGCCTCCTACACATAGCCAAGTGTCCCATGATATTATTTGCAACCGCAACCAAATGAAAGCCCGCCGATATCCGTCGCCGCCACCTCCTCCCAGGAATCGTATACAGGACCAGCTGCATACGCAAAATTCGGGCCGACGGGTAATCCTGCATCTTTTTGGACTCAGAGAATGAAAATGCAGGAAACGAGAGTATGTACGTACGCCGCTAAATCGAGCTACGCGTTGACAGGGCTGCGAGCACGCTCCTCCTTGCTCTCTGAATCGCTTGACTTCTTCGGAGGCGGCGTCAGCAGGGGCTCAGTCGCCTGAGGCTGACGAGTCTCGGGAGCGCCTGAGATCCTCTTGTCCCGCGTCTGCTCCATGTCGCGCTTGATGTTCTCGTCAAAGTTCTCCGAATTGAGCGTTCTGCAGCAGGACGGGCACCATCTGCACCCTCGGAGGTCTTATTTCGCATATTCAGCAGCCCTTTCACGCTGTATACCTGCCCGAACGCAGCTTACACAAGTTACACCATGTCCCGGAACTGCCGAAGACCGCTGCGAAGATGGTGATGAGCCGCTTGACGACTCGGTCGCTGGTGAGTGTCAGGGTCACCCACCGCATGAGCCCAGGACAGCAGGCAGGCACCCGTCTGACATCGTCGAGGTGGAGGAGAAAGAGTGAAAGTGGAAGTGTTTGCTAAGTAGACAATAGAACAACGAGAGCCTTATGTTTAGACCACGCGCGAGGTGGCACAGCCTTCGTAAGGCATGTTCGGCCGCATGGTCGCCTCGACTTTCCCCCCGCGGTGTTCATTCATCTTGGCTCGCCGAAATCACAGCTTGTGTGGGCTGGCAACGAGTATACAGGCCTGCCATTTCATTGAGACACCCGTCCCACGATCTATCATCCGTCCTAGGGCATCCCGCCATTGATTTCGGGATCACCACAACATGCTGTATCTATGCCCCACCGCACCGCCCAGGCAGCACCTTCGCCAACACGCCGCGCAGATCGGAGGCGTTGTCCTTCGCAAGCTGTAAAAGGCCCAGTGTGTCTACCTGCTGCTCACTCCTCAGTCTCGTCCAGTTTGGTGACGGCGTCGCGCGGATATGCGAGAAATCCTGAATGGACTGCAGGCCGTCGGACTGTTTGTTGTGTCAGTCTACGAGCTTTCTGAACTGCGGCAGGAGGAACTTGCTGGTGCATCCGGCGCAAGCGCACTCGGATATGGTGCGAAGCGGATTTCAGAGCAGTGCTCGATGATGGGGTTCGACGTGATCGACAGGTAGACGTCCACGGCTTTCGAGGTGTGCATGCGGAACTGGGATCGTTGTTTAGCTTTCAAAAGTGCGATGCAAAGCCTTCGACAGTGCGATACAAGGCCTTCGACAGGCTGACGGCGAACGAGGCATGAAAAATTCATACCTGATGGCACCCCACAACGACCACAGTACGCGTCAAGTCATGCAGCATGACGCTGCCCGAGATCAGAGGCAGGACGATCACGGAGTCGGCGACATTGCGGATATGCACAGCGGAGATGTTGAGCAGGGCCGGCTCGTCCGCACGGAGAAGGTCGACGACGCATCCGTCGAGATCGGCGAGGGCAAGGTCGGATTCCTGTTTGAAAGGCGCGGGGAGGTCGGTTATGGTCAAGTACTTTGACTTGTGCGAGGAGAGCACGAGGTTCGTGGAGGGCACGAGATTCGTGGAGGGCGCGGAGAGCGAGGCGCTAGCGTTCGCTGGCGATGCACTCGTGTCTGGTGCTGATTTCGGCGTAGAAGGTGCCGATGGGGTTGACGATTGGCTCGACGCAGCGGCCTTGCGTTTGAAGGCGAACTTGGGCTTCGCGGTTGTACTACGTAGCTCCTCGACGGATTTCTCCAAAGCTTTCACTTGCTTTAGAGGTTGTCAACACAATATAACATCGTATTGAGGAATTGAATACGAACCAACTCATACTGCCGTTGGTCGTAACTTGGCAAAGACCCAGATGCATCGGCCAGGGTGGTCATGAGTTTGGAGATCTTAGAGGTGAGTTCCTGCAGCGTTGCCGGGGACGCGGGAGAGGAGGCTTTGGCAGCCTCTATGCGGCTTTGCAGGGCTGGAGAGATGAGGCAAATATCATCAGCGTAAAAGAAGCGCGCCTACCATCCTTTTCCCTTTGAAAGGTAGTGCCAAAGTCCTTGATCCATGCAGAATCAGTCATGATGAATATACAGGTACAAAGCAAGAAAGAGGAGGGTTCTCTGAAGACTCTAAGGAGAGCGATAGGGCTGGTTGAAGTCAAGGCGCGATAGTCACAGCATCACTCAATCTGTCACCAGATCACGAACGTTGTCCGTGACAAGCACGTGAGGTTGGGGATAATTATGGCGGGATTGTAACAATGTAAGTGCCCGAATCCAGGGTCCACTAGTACTGTCCATAGCATGAGATGCTGTATTATTCCGTGATTAAACGATGGTAATGGGAGCCGTGGTGCCACCCGAGAGAACAACGGGCGGGTTGGAATCGTCGTAGTTGTACGTGATGTACGCGATGACCTGGTGAGAGTTTTGGCATGAGAGACGACAGAGGTATATGAAGCACTACTTACCAGCCAGTTGGAGACATCGTCGCCGATGGCCTTCTTCACGTCCGGGAACTGCGTCAAGCTGTAAGACTCCAGTCTCCTAGACACTGAAGTAAATGCTTACCGTGATGTCCTTCTGCAGGACCTTCTGGTCCGCGGAGTAGTCGTTGCGCTCAAGGATAACGTACGGCGTCTGGTTGCCATTCGTCCTCGTCCCCTGCAGGACAAAATCCACCGTCTTGGGCGTGTAGCGCGCAACGGTGGAGTTGTAGGTGAGGGACAGCGTCTGGACGATAATCAGCATTTGACTGGGGTGAAGAACCATGAACGACCATACCTGTCCAGCGCTGATGTTGCTGCCGCTATCGACGGTGAGGGCACCGTAGCGAGCGGCTTCCTGGGCAAGCGCGACAGTGGCCGCGGAGAGGGCAGCAGCGATGGAGAAGAAACGCATGTTGTGTGTGAAGTGTGGTTGAGGATGTGACCGAAGCTGGGGAAATGTAGCCCTCGGTCTCAGGCTTATATACCTACCGTCGAAGCATTGTGCGCGTCATCCCGACAACTCGGCGCTGTCGCCAAACCAGGTGGCCATGTCGTTCTGAACGGCATCGATAGGCCGGGCGAACACAGGGCGCACCTACCTCGCTAATAGGATAGTGTACCGTGACAGTGAAGCGCGGAGAAGCGTGGTTCCGCGACGGGGCCGTAAGAATATGCCCGTGTCGGGCGGTTACAGTCCGGCCTTCAAAGACATCGCCCAAGTCTGCTTTGACGACGCACAGTCCTATTTCAGGGAGGGTCAAGATCCAGAGCTATAATTCTGTCCCGCCTCAAGGGAAAACCAGAAGCGGGCAAGGCTACTCAGTCCCGCATGAGCGGATGGAAAGCCTACAGCGACAACGGCCGCCATGGCTGGCGAGCTCTCGCCGAGCCCGTGTAGACAACTCAATGGGTGAAGCAGGTTCCTGGAGCTATGTTCTCTGCAAGGGCTGGCCAAAGTCGATCGCAAGGTTCACTCTGGGTACGCCTGTCAACAGTGTCAAGGGATATACTGCGCGAGGTAGGCAGCGGGCATCGCCACAGACCACCCAAACAACGCCGCCATACGCCCCGGGCTCTTGGGTATCTAGACACCCTGGCGTCTAGTATCAACTGAGCCCGCGACGCGCACTCTTCGAGAGGGATACAGCAGTCAGCATCATGGGTCGCGAGCATGGTCCTGAAGAAGAAATGTAGTAGAGCAAGGAAAAAAGATACTACGCATCGCTGATTCCGGCGTCGACCCTCCATACTTTCAGCGTGCCGAACGGCGAAGCGGTCACCGCTGACTACACCGCCGCGGAAGGGAGAGTCAATGCAGGCCAATGCTGTGATAGTATCTTGATGGGCTTTCAACAAGTTCTATTGATTGTTCGTGATGACCCAGAGTCGCTGCGGTGGTCGGTTCGTTGGGCTTGGACTAGGTGCAGGGGGGCCATGCCTCAACGATTGCGTTGGCAGAGCCCCGTCTCATTACAAGCAAGTGACCAACGCGAAAAGAGCGAGGTAAGCTTCGATGAACTAGGATACACCTAACGTTCCCATGAATTGACTCCGCTGCAGGAACGTTAGCTTCTCAAGGAAAAGTAGGCAGTCCGATGCATACGTACCAATTGCTGAATGACACCTCGTTCAGCTTCCGGCATGGCATCGATCTGCTGTTGAGACAAGGTGAGAACTTGCATGAGCATCGCCTGCAAGGTGGTCAGCGACAAATGTAGGAGCATGAGTGCGGCACTTTACCTTCTGCGTCTCGTTGATGTCTTGTGCCCCAGTGACGGGTGGCGGAGCCTGCTGAGGGGGCGGCGGGTAGAAACCAGACGCAGGTGGATATCCCGGAGCTGCCGGTGGTGGTGGTCGTCCATACATATTGCCTGGCGGGGGCGTCGGGACGGGCCGAGCCATTCCCTGGCCTATACCGGGCCCGAATCCCATCGTCGTGGGTGCACCATACGCTGGTATCGGTGGTGGAGCCGGGGCATTGAGCGGGCTTTTCGAGGTAGCAGCGAGCATGCGTTGCAAGACGACGGGGTCGACGATGTTGTTGAGCAGGAGCGCCTGGAAGAGGGCGTAGGCGAGCTGGGGGTGTGCTGTTAGGAGGGCTCGCGCGCCGTCTGTGTTATTTAGGACGAAGGACTGTGGGGTGTTAGATGGAGGCGCAGGGTCGGCGGCGAAAGTTGCGCACCTTCATCTGTGCAAGGATTTCCATCAATTGGCCGGGAGGGATAGACGCCAGAATATGGCTGATTGTATCGAGACATGTTGAGCCCGGGGGCACGGGAACACCAGGGGGAAGGGTCTTGAGGAAGGCGTTCGGATCCGGAGGCCCGCGCGGACGCTCCGGTCCGTCGATGAGCTCGCCGCGTACGGTGGTCTTCCCCTCGAGCTGGGGATCGGAGTCGGCGAGATCTATGCGCAGATTTCTGCCCTTGACTTCGATGTTATTGAGGTTTCGTACGGCCGAGAGGGCCGTGTCGTGGTCTGGGGGCGGGGTGAGTATTTGAGGGATTAACGACCGCGTAAGACGCACCGGTAAACTCGCAGAAGCCGTATCCTCTCGGCTTGCCGGTTTCACGGTCGAACACTAACCTGAGTGGCGCGTATGTGAGGGAGGGAAGGGGACGTATCACAACGCGTACTCACCTGAACCCGGCGACTTCGCCGACGTTCTTGAATACGTCGATGAGCTCATCCTATAGGCATACAGTTAAGTGACGTTCGAAAGTGTGGCGCGCCCGACTTGCCTCGCTCATGTTGTAGGGCACATTGCCGACTTGGGGACGATCAGGACGTACGCTCACGATACTTAGCTGGCTTCACACACCGAAGACGACCTTGCTAGTGGTACTCATGGTCGGACGTAGTAAAGGTCGAGAACAAGGTGCAATTTACGCTCAGCCTTAAGGTCTATGCAGCTTCCAAGAACCCTATCGCTCGACGGTGACGAGAAGAGAACAAAAGCTGGGATGCAGGTTCCGGGCCGAAGTCCGATAGTGTACCGCCACAAGGGCTGCCACACATGCTGACTCATCCGACGAGCTTGCTTCCATCCATCGCGAATTGTGCTCAATCGTTCTCGCCTTTTCCCCATCCTGGAGCTCTCGACACTATGTTTCAGGCGACATTACCTTCAAAGCCCGACATGGAATATTGCTCGGCCTTGACCATAACATCAGGACCTTATCTCGACCCGCAACAACTTCAAGCTCCATAACGTCCATTGCTCCCTTCCATGCTTACTCAGAGTAGTGTTCCCGAGGCACAGTCAGGAAGCCTCACAGCCTTTTGCCAAAGCCTACGTGTACTCCTGTGGTCCTGACTCACTAGCACTTTCGCGTACACTCCGGACCATAACAATCGATTCAGTTCGGCTGTTTCCGAGCAGTATATAAGAGCGACTTGCACGGCCGTGCTCTTCTCTACAGTCTCTCTTCCCATGACAAACTCATCCCACAGCAGTACACCCATGTCCCAGCAGCTTCACAAAACCCGCAGGCCAGCGTCGCTGCCTGTAATGACCCCTCATGCACTCACGCGCCACGCACAGAGCGTCGCCATTAATCATGCCCTGCGTGGCGCTAATGGAGGGGATGGGCCCCTGCAGATGAGGACTGGGTTTTCCAACGATCCTAGCGATGCTGGCCACTTTCGAGCCAGGTATGCACACCCTTTGTGCTCCCGACTAGTTTGCATACTCACGACTAGATACGATGCAGGATGGATTTCTACGACGACCCTCTGATACCGGTGACCGTCGCTGTACTCGAGGTACCAGGAGTACGCAGCGAAGACCTGCAGCTGCGTATCGACCGCGGCGTCCTTCATGTTATCGGTCGGCGGCGTCCCAGATATCGCCTGAATCAGCCGCCGCTGCCTGGCCAACCCGCCGTCGATGGACCGCCTGTAGCCTTCCACACGCAGGATCTGTACTATGGGATCTTCAGGCGCCAAATTCTCTTGCCGCAGGGATGTACGGTGAGTGGCGTCCTTCAACATGTTCGTGCGGCGTGTTAGCTTACGACATACCCTTGCAGCCTGAGGACGTTTGTTCGCAGCTCGCTGACGGGCATCTTACGCTTTGGTGGCCGCGCGTCATTAACAGGAGGCCGGCAGAGGCTCAGCCTCGTACTGCGGTCGCGACTACTGACTCATGCGTGGAAACGGAAGCGGAAGTCCCTCAGGCGTCCGAGCAAGGGGAAGAAAAGGAGGCTGCAGCTGACCCTGCGCCCAAGGCTTCTGAGCCTGAGCAAGCTGAAGCCGATGAAGCGACGCTTGTTGACTCGCAGGGTGTTATCCCTGCGACGGGTTAGGTGCACGCGGCCCGTGCAGTAAGGGTTTCCCGTGATAATCATATAGATCCCCGCTTTCGACTTGTTGTGCTCGCTTGCTATGGTTTCCTGTGCTCATGTAATCATATCTACTGTATCTTAGAGTCACCCCTGCTCATCCTCGCGCTAATAGCTGCACCCTCGCCCATGTAACACCATATGCCATGTAATCAATATGTCTCTGCTCGACGACGTTTGACAGCCAAAGTTGCTCAGTCAAGGTGAGTGGATTACTGTGAAGCGTGTCAAACTTCAATGTGCTACAAAGCGCTGAGCCACGAAATCGCCACACAAGGATCCTCGAGGGCTGGCGTCCGCTACCCAAGCGCCGGATTCAAGTCAGCGGATTTCCCGTTGGAGAGCAGATTGGCGCCGCTAATAGGATCATCCTCGGCCACTCTGGTCGCGCAGCCGGGCCATGAGTGTATCAACGCAGCTAATTGAGGCTCTCATAGCCTTTCTTGCTCTGCACAGCTGCTGTTGAATGGCCACAGGCATGAGGCGGCCTGTGGTAAGCCCGTGTCAGTGTACGAAGACCGTTGAGTTGTCTTATGTCCAGGCGATCAGCGGAGACTCAGAATACCATAGCTAGGATAGAGTGCGATTGCGCATACCATATGAACAGGATATCTGTCAAATTTTCGTGAGGCGGCGCAGGCAGTGAAGGTCAAATCAAGGTTCGTAGCGTTGAGAAGCCCGCTGGTACGCCACATATTTGTTGCTGCGTACCAGTGAGTCATGGTGGCCGTGCAGAGGCACTCAGATGCGATCTGAGGGCAGTGCAACATGTTCTCGCTTGCGTGGAAGCCACAAGGTCATCCAAATACGAGGTCACGACGAGTTGTGGGTCCCCTCTGATGCGCATCACGAGCCCGCAAGAGACTGGCGCGGGCCGGACGACCGTGAAGGACATCTAATCTTATCGGGGATACACTCTCCGGATCGAGTCAGGCTGAACGTGACTGAGGTCGATGCAGAATCTGCTTTTAAGACGAGTTCTGCTCACTCGGTCACGTATTCCGCTCGCCCCAAGCCTCCGCGTCGTCGGCCTCCGCAGAAAACTCGGAACGTCGTGCACAAGAATGGATCCCAAGCCAGTCGCCTCCACCTCCCAGCCGGCGACGACCGCGCTCGATGCGCCCCACGCCGAGCCTACGGTGGATAAGCCCAAGCAGCCCCAGCAGAAGAAGGCGAAGGCGCAGGCGAACGAGGCGCAGCATCCCCTCGAAGTGCGTGTGGTCCCCGTCCAGATCGATGTGCGCTAACGGGAGGGAGCGCAGCTGCAACCCCCGCCCGAGTTCTTCGACCACCGTATCAAGATGTACGATCAGCTCAAGGCGGAGTATGATGAGTTTGTGAAGGGTGCGTAGTGTCCTTCCCCCCTTCACCTCACGTACTGAACGCGTCTTTTGTAGCTCAACCGCGTGAGGAAATCACCATTACTCTCCCCGATGGCGCCGAGCGCAAAGGGACCAGCTGGGAGACCAGCCCCATGAGCATCGCTCTGGAAATCTCAAAGGGCCTCGCCGACAAGGTCGTCATTGCGAAGGTAGGTCAGAGAGTGTCCCTCGCTCCTTTCCGTTTTACCAATTTGTGCCCAGGTCGACGGCCAACTCTGGGACCTCGAACGGCCGCTGGAAAAGTCATGCAAGCTTGAGCTTCTCGACTTCGATCACCCTGAGGGCAAGCGCGTCTTCTGGCACTCGTCCGCACACGTCCTTGGTGAAGCCGCCGAGCGGCACTATGGCTGCCACCTCTGCCTCGGTCCTCCCACGGACGAGGGCTTCTTCTACGAGATGGCGATCGAGGACCGCCCAGTCCAGCCTAGTGACTACCCTGCCTTGGAGAAGGTCTCGGAGAAGGCCATCAAAGAGAAGCAAAAGTTCGAGCGCCTCGTCGTGTCGAAGGAGAACCTGCTCAAGATGTTTAACGTGGGTTGGTCGCTCTTTTTCGGCTTGGATTCGTCTGACTCTTACTCCCTACAGTACAACAAGTATAAGCAGTATCTCATTCAGACGAAGATTCCCGACGGCGAATCTACGACTGTGTACCGCTGTGGCCCTATGATCGACCTGTGTGTGGGCCCACATATCCCCCACACGGGCAGGATAAAGGCCATGATGGTCACCAAGGTTTGTTTTCCTCGTATCGTACGAGCTCTTCTGTTCTCTTACCCATCTTTCAGAGCTCCGCGTCATACTTCTTGGGTGATCAGGCGAACGATACCTTGCAGCGCATCTACGGTATCTCCTTCCCGGACAAGAAGCAGCTCGCTGAGCACAAGGCCTTCCTCGCCGAGGCTGCGAAGCGCGACCACCGTAAAATCGGCAGGGAACAAGAGCTGTTCTTCTTCCACGACCTCAGCCCGGGCAGCTGCTTCTTCTTGCCGCACGGTACTCGTATCTATAACACGCTCATCGAGCTCATGCGAGTGGGTCCGTTCTTGCTCGCGTGCGAGTCATCCGTGCTGACGCCCATGCTAGTCAGAGTACTTCAAGCGCGGTTACCAAGAAGGTGTGTTATTGTTGTGATTCAGTGAAAAGGTGGCGTGAGCTAATGGGCGCCTAGTCATCTCGCCCAACATGTACAACGCGAAGCTGTGGGAAACGTCCGGGCATTGGGAGAACTACAAGGACGACATGTTCACGCTCGACATCGAGAAGGACAACTGGGCGCTGAAGCCAATGAACTGCCCGGGTCACTGCCTGATCTTCGACTCGAGGGATCGCAGCTATCGTGAGCTGCCCATTCGCATGGCGGAGTTTGGTATCATCCATAGGTATATACCATTCACTCTCTCCGTGACTCACCATCCGCTAACTCTCGGCTACCCATAGAAACGAAGCCTCTGGCGCGCTCTCCGGCCTGACGCGCGTGCGCCGCTTCGTGCAGGACGACACGCACATCTTCTGCATGCCGTCGCAGGTGGAGGCGGAGATGGCGGGCTTGTTCGACTTCATGCAACACGTTTATGGTATCTTTGGCTTCGAGTTCCACCTCGAGCTCTCCACCCGGCCCGAGAAGTACCTCGGCGAGGTCGAGACGTGGAATGCCGCGGAGGACGTATGCCCACATCCCCTTACCCTCTACGCGTCGTACTGACACCGCCTCCCCCTCTAGCAACTCAAACAAGCCCTCGAAAAGTACTACCCTGGCAAATGGGAGCTCAACCCGGGCGACGGCGCGTTCTACGGGCCGAAGATCGACATTACGATCCGCGACGCGCTGAAGCGCGCGTACCAATGCGCTACCATCCAGCTTGACTTCCAGCTCCCGCAGCGGTTCAACTTGAAGTACAGGTCGAATAATGAGGAGGTGCAGAGGCCGATCATCATTCATCGGGCGATTTTGGGGAGTATCGAGCGCTTTGTGGCGATTGCGACGGAGCATTTTGCGGGGAAGTGGTGAGTGGGGGTTGTGGGCTTTTCTACTTGGGCAAGATGGCTAACAGCTGCCCAACAGGCCTTTCTGGTTGTCGCCGAGACAGGTGCTAGTTATTCCGGTTGCTGCTCCTTACGTGCGTTCGATCCAATTTCACAAGGCTGGCGGGGATTGACGGTTTTACAGAAAGAGTACGCATCCGAGGTCGCCGAGACGCTTTCGAAGGCCAACTTGTACGCCGAGGTCGACAACAGCGACAACACGCTGCAGAAGAAGATCCGCAACGGCGAGATTGCGCAGTACAACTTCATTCTTGGTGAGCTCAGCCTTTCACGTATTCGTTACTGCTTGCTCACAACTCCCTACTTTGCTCTAGTCGTCGGCGAGACCGAGCTCGAGTCCAAGTCCGTCAACGTCCGCAACCGCGACGACGTTGGCACGAAGGCCCGTAGCGCGACGATCCCGCTCGCGGACATCGTTGACAAGCTAGTCAAGCTGAAGGAGTCGAGGAGTCTGAAGAACCAGTTCATTGAGGCGTAAGCCACGGTTCATGGAGGCATAGGCCTGCTTGTCGAATTGAACGTCTATTGCTATTGCTAGATACGTACATACAATAACCTTATTCTCTGCTCAAAACTCTGAAGTGAGCGTGAGCAACTTTCAAGCGAGCGAGAGCTTCAAGTCGTGAATTTGAGTAGAAAACAAGGTCGATCCTAACATGACTATACAAAACTGCCTGCTGTGGTAAGTTCAGATGACCGAGTGGTTAAGGTGATGCCCTGCTAAGGCATTGTGCTTTGCACGCGGGTGTTCGAATCGCCCTCTGAACGAACTTTTTTCTTTCTTTCGGGAAACTACGTCAAAGGTTACTTTTTGCAAGACACAAGAGCGACACCACCGATATTACAGGGTAGACAGACGCACACACCTGGCACATTTCCCTCAAGTTCACGGCCCGGGTGGGGCGTCGGAGATACTGGTCACGCCCCACGTCACAGTTCAACATCCGCGGCTTCCCCGCAATGATATTGACAGTCACAAAGGCATGACCATTGTCAAAGGATGATGAGGGATGGTGTTCATTGCCAGAGGATGATGTGCTCGCACGACTATCTGATACGCAGCCTGGCGCTCTCGGTATCGCTCCTCCGATAAGGGGAACAATGGTGCACCCTACGGCCGAGCCCGCGGTCTCTCCAGAAAGCCCTTTCCGAAGACGTCCGCTAAGCCAGGGAGCACGGATGTTGCCAAGTACCTATGGCCCGCTGTACACCCGCTCTATACTGCCCTGCGCGTACCCACACTCCTGTATACCGCAAACCCAAGCTCACATGCCCTCCGCCTTCATCCTGTGCGCCGATACATACCTGACGTCTTACCTCCCCTCCACGGGACTGCATCCTCCCCGTTCCACGCTCCCCACCTTCCTCTTCCTTCCCCGGGTCCATCAAGTGACTCGGCCCATTACCCTACCCCTAGCCAGCGAAGCCCGCCATCCAAGCCCAGATGGCGTGATTGCTGCAAAAGCGCGGACCAGATGACGAGCAACGGAGCTCTCTTATATATGCCACTCGCCACCGATACCCGCACTCACCAGCCCTCCTAACCTTATCTTATCCTCTGCTCAGCGTACGCCATGGTCGCCGTCACCACTACGCAGACCGCCACCGAGACGCAGCCGCTCGAGGAGAAGCTCGCGGCGCTCGATATAGGGCAGACAGTGGGCAAGCCGGAGCTGCCCAAGTGGCAGAAGCCGCCTGTGACGAAGGATGAGAACATTGAGTGGGTGCGTGGATCGTCTGCTAGGGTGGGAGGTTAGTGGGCTGATCCGTGTGCGCAGGCCGACATTCTCACTGTCGACCTTTCCCTATACGACACCAAGCGTGACGAGCTCATCGAGACCGTCCGCACGGCACTCCAGCGGGACGGCTTCTTCTACGTCGTTGGCCATGGCATCCCGCAGGAGACGGTCCGTTTTCCCTCGCCTCCTCCGATGTTTACTGAGATCTGACACGCCGCCTAGCTCGACCGCCAATTCGACATCGGCCAGCACACCTTCGACGGCGTCTCCCGCGCCGAAAAGGAGAAGCACCGCGCTCTGATCAAGGAAAACGGCAGTTTCATGGGCTACAAGCTCCCCAACTACTGGGAAATCAAGGACGGCGTCCGCGACCGCATCGAGCACTACAACTTCTATCAGAATAGGTGAGCCACCATGGAAGGCTATGCGCCAAAGACTCACCTTCCTACTGAAGCTTAGACCCCGTCACCCGGCACCCGGCGCCTATCCGGCCGTACGTCGAGGAGACGAAGGCGTTCCTGGAAGTACGTCCCACCTCACTTGATTGAGTAGATTGTCAACTGACGATATTTCCAGGAAGCCCGCCAAAAGGTCCTCCGCCGCATCTGCAACCTCATCGACGGCGTCCTCGAGCTCCCCGAGGGCTACCTCTGGAGGCTGCACGAGACCGACGACGGCCGGCGCGGCGACGACCTCCTGCGCTACATGATCTACGACCCGCTCACCTCGGAGGAGAAGCGGAAGACGAACGGCGTGATGCTCAACGGGCACACCGACTTCAACTCGCTCTCGACCCTTGTCTCGCAGCCGGTTACCGCGCTTCAGGTGCTCATGCCGGATGACAAGTGGCGGTACGTGAAGCACCGGGACGGGGCGCTGGTCATCAATATTGGCGACCAGTTGGCGTTTATGAGTGGGGGGATCCTGAAGGGGACGATGCATCGGGGTGAGTGAAGGGTTAAGGTGTCAGAGAATCAGGAAACTGACCTGGTTGCGCAGTTGTCACCCCGCCTTCGGACCAGCAGAACTTCCGTCGCCTTGGTGTCTTCCACTTTGCGCACTTCGTGAGCGGCATCCCGATCGACCTCCTGCCGTCGAAGAAGGTGAAGGAGGAGGGCCATGTCATCTTCGAGGACCGTATTCCTACAACAGACGAGTGAGTGGCCTAATCCCTTTGACGTCGGCTGCGCCCTGTCAAGTCGGCGAGCAACAGCTAACCTTTCCTCACAGATGGGAAACCACTCGCGTTCGCAACTACGGCACGGCGGACTTCATCCGGGGAGAAGAGTACGACATTGAAATTATCAACGGCGTGAAGTTGAGGCACTACCACTGAGGGAACCGCCATTGAGGATGTGGCGCAAAAGTTGTACTTTATTTTGTGTTTCGACCCTTGTAAGACCGTAAGGATACCTTGGATAACTGCGCCGAGCATCGAGCAAATTGCAATCTTCTCGTGTCTGAATCAACCGAAAGCTGTGTCGCAATGAAATGGGGATCTGCATCGAAAGTAGGTGATCGCAGAACGCGGATTCGCATCCGAATACAAGGCTCGTAGGCGTTTGTACGCATCGTCGAGGGTCACAAGGATGACAGAAGGTCGGAGGAATTGTCAAATGGTTCCAGAGTCAGAGCAACAGTGCGAGACAACACAGTCGATGTACAGGGCGAGGGAAGTGATCTATACGCGAGGATACCCGTCTGTAACCTATGAATGAGTGAGTAAACAGACAAAGCCAGATAAGAGGAGAGGACGCACATATGAGATACACGCAAGGTAGTTATGCCTTCGCCTTCCCGTCTTTCGCCATGTACTTCCCGTTCACGGCGACGAAGTGGTAGCCCAGGACCGCGAGCATGGCGAAGGTACCCAGGTAGTTTGCCAGTGAGTACAAGGTTTCGTGTTCCATGGTGGCTGAGGCTACAGTCAGTCAAGAAGCTATAGATTGCAGTCTGCACGCACAAGGAGTGTGGGGGAAGTGATCAAGGTGGAGGAGAGCTGCGCGCCATCGCGTCGTGTCCCCGGCAAGTCGGGCCGTAATTGCGGCGTGACCTGTTTGGCATCGGCGTTTCCCGGAAGGGATCGCGGCCAACCAGCGCCTGCGTCTTCCGCACCAGACACTCCTTACTCGCCGTCGAAAACAACATGCGGCCCTCTGCAGTTCGAATGGGCGAGATGCCCGGCCGTGAGTGGTGCTCTTTGTGTGAAAGACACTTATTCTGACAATATGTTTCTTCAGCTCTGGCCTACGTGAGTTCAGCGAATCATGTTGCGCGTGTATGCAACTGACACCGTCTGCAGTCCCCGTGGTGGGGTACCCCGATCAAGAAGCAGAAGGGCATCGGGGCGTACAGTGCGTAGTTGCGCTCTCTGTGTATGCAGCGAGCTGACCCAGTCATGCAGCCATCTCGCCGTACCAGTCGAAGGCGGCACCCAACATGATCCGCACCTACATCTTCAACGCGTACCGCCGTCTTTCCGGAGAGGCCTTCTTCTTCGTCATTCCCTTCGCTATTGGTGCGTAGAGACACCTTGTTTGTTGTCCTTTGCTGATCGACTGGACGCAGGCTACGGCACCTACGCCTGGGCGAAGAAGTACGACGCCTGGCAGAACAGCAAGGCCGGCCACATCGCGCTCGGCGGCTCGCACTAGACGTGTAGCTTGTTATGACAGCGGTATAGAGCAATGCATGTGCCTCAACCTTTCGGACGTCCCTCCTACGCGTGCCATACGCAAGTCACTCCCTGGCGCGGACATAAAAACGGCTGTGAGCAAGCCCTTGGCCTGGGGCCCTTCTCCCATACTTTTGCTTTCTACGCTGCGATGCTGCTGCTTCGGGATAAGTCGTCTAGTTTCTGATCACGCCTTGGGTCGTTGGAGCTTGAAAGCGGTTAGGGCCATTTCGCAGTCGTGTGGCCGTTTTGCGCAAGTTTTGTTCCCATCTTCTCTGACCTGAGCAAAACTCCGCTTTATTGGGTAGACCTCCTACTAGTGTACGTCCTACACCAGTAAGAATATGAAGAATACGCCGTTGCTTCTGTGTTCTCTCAACTCTTCGACTCTGTCAATTGAGGCATGATATGGAGATAAGATAAGATTAGCGCGTGGGTGGTCAGCAGGGAGGCAACTCATCAAGTTCGCCTTGGACTTGTCCATCTCGACGGTGTCTGACTCTGCTGGTGTAGATGGCGCGCAGTGTCTGGCGCGTAATACTCTAAACACAATACCTGGCCTGCACATCTCGACCTGCGGGACAATCGCCTCCACTGCTCATACAACCGCATTCGTCGCGCAGCGTCCATTGCCTCGCTCGCGCCTCACGCACTTCATAACTTGGCTCGTACTTTGATCAGAACACACATCTAACGATCTATGGGCAATGCACAATCTGGATCGACTCTGACGCGTACGACGGGGGCGCTGGACTCGTTCGTTGGGGAGTTGGGAGGGGATGTGGTTTATGACAAGAGGTGCGTCGGCAGTGTGTGCGCCAGGAATTGAGCTGAAGACAGAGGCTTAGCTTGGGAGCGGCACGATTCCTGAAGACTGTGAAGTGCCGGCACCCTAACGGCTTCCTGGTGGTCAAGATATTCATCAAGCCAGATCCGGGGTTGAGTCTGAGGACGTATGCTAGGAGATTGAAAGGCGCGTTTGCTCGAGCGTTCTTAGCGCATGAAAGCTGACGGATCCTACAGTCGAGCGAGAGGCGCTGTCAGAGCTGCCGAACATCTATAGCTACCAGAGCTTCGTTGAGACGGAGCGAGCGGGGTACACCATCCGCCAGTATGTGGCTAGCAATCTATACGACCGCATCAGGTGCGTCGCAATACCCTCCTTAACCTCCCCATCACTGACTAACACTTCCCTATCTCCCCCCAGTACCCGCCCCTTCCTCTCCCCGATCGAGAAGAAGTGGATCGCGTACCAAGTACTGTCCGCCCTCAGTGACGCGCGCGCCCGAAAGGTCTCGCACGGCGACATCAAATCCGAGAACATCCTCGTCACCTCCTGGAACTGGGTCTACCTCACCGACTTCGCATCCTACAAACCAACCTACCTCCCGCTCGACGACCCCGCGGACTTCTCGTTCTTCTTCGATACGGCGGGGAGACGAACATGCTACCTCGCGCCGGAGCGGTTCTACACAGCGGATAGTCAACCGGCGATTAGTGCGAAGAAGTCGAGGTTGGCGGAGGCGGAGGAGGGCGAGGGCGAGGGGAGGAGGGATGGGAAGGTGACGGAGGCGATGGATGTGTTTGGCGCGGGATGTGTGCTGGCGGAGTTGTTTTTGGAGGGGGAGCCGCTGTTCACGCTCAGTCAGCTGTTCAAGTATAGGGATGGGGAGTATGCGGTGGATGGGCCGCTGGCGAGGATTGAGGATGAGGGTGCGAGGGTGAGTGCTCTTGTGTTGACGGCGCGCTGTCTGAGTGCCTATCTGCGCGTTCACTGGGCTGAGCTGACATATGCGCCTAGTAGACGTTGATCAAGCAGATGATCTCGCTGGATCCGGCGCTGCGACCGACATTCGACGATGCGCTTGCTCAGGCTAGAGGGACGGTCTTTCCGGAGACTTTCTACACCTTCCTGCATCAGGTACGTCTCCAGTTCCTCTCTGTAGACATACACCAACCATACCCTCCCAGTATGTCCTATCCGTCAACGAGTTGCCAGCAACGTCGCCCTTCGGCGCGTCGACACCTGCTGTGCCGTCTACGCCTGTTCCGCCGGGTATGGCGCCTTCTACCTCCAGTGCGACGGTTAGGCCTTCGCCGGGCGGTGCTTCGCGCGAACCCGAGACAGGGACGACTATGGACGTCCTGCCGAGCGATTCTGACCGGAGGATAGAGCGCCTGTGGACGGATTGGGAGACTATTGAGGTATGTTGTAATGCTCTACTGAGCACAACTAGGTGTTGACTATCGATTAGGCCGGGCTCTCGCTTGCACCCAGCACGGTAGAGGAGGAGGGCGCGGATGTGAAGGTGGGCAAGAGCGGATCGTCGTGTCCGATGACACTTGAGCGAGGTTCTCAACAGGTCCAGTATGGATACTCGGCACCTGCCATCAAATCCCTACAAGACGTCCTTCCCGTGCAGCTACATCTGCCAGGCTACGAAACCAGATTGACACAGGGGCCTGCTGCGGCTTTGGAAGGTATGCATTTTCCGCAGAATCGCCTTCCGCCTTGCAAAGTTGACGCGTTTGCAGACGGCCCAGCACTGATCATCCTCGCGCTCGTGTCTTCGAATGTCCGGAACTGCAGTTTGCCGTCTTCGAAGACGCGAGCGCTGGATCTCCTGTTGGCCCTCTGCCCGCATCTGACGGACGAGGCGAAGCTGGACCGTATGGTGCCGTACATTGTCGACTTGTTACACGATGATGCGGCAACGGTGCGGTCTAGCGCGTTGAGGACATTGATACAGGTAGTACGTCGCACCTCTCAATGTACCGATTCTCGTCCAGCTTATCTCTACACAGCTCATGCTCGTCACCGCCCTTACGCCCTCCAACGCGGCCATCTTCCCCGAGTACATCATCCCGAACATATGGCACCTCGTACAAGATGCGGACGTGTCTGTGCGATGCATGTACGCACAGTGTATAGTCCAGTTTGCGAACACGGCGGTGAGGTATTTGGAGATGGGGCAGGCGTTGCGTGCGCATGGGACGTTCCAGCTGTCGACAGAGCCGCAGGAGTATGAGGCGGCGGATAATGAGGTGAGCTTTGAGTCCTGTTTGCGCGATGACATTCCGTCTTGTAAAGCGACAAAGCCTGACGATGACCACCCAGCTCTCCTACGATGCTTCCATGCAAGACCTGCAAAACGCCATCCAGCAACATCTCTCTGCGCTCCTCACGGATCCCTCGAGCGTGGTCAAGCGCGCGGTATTACACGATATCTCGTCCTTATGCATCTTCCTCGGTCGCCAGCGCACGAATGACGTGCTGCTCAGTCATATCATCACGTATCTCAATGATAGGGACTGGATGCTTCGGCATGCGTTCTTTGAGAGTATCGTGGATGTGGCGGCGTGCGCGGGGGGAAGGAGCTTGGAGGAGTATATTTTGCCGTTGATGATTCAGGCGTTGTCGGGTGAGTTTGCTAGTACGAAAAAGTTTTGATGATGTGACTAATCGAGATGTAGATGTTGAGGAGAGCGTGGTGGCGAAGGTGCTGGGTGCGCTTACGAGTCTTTGTGATATCGGCCTCTTTCAGAAGATGCGGCTTTGGGAGTTGATGAGCGCGACCCTTGGGTTCTTGTACCATCCGAATGTGTGGATTCGGCAAGGTGAGGGTGGCTGCTTGTTCCCAGCGTGGCGAAGGGCTGACTAGTGTGTAGCTGCTGCTGCCTTCATCTCGTCCGCCGCCCGGCCACTACCGGACGCGGACGTGTGGTGCATTCTCTACCCTTCGCTACGACACTTCCTGAAGTCGGATGTGGCGACTATCGACGAGAAGAGTCTCCTCATGGCGATGAAGCCTCCGGTGAGTGCCGCCGTCTCATCGTGTACTAACGATAACGCTGATGTAATCATGCAGCTGTCTCGACAAATATTCGATGCGGCAGTGCAATGGGCGATGAAGTCCGACAAGTCGAACTTCTGGCGAGGTCAGCGCCGCGCAAGAACGGAGTCGCCACGGGAGAGCGTTGTCGCTATTAGGAAGTCGGGCAATACGATTGCGAGGAATAGGAATGAGGAGTGCGTATATCCGAGCGAACCCGAAGGTTGCAAAGAGGCTGACCTTAGTTTGCCAGGGACGACGCGCAACTGGCAAAGCTGAAGCAGATGGGCATGTCTTCAACGGAGGAGTCGAAGCTGCTCGCGATGCGTGACTACATCCTCAAGCTGGCGAATGCTACGGCAAGGTCAGGATATCATCTGTCGCCTTCGGACTGTGTATTCATTAGGTTGCAGCTTTGGCTCTCGATTGGGCACCGAGGTCGAGACGGAGAGGAACCTGAAGACCATCGAGCCGATCGAGCTACCAAAGTTGAACGTAGTGCCGCAAACTATCTTCCTTGACAGTCGTACCACTACGCCGACGACAGCCCGACCACGACTGTACTCATCCCCGCGCAAGGCTGGCCTGGAGATGACCCCACGATCAATGCCCATGAGTCCTCTGGGCAGGATAGTCAGTCTCGAATCTCCGGCGCCGTTCGAGGATCTTCGTCGGCGACTCGCAACTATCAATGGCTCTGCAGCGTCGTTGGGCACACCACCGCCTTCCTCACCGCGACAACCGAACCCTATGCAAAGTCTAGCGCCCTTCCCTCCTTCACCCGCCTCTCCATCGCCTGCTCCTCGACGGCCGGATAGTCCGACGGAGTCTATTGTCTCGACAACGAACTCGTCTGCTTTCCGTCCTCCAAGCAGACTACAGGTCGGGAGCATGGACACGCATAAAGCTGCCCCGCTCATCGGTTCGTCGAGAGCGAATGCGACTGGGGTGCTCGAGGCCCATGCTACAATGCGGGAGATCTCGCCTTCACGTTCTGGTCGGTCCTCGCCTACATCCATGCATGGTGGTCCATCGGCGCAACGACAAAATGCGCCCGGCTTGCAGCACCTGCGAACCCTGGGCACTGAACCCAGCGTGAACAACCTGCTCGAACATATCGTACACGAGAACAACCGCGAGCTACAGAACGACTTCGGGCCGAAAGTGCACGAAGGGCCTGTCCGGAGACGAAATCCTGTCCGTCATGGCTTCGGCAACCGCGACGGGTCACGACGGACAGAGGCGACGCTCGTCGCGCACCTATCGCCTCATAGCGCAGCCATCACTGGTATTGCTGTGTCGCCTGACCACATGTTCTTCGTGTCGGCGTCGGACGACATGACGGTCAAGGTCTGGGACTCGGCGCGTCTTGAACGCAATGTCACGAGCAAGCCGCGGCACACGTATACGCAGCATCATGCGCGGGTGAAGAGTGTGTGTACGCTCGAGGGCGTGCATTGCTTTGCGAGTGCGGCGGATGACGGGAGTCTGCATGTCGTGCGCGTGCATGTGTCACAGAACGGGGCGGTACCGAAGTATGGCAAGCTGCAGACCATACGCGAGTATCGTGTAGACAATGTTGGCGAGTACATCACTTGCATGTCCCATTTCAACACAGGTGCGCGGGATCTCTGCATTGCTCTCACTCCTTGGCTGACTGCGCGAAACAGACAACGCGTCCAACCTTGTTTACTGCACGACTCATTCAACGATCACCATCCTGGACCTTCGCCTCATGCGCGTGTTGCAGACCATGGAGAATCCACGACAGTACGGGCCCATCACCTGCATGGCTATGGACCGCAAGAGAACGTGGATACTTGTCGGAACGTCCACCGGAGTGCTTTCCCTATGGGATCGCCGCTTCGGTTTGCTCCTGAAGAGCTGGCATACAGCTGCCGCTTCCAACGGGAAATGCGCCCGAATACACCAATGCGTCGTCCATTCGACCAAGGGGAAGGGCAAATGGATTATGGTCGCCGTCGAGACAGCGAAGCAAGATCCCGAGCAAGGCCACCCCGCGGTCATCGTAGAGGTGTGGGATATAGAGAAGATGCAGCTTATGGAGACGTTCGTGACGCGCACATCTCTAGCCTCGGAGCCGTTCTCGCAGAAGTTCGACGCTTCTGGCACGGAGGCCGACACCAGCCCAGCGTCGGCGATAGCAGCGCTGGTACGCTCCCGTCAAGCCGGTGCGGACAGATCCCGATTGCCATCGGACAGCATCTTCAAGGAAGAGCCAGCGGCTCCGGCGCCTGACATTCGCTGTCTCGTTGTCGGCACAGAATTCGGTGGACATACAGCGCACGTATCGGACTATGGCACTCGAGCGAAGGAGCATCGACTGAGAGGCTTCATGCTCAGCGGCTCAGAGGACAGGAAGATGCGCGTATGGGATCTTGAGAAGCCGGATAGGACAACCATACTCACTGGCGCCGATGCGGAGCAGGAGAGTCCGAAGTACAGGTGCGTATCCCAATTTCTCTCGTTTTGGATTCAAGCTAATATACTCCATTTAGCATTGTTTCGGACGATGGCTCTGCGACCGCGATCGTTGAGACGTGGCCCCCTGCGCCTAGTCCAAGCTCAACGAATCGACCAACGCAGCGACTTTCTCTCATCACGAACAACCAGCAGAACTTGCTGAAGGCCCATCAAGATATCATCACGGCATTGGCCTGCATCGACTCACCCTTTCGCGGCGGTGTTGTCAGCGGTGACCGTTCCGGTACGCTCAAAGTGTGGAGGGTCGACGTCGGCGTCAGCGATGCATAGCCATCTATTTTCTTTGCTCCTCTAAATTTTTATTCTTCATATCCATGCTCGCAATCCATCATGCTGACTGCTATGTGCCTCTTGAGGAGTTGTGCATCACGGGCTTGATTTGTGACTGGAGGCCAGGGTGTCTAGAGCCTGAGGCGTCTGGCGGCGTGGTTTGGGTGGCCTGTGGCAATGCCCGCTGCTCACCTCGCGCATTCAATCCTTTGATAGGTATACCCAGAGACTACCTTACGATTGACTTCGGTCAAGCCCTGCAGAGAACTTGGCTTCATGAACCTGATTCGCCCATTCAGTCATTCACCCGGGCCCAACGGGAGCTCGCCAGCCATAGCGGCCGTCGTCGCTGTAGGCCCCGTTGTTTGCGCGGGACGAGCAAAATTAACCACTGGGCCTTAAACTACCCTAACTAAGGACTGCGAGCGTCCTCGATGCAGACTTGGGCGATGTCTTTGGAACCGGAAATTGTTCGCCCGGCAAGGGCATATTTTTATGACCTCGTGAACCACGTTTCTCCGCGCTTCACTGTACACTTTCCTCGTAGCGAGGTAAGTTCTCCCTGTCTTCGTCCGGCCTCCTGACGCCGTGCAGAACGACATGGCCACCTGGTCTGGCGACAGCGCCGTGTTGTCGAGATGACGCGCACGACGCTGCGACGGTAGGTATATAAGCCTGAGACCGAGGGCTACATTTCCCCAGCTTCGGTCACATCCTCAACCACACTTCACACACAACATGCGTTTCTTCTCCATCGCTGCTGCCCTCTCCGCGGCCACTGTCGCGCTTGCCCAGGAAGCAGCTCGCTACGGTGCCCTCACCGTCGACAGCGGCAGCAACATCAGCGCTGGACAGGTATGGCCGTCCGTGATTCTCAGGCCAGTCGAATTCTGATCATCGTCCAGACGCTGTCCCTCACCTACAACTCCACCGTTGCGCGCTACACGCCCAAGACGGTGGATTTCGTCCTGCAGGGGACGAGGGCGAATGGCAACCAGACGCCGTACGTTATTCTCGAGCGCAACGACTACTCCGCGGACCAGAAGGTCCTGCAGAAGGACATCACGGTATGTCTCCACTTCAACGTTCGGTGCTTCACTCAAGGCTGACGCTGCGACGTAGTTCCCGGACGTCAAGAGCGCCATCGGCGACGACGTCTCTAACTGGCTGGTGAGTGGAGTCGCATACAACTCTGCCTTCCCCATTGCTAAGGCTCTACCTAGGTCATTGCGTATATCACCTACAACATTGATGACTACAACCCGCCCGTTGTCCTCTCGGGTGGCACTACGGCCGCCATTACCATCGTTTGAACACGGTTAATCTAGCATGTCATGCTATGGACAAGGGACTTGGATTCGAGCACTTACAATCTAGTTTCAATAGCTCTATTGCTGTGGTTGTTGGTTCTCGAGTTAGTCAATAAGCATCTGATTCATCGGCACGAAAGACTTGGCCTTGCCCGCGACTTGAGCCTTGTCGACGATTGACTTACAAAGGCTGTTTGAACAAGAGCCTTGTCCCGAAAGATCGCTCGCAGATTTCATCGATGGTGGCAAGGAATATCATTCTGGGCGCTGTAAGCCCTGCGGTGAAAAGAAATTTCTGAACACTTGTCGAGGTCCGCGACTCATCTAGACACCAAAACAGGTAATTACTCCTCCACGCATGTTGTGGGTCCACTGTGCAGGACTCTCAGGGTGACAAGTTCGGTGGCGGGCTGGTGCCATCTCGGCCGCACATTGCTTTAAACTGCCTTCAAGGTCACCACTCATCCAATGGTGGGTTTCCAGTACCTTCGAAGCAGAGTGAAACCACCGTACCTGTCTCCGCCGGTCTGCGGTTCCCGGATCGTGCATGCACATCCTCGCCATGAACTCTGAATCCAGGGAGCCTGGCCGTCCCGTGCGCGTGCCGCGCATCGATTCAATGGCGTCGATCTTGCATGAAGTATCACCTCGAGACGGTGGCCTTCATTCTGGTTCTTTCGAACACTGCCTCTCCGACCTTGCGTCCCCGCCTTGAATGGACAGTGACTGAGCGGAACATCCCCGCTGAGCAACGAGACCCGTTGAAGGGCACTGCTCTGCGTCCATCTTACTCTCGAGTTGCGTCGATGCGGTCTCCTGATGCCGTTCAAATCTATACATTTTCGGCAGGTTGGGCTACAAGTGTGCCGACGCCACTGGTATAAAAGCAGAGAAAGTAGGCGTCATATCCTCCAGCTCCAAACAGCAGTTTTACAACCTTCACGTATTCTCAAATGCGTTTCTTCGCTCTGACCACCGCGCTCGCTGCGGCGACCGCCGCGTTCGCGCAAGAGGCGCTACGCTTCGGTGTCGTCACGGTCGACGGCGACAGCACCGTCACTGCCGGCGATGTACGTTTACTCATCATGCTGCGCTCTCAACGACCGACTGATCACGCCTCGCAGACGGTGACCCTCGTCTACAACTCCACGCTGGCGCGCTACAAGCCCGAGACGGTCGACTTCCTGATGCAGGGAACGAGGACGAATGGCGACCCCACCCCGTGGGTCGTCCTCGCCCGCAACGACTACGGCGCGGACCAGAAGATCCTGAGGAAGGACGTCAGGATCCCGGACGCGGTTGGCGCTTTCGGTGCTGACGTACCCAACTGGGGAGTGAGTCCTTCGTACACGTCTCTCATCTTCGAGGATGGCTGACGCTTTCTCACCAGGTCTGGGCATACATCACGTACCCGTACGACGACTACGACCCGCCCCTCGTCCTCACGGGCGGTGTCTCTGCTCCTGTGCAGATCGTTTAGTGTAACAAACTCAAGGTACAATCTACGTACTCGGATCTTATGATCTGGGATAAGAATCCAGGGACTGTACAATAGCATCAGAAAGCTTCAGTAATTCGTGCTTGAGACCAGTTATCCTTTGTTCAATTGGATGGGTCGCAATCGCTGTGAGAGACACTTCTTTATCAACCCTGAGTTCGATTTCGAAGCCAAGAAATTGGATAGCGGCCAATGTGCCCGACAAACAGTATGTCTGCCCGACTCTAGGCTAGCCATTCCCTGCGTGAGACTTCGACGTACTTCGGCTGGTAGACGGCGCAATGAAAACGACGTGGTGTGAGCCTGCCTAAATTACTGTGAAAGAGCATGGATCATAGAGAGAGAAACGGCATGATGTACATATACACATAGTTTGACGATCTGGACGTACGGTCAGGCTAGCGAACGCCGACGGAACTTTGGTGCACATACCAATGCAATCCTGCAAGCAAACTTCTAAGGTGCCTCTAAGAAGGACGAACAAGTTTAATACCTACACAACGATAGTCAGAACGAACCTTTTCACGCGCGCACAACATGAAAAGAAATGAACAAACAGAGTAACAACACTCACTCTTCGTCCGAGTACCTCTCCTCATCGCTGGGGTACACAATCCCCGCCTCCTCATCCTCGTCCTCCACGCCGCCATAGTCCGGGTACTCTTCGTCATCATCATCGAAGGCACCCTGGCCGTAGTAGTTATTGCCACCCCTATCGAGATGATCGGGCGGGTAGTGCTCGGCGTACGGGTGTCGGTGATCGTATTCGTCGTCGTCCACCTGGTCGCCGTCATCCACTTGGTCGCCATCCTCGACGACGGACCTGTCATCCTGGATGTCGAGGCGCTCGTCCAGGTGCGCGTATGGGTCATGGACCCGCGGACCACTATTCAGGCCATAAGGAAAATCGACGTGCGGGGCGTGATGCGGTACGGGGTACCCCTCGTCGGACGCGCCGTCGTCCTCGTCGTCCTGAATTTCAATGACTTCGGCGACGCCTCCTCCGTCCTCTTCCCCATCCTCCTCGTCCGAGTCGACGGCAGGGAGGCGACGGCGATTCGGTCGCCTCGGTGGAACAGGCATGGCCTCCTCTTCCTCTTCCTCCTCCTCGCTGCTCACGTCGATGACTTCATGCCGCGGGGCGAACAGGGTACGGGTGAGGCGGGCTATCCGACGACCGGCGGCCCTGAGCGCGTCGTCGTTGTCGTCCTCTTCTTCGTCCGATGGGGCCAGATGTGGCGCTTCCTCATCGGCTTCGCCGTCTTCCTCACCCTCCTCTTCACCGTCGCTGTAGCCGTCGCCGTAGAGATTGGGCAGATCGAATCCATCGAACCCATCCTCGTCGTCTGTTAGGTCTTCCTCGTGCGGGAAGAAGTCGAACAGCGGAATGCGCGGGAAGGGAATGAATTCATCGTCTTCGTCGTCGTAGTCCGCGGGGTGGCCAGGATACGCGCGATGGCAGTGCGTGCACTCGCCGCTCCAGATCTCGTGCATGCAGTCGAAGCAACGGTATACTTGATCCTCGGCGTCGTACATGCCCATTTCTTGCTCATCGACATCGTCAGCGACGCCGGGACGGTCACCAGGTGTAGGCGGTTTGTAGATGGGACGGAAGATATGTTTCCAAGGGTCCGCATCGTCCGGAGTAGCCGCCGCGGGCACGAGGGGCGCAGCACCTGCTACCTCGGCCGGAAGTGCTGCAACGAGTGGGACCTGCACAGCGCCCTCTGCCTTGAACAACGTCGTCGCAGCATCCTTCACGGCCCACACCTCCACCGGGCGCTCACGGATGACGGCTCGACAGTGAGGACACGTCTTCTTCTTGTGCACGTAGTTCGGACCATTACTGCCAGCAGTGAACCAGGATTTGAGGCAGCTGTAGCAAGCGATGTGGCCACACGGAGCCATAGCGAAGGGCTTTTGCAGGTAATCAAGGCAGATTTGGCAGGTTAGGCTGTTGGTAATCGACTGTATTGTGTCGTTCTTGAGGGCTAGTTGCTGGTGTCTAGGTAAGCCTCTAAACGCGGACAAAGAGGACAAGGCGGACGTACCACTGACTGCGCCGCCAATGCAGCCTTGAGATTAGCGATAATTTCCTCGGGACTTTCTTGAGGGGGACTGGGTGGCCTCGACCTCGCCTCCGCTTTCTCTCCTTGACTACGCGATCGGGAACGTGTGCCCTTGTTCTCGACATCCTCATCCGCGTGGTTTCTCTACACCGATTGTCAGCACACCCCGCCTTTCTCTACCACGGATTATCACGCACCTTCGCAACTAAACCCGGGCCGACCTCCGTCCCCACCTCCTCTTGCTCCTCGTCCTCCTCCCCACCCTCATCCCCGCGATTGGCCGCAGTAGCAAGCGGGCCCTTCCTCCGACGCTTCTTGCTCCGCTTCTTACTGCTCTGCCGCGCCTGCGCCTCTTGATTCGTCTCCAGCCGCGGTCGCTTGCTCGCTGATGCGCCGTTCTCTGGCTCCTCCGTACGTCTTCGCGTTCCCAGAAGCGAGCTCGTTGATGAGGCGCCCGGTGGCATATTTGTGTGTGCGGTGCGGCTTGCCAATGCGAGTGAGGGTAAGATGCAGAGGCGCGGAGGCGGTGATGGGACAAGGAAGACCTTATAATGGTCACGCGTCACACCGCTTCAATTAGTGGACGTGTCAGCAGGAACAAACAAACACCGCCACTTTTCCCTCTCGGACCCACAACTGGTGATAGCACCGAAAGGGCCCGTCTTATTCTAGAATTGTTGAAAGGGCTCGAGTGATAAGGGGTTCGGGAAATTTTCATTGAGAAAGTAGGTTGTTTGCAGTTACAGTGTAGCGACATAGCGCTGGTCTACAATGTGGCAGATGAGAGGCGGCACACAGAAACATAGAGTTGAATTCTACGAGGTATACTGGTCTGTTGAGCAACATAGACTGCTGGCACAGTTGAATATAGGATGTAACTCGAAGATTGAGAGCTTCACGGCCTCGCGGTACTCGGTCCCTCCTGCAGTGCCTTCCTCCTTTGCTTCTCCGCAAGCTCCACCCACGCGTACAGCGCACCGCCAATCAAGGTCAACGATATTCCCAACACGTTCAACGGCGTGATCATGAAGTCAAAGATCAACACCGCCAGCAAGATCGTCAGCGCCTGCTTCACGTTCGCCGCCACGCTCATCCCGACCGCGCCGACGCGCTTATTCGCCCCGAAGCTGACGACGTTGAGCATGAACGCAATGCAGCCGTTGAGCGCGAGCGCGGTAACGATGCCAGAGTGCGCGCGGATGCTCCGCCCGTCTTTGCCCACAAGTGCCGTGACGACCTGATCCCATTCTCCGGTCATCCAGCTGAGCAGCATGCACTCCGCAAACGCGATGGGGCTGAGGACGTAGAGCAGCGACATGGGGTCGAGCGAAATCGTCGGGCGGGGGAAGTGCAGAGTATGCGTCCGGCTGACGGGTATCTGAACCGATTTCGGGGGGGAGGATATTGTGCTGGGTGCGGGGAGCTTCTCGCTCTTGCTGTCGTAGGCGTGGGTCATGGGTGCCTTGGGGGCCGTTTGCAGGACGTTGGTGAGGACCGTCTTGAGCGCGGCGAGGACGGTACCGAGGATAGTGAGGATAAAGCCGTAGAATGTGCAGTTGTAGTCTCCGTAGGTGGCGAAGCCAACACCCAGCATGACGGGGATGAGGCAGATAACCTTGCCCCTCGATGGTCGCTTGGAGAGCAGGATCATGGATATGGCCAGCGTAAAGATGGGCGTCAGCGCCCGGACCACCTGGTGCACCTATGATATGTTAGTCGATGTGCCGAGATGTACTGCAGAACACGTACAGGTATCGACACCAACCCCAAGCTGAGATTGCTAACCACGATGTTGATCGAGTACAAAAAACTGAACATCACGATGACCACCTTCTCGTCCCTTGTCAGCCGCGGTGGCTTAAACACCTTCAGCCACGCGCACACTATCGTCCCAATCGTCCCAGATAGACAGTGTACCGCCGTCAAGGCGTAGGGGTAGGGAAAGTTGATGAGCACGGATTTGTTGTATAAGGTGAGCGCGAGGTTTGCGGTGAAGTAGAGCGAGAGCCAGAGGCTCTGCGAGTTCTTCCACGAGCGGGGGGTGCTGACGGGCGTGTGGGATAGTAGCGCGTGGGATGTGGGTTTGAGCGTGGTGCGCGAGGGGAGGCTGCGCCGGGGGGTGGTGCTTGACCATGATGGGAGGCGCGCGGTGCAGGAGGGCGAGCGTCCGTGGCCGGCAGTGGACGCGGGCGAGGACCGCTGAGGCCACTGCCAAGAGGGCGCGCGCGCGGCGTGCGTGTGCTTGCCTAATACGGTGCGAAAGGCGCCGGGGTCGCCGAGACCTTCGCGCTCGAGGAGAGCGCCCGCAAGCGAGGGCGGCCTGTAATACTGTTTTCGCGACGCCGCGGGATAGGACGCCGACGAGGACAAAGTCGAATAGTTGGGCGAGTCGTCTGAGTAGCTGGGCGGTGCGTCCTCCATGTAGCTGGGGGTGTAATCGAGACCGTCGCTTGGGTCTGCCGACGCGTACGGCGGGGTCGCCTTTCCCCTCGTGTTCGCGCTGTCCATCATCGAGTCCATCGAGACCGCCGTATGCATCGATCCCGTTGGCGTGCTCAACGTGCTGGCGAAAGGAGGGGTAGTCATGACGGGCGAGCTAGTGGACCGCCGGTCTTCCACCGTGTTTACTTATAGAAGCCGCCGGGAGTGACTTGGAAAACTGAGATTATGAGGCGCGCGGCGGCGTCTAAGACATGAGACTAAATGGCGGGGTGACAGTGGGACAGCATGCGCAAGTTGACTTCATAGGGAGTCAATTTGCTGGTACGCATTGCAGAAGGGCAGAGTTTCTTTAAAGACACAGCGTGTGGCTCATGAAGACGACTTGGGCACATACTTAGATAGACAATAGGCGTCGGGGGAGAAGGGACGACTGTCAATGGAAGCCGGGCTGATAGCGCTGTCTCGGTGTCACTATCGACGTTCAGGTGCCGGGCGGATCGTCATCGCAGCCATGGCGCCAAGCCGGCAGCAGATCGCAGAGTATGTTCGCTCCAGCGCAGTGAGAGGGCCCTACAGTCTCCAAGTGCATAGCCATGGTGTCTTCAAAGTCGAACTTCGCAGTTGGACTTCAAGGTTTGTGGTGGGAATTGATCGGAAGTATTTCCACGTGAAATGATCCCGCGGAAAATGTCATGTGCTTTTCGCGTGACCTCGAGTTGAACTTCAATGGCGTTGCATAGCTGCGAGCGGTTCGCTTTCTTCGAGACCGTTTTTGCTGCTGCCGTTAGTCCCCCGGTCATGCAGCTCAGTCCTCACTCATCGGTCCTGAATTTGCCTTGCGACCCTGCTGCCCTTCGTGGGCAGAAGCTCGCTGCAGAGCAAGTGGAGTGTTTGCTCATAATATTAGAACTATTAGACGCCCACCCGGAGGACATCGACTCATATCGCCTCTGAAGGGGTCCACAATGCGTACTCTGTTTGGGTAGGTGTTGATAGAAGAAGTACCAAGATACTGAGGTGAAGACGAACTCGCAGATCGAGCGTGCGGGTGAGGGCGCGATCTGCACCAGAGAAGAGGGGCGCATCGAGTGTATGTGGGCGGCGAGAACAAGCAAGAAAATTCTTTTGGGCCCTACGCAGCGTTTTTAGCAGTGACTGATAGCCCTCGAGTAAGCAGGAACTGGGCATATTTGAGGAGCCCCGCGCGACCCTGGAGAACGTGTCCACACGGAAAGACGCCGGACACCGTCGACAAAGGGCCGACGATTAAGATGCCAGTTTGCTTGTCCGGCCCCTGCCCGAGTCTTGCATTATCTGTTAGTCCCTTCATTTACCTTACCGTCTGATCAACGCGCTATGTTGTAGCGCAGCAGAAGGGCGAATGGCTGACGCGCGCACTAGGTATTGGAAGACTGATCCACGCCATTTCAGTGGAAGCAAAGAAGGGTCAGCGCGTACCTCGGGTCCTCAGACGGGGTCGCGATGGGCAAGCAAGACCGAGAGGACCGAGCGACCCCAACTAGTGTGGCGATCTCGTAGACTTGTATAATCGCGGTCGTGGCGCTGGAAAGTCCTGATCTTGGGATCGTGACCATGGGACTTCTTCGGTGGGCTTGAGATCGTCAGAAGGTGGAAAGGATTCTGATTAATGGCCGGAGGGACGATCAGTGAAGGACAACGCTGGCACATATAGCGCAATACAATGGACTGAGATGAACGTCTTGCGTAACAAATCAAGCGATTCTGGCGCAAGCACGGTCAGCTGTTTCCCACGTGATGTTGAAGTTGGAAGTCATTTCCAGATTGACGTTCACAGACACATCAGACAGCGCTGGAGCTTGACAGTGACAACAGAACACTCATTGAAAACCCGCACAGATTTCAGGAGACAGGCAGCGCACCGCCTACTAAGATGGCGTGTCATGACACGAAGTATGCAGCTATCGCCCATTAAGCGCATTCTTCGGTAATTAACACAGCTTTACGGGGGACAAGTGCCATTACTCACCCTTCGCGCAGATCCAGGCGATGGCAAATGCCCCTCCTCAGACGAATACACAGGACTGCCATCCAAAGAGGGTCGACGGGGGTGGTTTCATCGCCCGAAAAAATCGGACAGATGAAGGTGACACCAAGGGGGGCGTATCGTTCACCTCCAACTGCATTTCTTGATTCTGTCGTTGCGAACACAGATGAGAGGCGCGAGATGATCGTCCCCGCAACAAATTATATGAGCTAGAAGACGCCATCAATACGCCAATCCCCTGGATCTCCTCCCCACTGACCGCGACGAGCAGCGGGAGCGCTCCCTCCTCGTGATCCGTGGCCGACCCCATCGCCCACCGATTGCGCTAACAGCGGATGTAGCAGCGCATCACTGGCCTCTCGTGTCAGCGTGAATGGCGGGGGCTGAGGCGCTGAAGCCTGATACCTACCACTCGCAGGGGAGCCGCCGTGCCACGCGCCCTTGATGCGGCGTCCAAGACAGTGGCGGGCGCGCCAATGCCAGTGCCATGGTCGTCGGGCTGAGTCAGGTCTGCCCCGCTGGGGGTGGCACTGACATTGTTCGGAATGCTGTGCCGGCAGGGTGTCAATATAAAGGCCAGGGCGGGGAGGGGGAGGGTGTTTCCGCAGGACATACCTCGCTTCCCAGCGTCTTGTACCTGCTCACTAGTATTCGCATCCATGCTCGCGACGATTCCGCCTTCGGTGCTCTCGACTCCCACTTCGCCTGTGACTATGGCGGCGTCTTCGAGTAAGGCCGAGTCCCAGCCGCGCCTGTTCCACTCGGTGAACCAGTACCTGTTGCCCTGCGATGATGAGGAGGGAGAGCGGTGCGTACGAATGTGGTATGCGCAGGGGGCTTTACCTGATTGCATATTACATCGTCAGTTTGCAGCTCCAACATCAGGTTATCAAGCGCCTCTACGAAGGCCGCCTCGTCCTCGCACCCATCGACCTAACCCAACCGCTCTTCATCCTCGACTGTGGCACTGGCGCCGGTAAGTCCGGCCGCATACCACTCACCTCCATTCCTCCCTGTCACCCCTGTCGAACTGAACACTAACCAATCCCGCAGGCGTCTGGCTCCTCGATGTCGCCCGCGCCGCGCACCCCAGCTCCGTCCTCCACGGCATCGACATCTCCCCGCGCCTCTTCCCCCTCGCCTCCCGCCCCGGCAACGTCTCACTCGCCGTCACCTCCGTCACCGCCCTCCCCGCCGCCTGGACCGGCCGCTTCGACCTCGTGCACCAGCGCCTGCTCTACCTCGCGCTCCAGCGCACGCAGTGGGAGGCCGCCATCGCGGGCATCTTCCGCGTGCTCCGGCCGGGCGGGTGGGTGCAGCTGGGCGAGGCGGGCCGCTGGCGCGCGGGGCCGGCGGCGGAGAGGCTGTCGGGCTTGATTGGGAGGTTGCTGGCGTCGCATGGGCTGGCGTGGGATGTGGACGTGCTGCCGCGGTTGTTGGAGGAGGCGGGATTCGTGGATATCACGATTGAGGAGAGGGATACGCCGATGGCGGGGGAGGAGGGCAGGGATGCGCGCGTCAACTTGATGAACGTGTTCCGGTCGATGAAGACGCCGTTCATGCAGACGGAGGGGTTGGTGGGTCAGGGTCCGGGACCGAGGTCGAGCACGTCGGGATCGGTGCGCTCGGAGGCGGAGCTCGACGCACTGTTCGACGCGGCGGAGAAGGAATACGAGGTGACAAAGAACTCGAGCGCGATGTTCTACATGATTTATGCGCGCAAGCCCGAGAACTGATCTGCGCATACTGGCCATACCCTGACCGTGTCCCTTGTCCACCCCTATTCTTGCCTCGACGATTGATCCATAGTTCATTGTTCGATACATATTTACTGACATCCCTGCCGATAAAAATGTAGATTAGTGTACATATCCTTCACAGATAGTTCGGACTCACATACTTATCAACCTATATATTTGTTAGTATTCCTGCCCCATGTCTCCTGGCCCCCTGTCCATCAAGCCTTCCCTCATTTTCATTCGGACGTCTTCCGAACAGAGCTCACCCTCACCCTCACTCATCATGCACACCACTGCAGCACGGCCCCCGTTTCTCGTCATCCCGCCGCCCCATATGCCCCATCCACGTCTTCATACGCCCGAACTGCTCAACAAGGTCCGCCTCGTCGAACTCGACCTGCCCGCGCTCGATTTTGTCCTTCTCGAAGGCGTTCCAGATCTGTGGAAGCGTAAGCCATGATTCGCTGCTCTGCACGACCGGACACTCTTCATGGCCTTCGGCAGGACAACGTTCATCCCGCAGCGTCCTCGCGCTGAGAAGCAGCGTATGCGAGAACAACATCTCGACCTCCATTCCAACTCACCTTCCTCTCAAACACCTCGTCCGCCACGACCCTCACGCCTGTAAGCGCGAGCGCCTTCGACACGTCCAGGCACGCGGCGTGCGCCTCGGGAGTCGCGGCCGCAGCGGTGAACTCGGGCGTGTGATTCCCGCCGCCGGGGTTGGTGGGGATCGCTGGGTTAGGGTGGGTTAGAATGAGTCTAATAGGGCGTATCAAAGGCGGCGAACTCACCGAACCCAGGATGCAACGCAGGGAGGGCTGCAACGGATCAGCTGCGAAGCCGCTGAACAGCTTTATCTCAGCGTACCATAGGTAACGTTGCCCTGCACGCCGGTTCAGCGTTAGCATCCCTTCTACCTTCTTACAACGCAAGGAGAACCCAACACTCACAAAATCCGTGCTCGCGCTCTTGATTCCATACTCGTAGTCGATAGCCCCGTACCGGCGGCGGACGGTGTCAGCGACGTCCGCTCCCAACGCCGTATTCTGCCTCAGATCGAACGTTGCGCCGAGCGTGTTGATCTTGTACTGGACGCCCGCGGCCATGGCGGCGGCTCTTAGAGGGTAGTTAGCATGCGATCCTCGTTGAGGCTAGTGAATGCAGTAGCCGGGGCAGCAAGGACTCGAGGGGGCCTGGGGTCGGTGCGATGAAGGGTAGGAAAGAAGTATTTGGAAAAGAGATGAAAACATTGGATCGCCCACTCACTTCAAGCACGGAATTACCCGGTCCACCAACGGCTGCAGCTCGGCGAGGGTCGGCGTGCGCATGGCGACGCTGCGATGCGCTTCAGTACCACGTCAGGCCCATCCTATTTTTCGGAAACGTACGTGTACTTCGCATAGCTGGGGATGACTGGAAGACAGGAGGCACGTCAGTACATGCTACGTCTCGGTGTCGAAGGAAAGAACGACGGCAAGGGAGGCATGATAAACAGTAGAAAACCTTCCACACTCACCATTCACCGCCCAATCCCTGCCCTCGAACACGCCGTGTACGCGGTAGGTGGGCTTGAGTTGCTGTCGGAGGGCGGAAATATTGTTGTACGCGAGAACGGCCGCGTCGAGCGCGTTCCGGCCCTCCCAGGGGGAGAGAGCAGCATGGGCACTAGGGGACAGGCGTCACTTAGCCGTCCTCTGTGCTTGGCCACTCTCCTTCTGCTTCTCTTGTTCGCGCTATGGCACGTGGAGCTCGAGGGCGTGTGATGATGAGGGGAAGCGGTTGCGAGAAGAAGGGGGGTACGAAAAGGGAGCGGAAAGGGCATTATGCCACAGAAAATGGGGATATGCAGCGAAAAAGAGCAATACTCACGTGTGCCCGAAATACTCGACCTCTACATGCTGGATAGCCAAGCAGCTCGTGAGGCTGACGGATCCCTTGGGGCCTGGGGCAGGGTGGCACATAAGACAGGCGGACATGCCCTTGTACGCGCCGTGCTTGAGCATGATGACCTTGCCGCCTCCACCTTCTTCGGCTGCGGGGAAAAAGGTTAGCGTTTGACTCCTCTCCTTCAAACACCCATGTACAACGCATTCATGGTCACATGAGCGCTTTGGTCGACGCATATATGCGCCCTCTGGCACGGAAAGTCCGGAACCTTTGCCATTTTGCGATACAAGAGCAAGACCACAACTGAGCAACTCACCCGGCGTCCCCAGAACCACGACCTTTCCCTTGATATCGAACTGCTGAAGGGCCGCTTTGACAGCGCAGGCCACCGCTACGCCGGCGATGGCGATGAGGTTGTGTCCGCAAGCGTGCCCGATGCCGCGGAGGGCGTCCATCTGAGGGGGCATCAGTTTCATTCTTCCGCTGTTATGAAATGGTGACGAGGTTGGGTAAGGAGGGACGAAAAGGTAAGACGGAAGACGAGCGGGAGAGGGAGGGTAAAAAGGGGCGAAGGGAAGAGGTTGAGGCGCAGGAAAGGGGAACGAGCCAAAATCGCCCTCACCTCACAATTTACCCCAATCGTCCTTCCGCCCTCGCCGTGCTCCCAGACTGCTTGCCAGCCGGTCTCAAGGATGTGGTGGCGGGTGACGGTGAAGCCCTTCTTTTCGAAGAAGGCGGTGAGGACGTCGTGGGTGCGGCTGGGGAGGGAAAGAGGCTACTAAGCACCCAAGTCAGTGCAGATAAAAACGTGAACGTACTGCTCCTCGAACATGAGCTCAGGATGATCTGTGAGGAGGGTGTCAGCACCAGCACCCACCCTATCGAGTACGGCAACCCACGGAGCGTCTACTCACCATGAATATCCAAGCTCAACGCCCTCAGCTCCTCATCCATCCCCGCGATGGTCTCCTCGATCGCGTCGAGGATATCGCTGCGCCAGACGCCATCTGCCGTACCCGGCAGCGCGGCGGTCGCGCGCGTCGTGTCGTCGGGGCGCCAGAGGGACATCTCGGGCGTGGTGGGGGGAGCGGAGGAGGGGGAGGTCAGGTGCATGGTCGCGCTGTATCTACGCGGTGTATGCGGCGATGAATGGGCTGCCTGATGTCAGGTTGATGAACTGTATGCACTAACGATGTGTGTGTGTACGCGCTGATGAACGCGGTGAGCAGCGAGGTCCCGAAGGCGCACAGTGAATGGGTGATAGCGGCGAGGGGGTGATTATGCCACGTGGTGTACGCGATAATGCGCCACGCGACGAAGGAAGTGCGTCATCGCGGACCCATTTGGCGCGTTCTTTGTTCTCCATACTCCATCGCGCGTGTTAGCGGTACAATACGCATACGCGCCGTACAACACGCATACACACGCCTTCTCGATTCAGCTCAAGCACCGAGCTTTGGTCTTCTGACGCCTCCTACTTGTCCTCATTTCCATCGCACCCGTCACGATGGGCGCAACAGAAGAGAAAGCCCCGCCGCAAGAGCAGCTCGAGTCGACGTTTGACCGAAGCGCGTCGGCGGTGAGGGACTATGCGCATCGGTGAGTGTGACTGGGCCTCCCTCGCTTGCTCTCTTACAATGCTGAACCTACCTTCCCCAGATTCGAAAGCTCGTACGGCAGACGCGCACTGGACACGGGAGCCTCCTTCTACGCTGAACATCCGGCGCTGTTTGTGCGTAGCACTTGCCCTACCACATAACTCCAGCTGACGAACGCGCCTCCCCACAGGCCGTCGTCGCCGTCTTCGGGTCGCTAAGCTTGTTGCCCGTACTCACATTCGTGTGCGTGTCGCTCCCTTTCCTTCCTCCCGCACCCTTGCATTCCCCGCACACCCTTGCATTCCTTCTCACACCATGACGACCCCTCTCCGATATTCTCATATCGCCTGCGCGACTCCATGCTAACCCCTCACCACAGTGGCTTCTCCCTCTTCGTCATTACCTCCATCCTCCTCTTCGCTCTCGGCTGCGCCGCGGGCGTCATCATCGCCGTCGAGCTCTTCCTCCGTGAGTGATGTCCTTGCTGTGCTTGCTCCCCCCCTTCTATCCTCCAACTTAGCCCCTTCCATCCTCATCATTCTACTTACTCTGCCGTCCTTCTCGTCACGTTTCTCCACGTCATCGCTTGGCGAATATACACAACCGCATACTGACCTCCCCTCCCCCAGTCTCCATCCTCCTCGCCACCCTCCTCCTCGTCGCCGTCCTTTCCTTCTTCGTCCTCGCCTCCGGGGCCGCGGCCTACGCTACGTTCCGCCTCTGCCGACTAGCATATAAGGGAGGTGTCAAGGGCGTGTATGCGTGGGTGGGCGAGGTGGCCGCGTGGGTGGGGGTGGGGCCAGGGGTTGTGAGTAAGAAGAGAGGTAAGTGATGAGTTCGAAGAGGGCGATATAGTGTTGAGCACGCACACAGACCCGAACGCGACCTACGATCACAATGGGGACATCATCCTCGTGGACGGCAAGGGCGAGAACAAGGGGCTGAGGGACGTGAAGCCCAAGGTGGAGGAGTCATGAAGCGTGCTTTTCACGAACACGCCCTGTCTCCGTCACATTTTGCTGCCTTTGCCCTACCAAGTGTCGGCCCCACGACTTGTGCACCGCCCACAAGGCCGACCCCGCCATCGCTCGACTGCTGAATACCGTCGCTGTAGCTTATCCTCTGCCGTCCTCTTCCTCCGGCATCCACCCTCCTTACCTATTTATTCGCTTTCGTTTTTCGCTATGGACTCACCCTGAACCTGTATCCTTTCTGTATAGTATAATGATGAACAAATGGTATACCCTGTACCCATACTTATCGGGAACCACGAGGCTTGACACGGTCTCGCAAACCATTCAGCAGCAAACACCTTGGCCGATATAACCGTGTGGGTGACCGCACACAGCGGCAATCGACCACGCCCTTCACGCCGTCGCCGTCGACCCCGTATACCCGTGGATCGTCTGGTCGACGCAGCCTTCGGGTGTTTGGTACCTGCAGGTTGGTCAGTCTCATTTTCAGTTTCTCTTGACCGAGATCGCGAGCCCAATGCACGTACGAATACGGGCCCAAATTGATATACACATCCTTGTGTCCCTCTGTGTCCTCGCAGACGAGCCAGGCCTGCAAACGATAGTCAGCATCCAGCCCACGAAAGGTATTCCAACGCGACTGGCATCTCGGTCACCGTACCACTGGTCAACGAGACTAGCAAGTCATCAAAAGACTAGTAAGTCATCAGGAGACCAACAAATCATCAGGGAACCAGCAATCTCACCCCACTCACATTATTCTGCTGCCGCTTCACACTCGGCGAGCTCCACTCCACCGAGTCGCCCTGGAAGACGAAGGTGCCGAGGGTGTCCTTGCTCGCCGACCAGGTCACCTTGAGCTTCTTGGTCTCGGCACTGGCGGGGGCTTCGACGGTGGCGTAGAGGGGGGCGGCTGGGGAGAGGTGGACTTAGTATTTGAGTTAAGTATACACGTCTTTTGGGATTGATTCTCGAACAAAGAGAATAGGTTTGGACAGAGAGAATAGGCTTAAAACAAGAAGGAAGGCTATGACCAAACAGAAAGATGACGCTTGGACAGGGAGAAGAGGCTTGAATAGAAAAACTGGTCTGAAACACACAGAAGACGCCCGAGCCTGCTCACTCACCCGATGCATGTTGCACTAACTGCCCGCCCGTGATCTCGAATTGCGCTGCGTCCGCGGGCTCGCCCAAGACCGCGTCCGACGCGGTCTCAAGGATCTCTGACTGGAGGTATTTGTGGAAGTTGGGGGCTTGCTGAAGATGGGTGTGGGGGTTATACTGACGGTTCGTAGGAAGGAAGGTGCAAGGAAGTTGTGTTTGACCCGCATTCGCAGAATACTGTAGTCATCATACAGCCCCGCAGTAAAGTCGTACTGCAGTCCCGCAGAAAAGTACTTCAGCAACCCACTCACCACCGCCCTAATGAACGAATACCCCGGTACAAGCGTCGCAGATCCGCCAGCCGCAGTCGTCGTGGCCGTGCCCGAGCCACCTCCACTACCTCCGCCGCCGCTCCCAGGGATACACTGAGAGTAGTATTCGCTGCTGACGGTGCAGGTGTAGCCGCTCGGGCAGGTCGTGGCGCCCGACCAGCCGGTGCCGCCGCATTGGCCCCATGGGTCGGCGACGGTTTGGGCGGATGCCTTGAGGGTGAGGGCAATCGCAGTGGCGAGGATGAGAGGGAGGGCGGGCATGCTGAGGAGGCGCGTGTTGGGATCTCGGCGGGCATGCATAGCTTATGAGCTTCGAGAGGGTGCTGCCTTGCGTCCTCGACGCGCTTGCCCTCCGGACATTCGCCTGTTTGTCGAGGCACCTGAGTGATAGACGAGGAACGAGGACTCACCTGGGTTCGCAGTCAAGGAACAAGGGGCGCGCTTCAATACTCGATCTCGAAGACGCGCGCAAACCTCGGAAACCTGGCGAGGAACGTGGGTGGCACGGGGCTCCGTCGAAGACCATGGTCAGGCTTGTCTGCAGCAGTAAATAGGTAGTGAGCACATTAAGCAGTGTATACATGTAGAGAACACGGTGTATTCGAAGATATATCAATCGTCGCTGTCATCCTCGATCTGGGGGTCAATCAGTCATTGTCTACTCTCTCATGTTCCATCGAGTCATTTACTCACCACAATCTTCCCCCTCGCCCTAGTCGCCGCAGCCCGACTCGACGTCCGCTGCGTCGTCGCTGGCGTGAACGTCAGCTGCGTCTGCTTCGAAGAGCTTGCGGCAGTCTTTCTCTTCGCGGGTGCTTTCTTCGTTCCAGTTTGACTAGAGGCGCGAAGGTTAGCATTGAAGTTCTCGAGTAGCACCACCGTACGCCTACCTCAACGTCCCTGCGCGATTTGTCTTCTTCTTTGGTGGCGGGGGCGGCTCATCATCGTCATCACTGCCGCTCACGTCGTCGATGTCGATGACCTCGGCCTCGTCCGAATCGTCCTGTGTTTGTAGTCAGCATCTCTACGACAATTCTTAACCCATCACAGTATACTTACCGGCGTTGCCGCCTTCTTCCCTCTCCCCCCTCTAGCTGGCGCTTTCTTCGCGGGCGCGGCCTTCTTCGCAGGCGCCTTCCGCGCAGGAGCTTTCTTCTTCGGAGGCGGGTCCGACTCCATGTCGTCGTCGAAGTCAGAGCCCTTGGTACCAAGGTCGATGTCCATCTTCATGGAGTCGTCGGACTCTTCTGCGGGTGTCGGAGAAGGCGCCTTGGCTTTGCCTTTGCCCTATGGATTGTCAGGGGTGAGTTAGGCTTGGAGTGGGACTCCGCATACCTTCGAGGACTTGCGCTGCTTGTACGTTTCCTCGTACTCCTTCTCCTGATTCTCCTTGGCTTTGTGTAGCTGGTGGAGGTCAGCTCGAGTTAGACGGGGAGAGGGGAAGAGGACTCACCAGCTCTTCGATGTCTGAATCATCCAACTCTTTTTCCAGCTTGTTGTCTATCCGCATGTTCTGCTGCATCTTCTTCAACTCGGCCTGCACGTGCCTGCAAAACAATCGTCAGCACTACCTCGACCCTCATCCGTGCGCCGAACTCACTCCTGAATCGAGTGGATCTGGTCCTTCTCCACAAACATCCGTATCGCATCCGACATCCCCATCTCCCCCAGCAGCTGAATATCCTGCGCAGCCAAGAACTCTCTCACCAATGTCCCAACCCGCACCTTCTCCAGCTTCTCCGACGTCGTCAACTCCGGGTCGTCGATGCTTAGCTCCGGCTTCTCGATCGCCACCTTCGCATTCCGCGCCATCCGCTTCGCGCGGTGGAAGATGAGCACGTCGCGGGGGTTCGCGATGCGGCCCTGGAACTCCTGCCCGAAGCGCACCGGGTTCGACATCTCCGACACGCCCGTCGTCTCGACGCGTAGGCGGACGAGGGGGAGCATGGAGGGGAGCGGGTCATCCCCCTGCTCGACCGCTTCGGCATTTCGTGCCTCCCATTCCTCGTGGGCGCGCGCGATGAGGGCATCGACGCGAGATTTGAGGTACTTGTGGATTTGGGATTGGTCGGTGAGGTCCAGGTCTTCTTCGTCGGCGATTTCGCTGAGGACGACTTCTTCGGTGACGAAGGGCCGGACGGTGCGGAGGCGGATGGGGTCGAATTTGAACTCCTTGCCCTGGATGGAGACGATGGCTACGTGTCTGGCTCTGGTAAACACGAAAGGAGGCATGGGCGAAGCGCAGTTCTACTTACTTGGGGATGGTTTCGCCTTCGGAGAGGGATGTTGCAACCGAGGAACCGGGTTGGGTGATGTAGTAATTCTTTCCTGCGACTGGCTCGGGGACAATTCTGCAGTCGTGCTCGTGTCCCCAGACGACGAGGTCGACGCTGTCGTCGAACATGCCCTCCGGAACGAACTCTTGTGGGCCGTGCTTAACGCTGTCACGGGTCAGGTTAGTGAAGTCACGTACCGACAGAGTTGTTACCTACCGGTTCTGATGTAGCAGTAGGATGTTGAACCAGCTATCCTTGTCCCGCGGCATGAACATCTTCACGCGGTTACTCCGTAGCTCGAAGTGCATGCGCGCGTCCTTCACGTTGCCAATCCCATACAGGCCTAGCAGAGTATTTCCCTTGCGAAGGAGTACAGGCTTGACAGCGATTCCGTCCTTGGCTGCCGCTGCTTCGGAAAGTGGCAGGTCGAACTTGCCCATGTAGTTGATCAAGCCGGAGACGGAGAGGACATCAAGAGCGCAAAGGGCACCTTCCTGTGATATCTCAAAAGTTAGAAGACATGGACAGACGAGGGAGTTGGTATACGAACAGCACCAGCGCCTTGTGGGTCGTCATGATTGCCGTGAATGGAGAAGACAGGTATGCCGACGTTGAGGTTGGGGTCTTCGTAGTTGACTGCGGGGAAGCTGTGATGGACGAGTTAAGTCTCAGGGAAAGAGCCAATTGCATTGTCACGCACGAATAGCCATCTGCCTTGCCGTCGTTCGGATCGCTCAGCAGTTCCACTTGTACCGGCTTGTCCCCCATCGTGTACTCCCGCAGCAATGCCATGACCTGATACAAGCATTCTCGAGAGGGCTTGTTCTCGTGAAAGAGATCGCCCGCAAGCAGAATAAAGTCGACCTGAACGTAAGCAGCGTCAGCCACACTGCTCGATCGTCCATTGTTCTACGGGCCATACGTCGTGTTTCACAGCGAGCTGCAGTATCTCTTTGAACGTGTTGATAGAGTCCTGTCCACGTATAGGGTCGCGCTCCATATACCCTATGTGGTTGTCTGTGGCGAGCATGATGCGAATCATGTCTTCCTGGTCTTCTGGAGTTTAGCGCCCGTCCGCCAGGCTTCTCATGGATTGCTGCTCACCTGGATTCTGAATGTCTGGAGGTTGTGTCGGAGAAGGACTTCCATTCTCGAGTTCTGCCATGATTAAGGATGTGAAAGGTCAGGGAGGAGATGAGGGAGGAGACAAGAGATGAACAATAACGCGCGCGCGGGCGCCGTGTGCTCAATCAATTGACCGACGCGTCGCGTGATGTCACAGCTCATGACTTGTGTCACGGTCTGTGGGCCTTCAATCTCATTCTGACCCTCCGAGTCTACAGACGGCTTGCATACAGAGATACAGTAGCTGGAAAAATTACAGTGGCTAACATATAGAGCCCATATATCACTGTCCATATGGTCACTCTGGATGCACAGGTCAGTAATTTTCGTCACGGCCTTGCCACCGCCAACATAGTTTCCTTCGAAACCTCGGGAATTGTCCTCGTTGGCGCCATTACGCCTCTTCGTACATAAGCATGAGCAGAGCGCTGTATCATGACCATATTTCCTTTGCTGTGGATGCTTGTAGGTCCGCCGGGCCGGCTTAATACTTTCGGGGAAACGGAAAGCCTGAGAGCTGCGGCACGGCCGCTGCGGCGAGAGACAGCCCTTCAACTTCTTTTTAACGCCCACCGCCCTTCCTCCTTAACCCTACGTCCAGCCCTCTAGCTACCCTATCTTACCTTCATATTCCTTCCGATAACCGGGAGTCGCTCATTATTGCTCCCGCCTGCACCTTTGCTCTCCCCATCATCGTGAGCCTATCGCCAGCGAAGCGCAAGGCTATTTGCTGACAGCGAATTGGAGTGTCCCCCTCGCCTGCCCACACGATGTCGCAGCAAAACCCCCCGAAACCGCAATCGAGAGCGGCAGTGGTGAGTAGCAAGGCATGTTGTGTGAAGCGCGCCTGAACGCGTCTGCAGATCGGCGTCGTGGCATTCTACTTGGTAGCGGCATTGTCGGTGAGTGCGCCAGTCAAAGCTCACATATCTGCTGCTTATGCTGGACTCCAGATGGTCATGGCGTGAGCGCATACCGTGCACGACTTCGGTTCCCTCCTGAACATTTCGCAGAAATAAATGGGTGCTGATCAGCACCAACACCCCGCTCTTCTTCCTGTTCACGCAACTAGCCATCGCCGCGCTCCTCTTCCTTGCCTCCGATGCCCTGCGCCTGCTTCCGGACCGCCTGCACTTCGATCTCAAGGTCTGCAAGGGCCTCGTTGCGATGGTCGGACTGAACGTTGTTGGCCTGAGGTGCGCAGCATACGCCCGTCCGACGTGTCCCCGCACTAACGCTCCCCCAGCTTCAGCAACTACACGCTTAAGTACGTCGACGCGTCCTTCTACCAGGTTGCGCGCGGCCTCGTCCTCCCCTTCACCGTCGTCACCTCCTGCGTCGTCCTCCACTCGCGTCCGTCGCTGAGCGTGCTCGCCTCGTGCGGGATCGTGACGCTCGGCTTCTTCATCGGCGTGTTCCTCGACGGCACCCCCGTGTCCCCGAAGGGCATCTTCTTCGGCGTGACCTCGTCCATGATCACCGCCATGCACTCGGTCGTTATCAAGCAGAGCTTGAACGTCGTGAATGGCAGCGCACTCTTGCTGTCGTGGTACACCAACCTGCTCAGCGCGATGGCTCTCGCGCCGATCATGGTTCTTGCTGGGGAAGGTCCGGATATCATGAAGCTGCTCTTCGGTGTTGACGAGCTGATTGAGGGCCGGTCATCGGCTCTGACTACGTTCCTGTGGGGGTCGGCGATTACGGTAAGCCTGCATGAGTGTCGATACTATGGACTACTGATGGCATGCAGGGTGTCCTGGGCTTCGCCATGAGCATTGCGAGTTTGCTGTCCATCAAGGTCACGTCTCCTATCACGCACATGGTGTCCTCCGCCGTCCGTGGCGTTGCCGCGTCCCTGCTCGGCGTGTGGCTCTTCCACGACATAATCACGACGTACATGCTTCTCCTTCGCTGCCACCACTTTGCTCACCTTAGCCTTCAGCGGACGCGCTACTTCGATTGCGGTCATTCTCGGCGGCTCCATCTTGTACACCTGGGTCAAGCACAATGAGCAGCAGCAGCAGGAGTCCCGACACGCATACGAGCGCGTCAAGATGGAGGATGTGGAGGCTGGCGAGGGCAAGCGGCCAGAGTAAATATACGGTGTTTCTTAGAGCTTTGGATAGCGTCCCGCATATTGCATGCTAGAGCGACTAGAGGGTTGTGATATTCGAGTTACTTGTCAGTCTTTACAGTGGCATATTTACTTATTCCCGTCACCATGTCGCCCTGCAAGTCCTCAGCAAGTCGCCAGTCTGCCAGGTATGCGACGCCACCTTTATCCTGAAAAGAGCATGTTAGCATGCTGCGCAATGCGCGTCCCCCCGCGGCGGCTGCGCGCGTCGCCCAGATCTAAATCTGACATAGAGTTTGTACGCATCTCCCTCGTCGGCTGCGTATAAATACGACCCCGCCCATTCCAGACAGACCCCCTCTTCCTTCCCGCCTTCCCTCCTCCCGCCATCATCATCACCTGAACGATGACCACCGTCGCGCCCGCCTTCGCCCGCCTTAACCTCCCCTCGCCCGAGGAGTACAGGAAGCGCAAAGTCGCGCTCATTTCCGGTACGTCGCGCGTCACAAGACACGGGCTGGCGCACTCAACGCGTCCGCAGGCATCACTGGGCAGGACGGATCATACCTGTGCGCGCGTGCTCCCTCTCTTGCAGATCGGGCGGAGAGACCTAACGTCCCTCAAGCACAGAGTTTCTCCTCGACAAGGGCTACGAGGTCCATGGGATCATTCGCCGATCGTCGAGCTTTAACACTGGGCGTCTCCACCATCTCTTCGAGGACTCGTCCATAGAGCGTGCGTGAATGCCGCCTGTCACGTCGCATGCCCTGACCCCCTCTCCCCCTTCTCAGGCCCGGGCAAGTTCAAGCTGCACTATGGCGATCTCAGCGACAGCACGAACCTCGTCTACATCATCGCCTCCGTGCAGCCGACCGAGATCTACAACCTCGGCGCGCAGTCCCATGTCAAGGTCTCCTTCGAGATGGCCGAGTACACCGGCGATGTCTCCGGCCTAGGCACCCTCCGCCTCCTCGACGCTATCCGCACCTGCGGCCTCGAGAAGCACATCCGCTTCTACCAGGCCTCCACCAGCGAGCTCTACGGCAAGGTCGTCGAGACCCCGCAGAGCGAGACGACGCCGTTCTACCCGCGCTCGCCGTACGGCGTCGCGAAGCTCTACGCGTACTGGATCGTCGTCAACTACCGCGAGTCGTACGGGATGTTCGCGTGCAACGGAATCCTGTTCAACCACGAGAGCCCGAGGCGCGGAAGGACGTTCGTGACGCGCAAGATCTCGCGCGCGGTGGCGGACATCTCGCTCGGGAAGCAGTCGTGCCTGTACCTCGGGAACGTTGACGCTAAGCGTGATTGGGGACATGGTATGTGTCAAATTTTCATGTGGCAATAATGGGGCGCGGCGATTGTCCATCTGCGACGGAGATTGCTCTGCAGCGTTCACAATACTATCCGTCCGATGTTCGCATCGCTCGGTGGTTGACCCCTGTATAACCGCACATAGCTAACCTATTTTACTAGCTCGCGACTACGTGGAAGGAATGTGGCTCATGCTACAGCAGCCGGAGGCGAGCGACTTTGTTCTCGCGACCGGCGAAACCCACCCAGTGCGGGAATATGTGGAGAAGGCGTTCGCATGCGTGGACGTACAATTGCAGTGAGTATATGCGCCCTTTCAATTCTTAGCTTCTTTTTCTTCGATTTTCCCCGGATTGTATAGCCTTTCCCATCGCATCTCCACCTTTTCACTGCGCGCACCGTCTTCGGGACTGCGCATATTTACTATGCCTCCTCCCTTGCAAAGCACCACTCCTCTCAGTAGCTGATCCATCCACAGATGGCGCGGAGAGGGCGTCGATGAGGAGGCCGTTGACACCAAGACCGGCAAGGTTGTCGTCAAAGTCGACCCGCGGTACTTCCGTCCTGCTGAAGTCGAGTGCGTATCTCTTCATTTTCCGTTCACACCTCGCAATCCTCCACTCCACAACTCGCGTTCATTGATCAATGTACTAACTATCTTTCTACAGCCTCCTCCACGGCAACCCCGCAAAGGCGGAGCGCGTCCTCGGCTGGCGACGCCGCGTCGACTTCGACTCGCTCGTGAAGGAGATGGTCGCTGCGGACCTAAAGGCGGCGAAGTCTTTGGTCGAGGATCAGAACTAGGGGAAGCGCGTATAGCTGTTCCCCGTGTGGATCAAAGGAAGCAGGAGAACTGTACTCTCAACAGAATGGGAAACAGTGAGCAGCCAACATAGAACGGACGGGTGAGTTTATTCCGAGTATATACAAGTGTAAAAACGGACCGGTATGGATAGCATTGTATTACTGCCTGTTGATACGACGGTTGCGAGATGGATGATGAGTTCGAAAGCACAAGTCGTAGCCGCCAGCAGAGCAATCCTGGCGAGGGCAGATGCCAGGTGATGACGTTGACGATGCGTTCGCCGCAAGCGCGATGATTGTTCTATCAGTGAGTACATTAGCCCTTCATTTCTTCGTCTATGTAGTACAGTCCGGGACCGCTTCCTCGCCGATTACCCTACCCTACGCCGCGCACAAATCCGCCGCAATCCCTATAGACCCGCGCTTACACCCTATAGACTCGCGGTCGCGCCTTGCGAACCCGTCTACTACGTCGTGGTTCGCACCGGCGGCACCCTACGTCACTGCTCGCACCGGCGGCACCCTCCGTTACTGTTCGCACAGGCGACATCCTACGTCGATGCTCGCACGGGCGGCGCCCCCCTCCCTGCCCGCTCCAACTCGTCGTCCGTAAGCTCATACGCAGGTCGGTATCGCCGCTCGCTAGAGCAGAGGCTTGACGTGGAGGACGAAATCAACCGGCTAGCGGAGGTGCTGCCGTTGAGCGAGGGCGTAGCGGACCCGCTAGCCGCGGTCTCATACGGTGTGCTGAGCTTCAACGATGTTGAATCTGCCGGCAGCGAAGGCTCGAGCTCGGACGCCGGTGGCGATGATCTCGCTGCTTCCGGTGCGGGAGAGGCATTCTCAGGAGGTGACGGAGCATCTTCGTCGATGAGTAGCGCAGGGTTCGGGAAGGTGTTGAAGGTCGAGCCAAGGGAGGTGTATCTGAGAGACGATTAGCAACATGCAAGATCACAAGGATGAGTAAGCCGAATAACCATCCCGCGCACTCACCCTTGATCATACAAGCAGCAATACGGGACGTCTAGTCTCCTGAGGAAGATCCAAACGTCCTTGTATGACCAGTTGATGATGGGGTTGATGCGCTCGAAGTCGGGCCAGCCGGGGTCTGTTGGGTTACGGAAGGAGAGGCGGGCTGAAGGGAGGTTAGACGACGTTGCCTTAGGGAATACTTGGACATGACGAAGGGCACACGACTTTTGTGAAAGAATACAGGCTCAGACTCACCTCCATGCGGATCCGACCGCCGCGTACCAATCAGAATAGCACTTATCCGAGGGAACGTCTCTTTGTAGATCTGCAGAGCCTGCTTCATACCCTCTGCGCCCTTTGCCTTCCCCACAGCTTTCGCCGGTTTGTTCCCTGTCCCCGCACTGGTAATGTAATCCTTCACCGGCGCGCCCGCCCTCACCCCATCCCCGCGCGGCGTGTCTACGCTTTCCACCGCATTGCTCTCTGATGGCGGGCGGATGGAGTACAGATCGAGGTTGTAGATCTGCGCGCAGTGCTCGATGAACTCTTCGAGCGCGGGGAAGGGGGAGGGGACGGCGATGTAGAGTGCGGGGATGGGGTGGGGTGTTCGGATGAGGGGGTGGGTGTGGGTGATAGCGGGGTTCGTTGGGGAGGGAGATGGGCTGGTGCTGTTGGCAATATGGGATGCAGAGTCGGATGCGGCTGAGGTTGGCGCAGGTGTTCGTTCCGAGGGTGGTAGTCTTCGGTAAAGTACGGCCACGTAGAGGTGCAAGAGGACGGTGCCTGGGAAGCTGTTAGTATGATAGTTGATGGGTAGGGAAGGGAGTGACTCGTTGAGAAGTGTACGATGCTTAGACTGGCATACTCACAATCCTTCCCGCCATTGAAGCTGATGGACATGCGATCGAAGCTGAGAAGCAACCCGCTCAGTAAGGCATTCCTCAAATTCCGGAAGTATGCCAAACTTACCCATAGTCATCCAGTGCCTCCTCAATCACAGTGAGGGCCTCCTTGATCAAGGGGGAGATGGGCTCGTCACTATCCGCCCATTCGTACACCTGTGAAGCGATCTTATCGCCGTCGAGCATGGTTATAGAGGTTCGGTGGATGCGGTTGATTGGTGGTGGGGAGTGGTTTGAACAGAAGCTTGTACGCGCTGCGGTGTCGAGAGCGTCGACGTCGACGCTCTGCAGTTGTTCGGGCGCTAAGTAGGGTATACGTGGTGGTCATCGCGGTGATGCAGGCGAATGTTCCAACGGATCGTAATCGGGCCGTACCGCCGGTAATGATAGCACGTGTTATTTCCGGTGCGCCCACGAGCAGCAACAAACGCAAGCAACGGTTCCTTGGTTCCTTGCTGGGTGCATACATCGGTAGCTCGCAAGATCAGCGCAGGCTGAGCGTAACACAGTGCTCGAGAGATTGCTGGAGCATGAAAGAAGCGCAGGTTCAGTCTCTGACCTCCCTGTACGGAAAGTACTTCTCAATCGTTCAGCCAACTTTCTACGGTCCATATCATCCACCTGAGCGCAGACAACTCTCTCAATGGGAGTTGACGCCGTCGACGTCACCAATCTCAGGCATGTATTCGTACGTCCTGGCTTTCATTATGCACATGTACATCGTCGCTTGCAACCGGCGTTATTCCTCTACATCCCAACGTTGAAGGAGCGGCAGCTGAAGAGAGTTACAAGACGTCTTCTAGGACCAACGCAGGCCAAAATAGTGAAATAGAGCCGGTCATTTGCCTGAGTGAAGGTCCCAGTCGAGTAGAGCTTGAAAAGACAGTCGACTACGAGCTCATGTCCGACAGAGACTGACCAAGCTATCCTGGAGTTGCTCAAAAGGTCGAAGATCGTTTATCGCGCACGTTGAGCCGCCAGAAGACACGCAGCGGTGCCAGAACATCAGGAGAAACATGGTGGGAGAAGCCAAGCAGCGGAGATCGGGCCGATCTCCCGCCACGCGCAATCAAGATGCGGCTCAAGCGCGGTCGTCGCTCTTGCCTTCGACACCCGTGTGCCTCTCCCCTTCCTGCTATGTCCTCAGTCATCCTCGTCACCGGCGGCACGGGCCTCGTTGGCCAAGGCATTCGACACGTTATCGAGACGGAGCCTGAGGGGTCGCGCTTTGGGAAGAAGCCTGGCGAGAAGTGGATCTTCCTGAGCTCGTCCGAGGCTGATCTCAGGTGTGTGGTTTGGCTTACCTCTTGAGTGTATCCGACTCACAGCTCTTTAGGGACCCTGCGCAAACACAGGCGCTGTACGACAAGTACAAACCCACTCATGTCATCCATCTCGCTGCCCTTGGTACGTCCCCAGTACCCATCCTCCTCCACCTATCACTAACCTATCCCAGTCGGCGGCCTCTTCAAGAATATGAAATACAAGGCAAGGACTTCACTCAACCTTCCTCCCGCCCAGCATCTCATCATCACCTCCCTCCCCAGCTCACCTTCCTCCGCGAGAACATCCTGATCAACGACAACGTCCTGCACGCGTCGTACAAGAACCAGACGCAGAAGCTCATCTCGTGTCTCTCCACCTGCGTCTTCCCCGACAAGGTCGAGTACCCGCTTGATGAGAGCAAGATCCATCTCGGCCCGCCGCATGAGAGCAACTTTGGCTACGCGCACGCGAAGCGGATGGTGGATGTGCAGAATCGGTGCGTGCTCAATTCTACATACTCTTTGCGCTCATCTGACGCGTACATGCACACACACAGCGCATACAAGGAGGAGTTCGGTTGCAACTTCACTTCTGCGATACCAACGAACGTGTTCGGCCCCTACGACAACTAGTATGTTCAACTATGCCGTATGCCCTACTTATCGCTCATCCACATCGGATTTCCCCTCCAGCGACCTTGAAGACTCGCACGTTATTCCGGGACTGATCCACAAATGCTACTTGGCGAAGAGTACGTCCTGTTCCTCGCTCGGGATGTCTATTGACAGACCTTGATCCCCGCCCTCCCTGTTTCATACACGCAAAACTAACATCCAATGTTCAGAAAACGGCACCCCCTTCGTCGTCTCCGGGACCGGCAAGCCGCTGCGGCAGTTCATCTACTCGCACGACCTCGCCAAGTGCTTCATTTGGATGCTACGGGAGTACGACTCGGTGGAGCCGGTAATCTTCTCAGTCGGCGAGGACGAGGAGGTCAGCATCAAAGATGTTGCGGATGCGATTGTGAAGGCGATTGGGTTCGAGGGGAGCTATACGGTGAGTGTTTGTGGTCTTAGTATATCGTGATGTCCTATTTTGTGATGTCCTATATCGTGATCTACGCTCGAGCGCTGACGACTCTTCGCCCCAGTTCGACACCACCAAAGCGGACGGCCAGTTCCGCAAGCCAGCGTCGAACAAGCGGCTCGTGTCCCTCATTGGCCCAGACTTTAAGTTCACGCCGTTCGAGAAGGGTGAGTCGTGGTATCTTGTTGGGGGTCTGTCTTCCCTGCTTTCTATGCGTGCGGTCCAAGATTCTGGGTCTTGAGAGTCCGACCCTTCTTATCTTGCGAGGTCCGAGTTTCAGCTCTAAGCGCCCGACGTTCGGACCGGTACTGCAGGCCCAACCTTCGGCCCAGCGCTCTGAGAACGAGCTTGAGCCCGGCGCGAGTTGCACGGCATGCTGCTTGGCGAGAGGACTCCGAATTCCAGGTACAGGCGCAACACCGGGACATTGACCCCGAGGGTCGCCGTCGATCCATGTTTCTGGTCTTTTTGTCCAAGAGGCGACTGTTGCTTCTGTCGCACGATCACGATTTTGGCATATCGGGCATGCATGCTGACACTTCTGCAGCGCTGGACGACACCGTAAAGTGGTTCGTGGAGAACTACGACACAGCGCGGACGGGGCTGAAGAAGAAGGCTGCTTAAGTGTTGTCATGCCGCCACCAGCGGCGACCTGGATATGCGCTGGGCCCATGCACCAGAAGTGTACTTTAGACGTTATGTGCGACGACGAAGATGATGATGCACCCTTATGAGTTGACCATGACCAAGTTGACGATTCTTGCACGTTGATGATGGTCGAGGGCGATTCCGGTCGGCGCGCAGGTACGTGTGGGCTCGCACAAGTTTGCCACAAATGTTTCTTGTTGTGCCTTTCTATGTTCTTTGTCGTAGTTTTGGTACGTCTATCAATCGGCTCGAGCGTACACGATCTGATAGTCCTCCTTCGAAGCTGAATGACCGGCGCTCTGACATCGTAGGCCTACGGAGTCCTACTGGGGCAGACAATTTCTCAGAACGCTTCGACCCTCGGCGAGAATGCATGAAATCATTCGGCCCGCGCTCTGTGTGTCTTGAAAGTATGAAGGCTAAGGTCTTGACTCTTCATCCTGTCGGTGCAGCTGTTCGAGAATGTGGCACATGCTTTTATTAGCCGATGCTTTGCCACAAACATTGATGTGCTTTTGTACCCTTCGGAAATGACCGCGAACTGACATGGTGCTTGCAGGAGTTGTCATAGTCGCACTTGGTCTTTTGTCAGCGTACGCACGATCATACCTGGTCTATGGAAGCAGACGGTGTGTTGTGCTCGGAGATACGCCCATTGACCATTCAAGCCAGGACCGCGGCAAACGCTCTGCTGGGGCCTACTAAAGCGCGAGCACGGGCCTCAGTTGACCATCGCACTGACCTCCAGCTCCCCTATAAACTGCAAGCCTCGTCGAGCACGAGCCACCCTCACCGAAACGCACGATGCCCGGATATTTCACCAACGCCCAGACCGAGCTTGACTCCGTACGTCGATCGGGCCTTTGCCACATTCCCCCTCTCACGCCCCTCCAGTCCGCCGATGACGATTTCAACCTCGACTTCAGCCGCGAAGTGTCCAAGAATGCTGACGCGCTGCTGTACTACTACATCGAGAACCCCGGGTGCAACGGCCACTGCATGTTCGAGTGCTTAGCGTGCCGGCTGAGGGACGACGCGATGCCACATTTTGGGATCAATGACAGCCTGTCAGATTCTGAGATGCAGCCTCCCACTGAGCGCAGTGGATCGGCGGCGAGTGTACAACCGCCTACCGCAAGCCCCAGCATCATGAAGTGCGGCAGAGACACGCCGCCTGTGTCCTCGCCGACGAGGTACGCCACCTTTACTGCCAACTCATCTGGTGCTCAAGTTGACGTCGATCCAATAGCCCGCGCAAGAGAGTCAAGCAGCAGCCGTACGCAACAGTTGCTTGTCAAAATCCGAGCCATCGACGCTGACAGATCCCGATCTCTAGACCCACTTCTCCTTTGCGCCAATCGACGCGCGTGAGTGCTGCTGCTGCTGCTGCTGCGCATGCACAAGAAAAGCCCACAGAGGCGTCTACTCTCAGCGTGGGCCTCAAAGAGGTTGCCTGGAGGTCGCATAACCAGTATGGCTGCATGCGCTGCCCTGAGACATACAAGAAAGCGGATGACATGCAGAATCATCTGAGAAGTGTGCACGGTGTCCCTCTTCGGAAGGGCAGATGGGTGCAGAAGTGAAGGAGTAGCGTAGGCATGTCAGTACAGAGTATCTGGAAACAAACGACGAAATCGTTTGCTCGTAACGTTCGAGTTCTAGGACTGACCATGCGAGGACATGGAAGGCAGTCACTGTTCGACTCATGGTGCTTGCAACGCCCAGGAGTGGAGTTCCTCATCGCCTCTTCCAATCACGAAAGGCCGAGCCTTCAAGCCTTGATGGATACCTAGCAAGTACAGTGGCCTCGATAACACTAGAAAATAATCGTGATGGCCACGGGCGGGTTTGACCCGCGCCTCGCGAACTCAAGTATCGCCTCACCTATGTAGATCCATCACCGCTACCGGCCCTGTCCCGGCCCTTCATCATTCATCACTGCTGTCGTAGACCTGCAGTTCCCCAAAGCTCCTCGACGTAACCTCCGAGAACATGATACTCTGCTCCTGCGCTCGCAACCGCGCGGCCGCCGCGGGCACGACGAAGTTCATGCCCGACAGCTCCTGCGTGCTCGAGCTGGTGACCGTCCGACTGTACGACGCGATGTAGTCGTCGGAATTTGCGGAGCGGATGTTCAGGAGGATTCTGCGAGCGATTTATACTGGTCATCGGCGGAGACGGGGGCACAATATGGATGCGGGAACACGCACCGAGAACCAACCGTGACCTGCAGGGACCGCATGACGCTGGGAAGTGTGAGGGAGCGTATGATGTAAATACGTAGGTGCTTACCTGGTCGCAATGTAGGACAGAGAAACCGGTGCCGCAATCCAAACGAGGAGATTGGCGATCGAGATGCCTGAGTAAGAGTGTAAGCAGTGCAATGTGCGAACGAGAGGCCCGCGGAGGCTTACACATGACCACTGTACGGAAACCACGTTGATACGCCAGTCCATAGTCGAAATGGGTTACGATGCTCACCGACGTAGTACATGAATCCTGGTTATCCGTCAAGCGGGTCAGCAACGATCCTGTAGTAGATCTCGCAAGATGACTGACCATCCCGATAGAAAACTTGCACGAGCTTCGACTGGCTCGTCATCCCAACGACTGTGCGCGTGTTTTGAGCGGGCGAAGCTACATGCACTGAGGTTCCTTACCTGATCCGTACGACTTGCGGAGGGTCAAGATGAAGATTACTGCAGGCGTCAATATCAGAATTGACTCGATACGGAACGCGACTGTCCTCCTGACCACTCACCAGTCTCGGTGAAGAAAAAGGGAATCCAGAACGCTGTCAGTAGTCGCCGGCATATGGGAGACGCGCAGTTCGCGGTGCAGCCGACCTGGATCGGCGGCGGGAAGGATGGGTTCTGGACTGGAGACGAAGATCAGAGGATAACCAGTATGCGGTGCCTTTGCCACTTACGCTCTACGACGTTGACGCTCAAGTAGAGACTCGCGCCCATCATGGTCGCCGCGCTAATCTGAAGGACGGTCAGATAAAGACAGGCGGAAGTGGATGTGGTACCTACCGCACAGAAAAAGCTCAGCAGCGCAAGTAGCGCCTTCGAGCGGTAAAGGGCGTAGGTCCGCAGAACGAGGATGACTGGTGGGGGCATTCAGGTCGATGCAGGTGTGATAGACAGCGAACTATGAACTTACACTCGACGGACGTGAGCGAAGCAATGCCAAGAAGGTTAGGCGGCAAGTATGCGCGCTTGCAGCTTTTGTCGGGTGATGAGTCCTTACGGAGAAGAATTATCAATTCGTATCCTTACAACTATCAAGCAATTGAAGTCAGCGATGACAGCGAGAGCGCCTCAGATTATACATTACCTCGAGAGAAGGATGCGGCGAAAGTTGATCTACGTCGCAAGTCGGTCAGCGAGAACCGCGAAATCTCGCAGAGATTCGTACAGTACAAATCGAAGGTAAAAAGGATAGGCGCCACGTAGCGATTGACGAGGAAAAGATATTTTCCGATGGATCCCTTTCCTGACCAGATGGTAGCTACCTATATAAGATCACACTTCAGTGGCGTTACCGACTGACTGACGGAAAACATTACCTCTTCGGACAACGTCAGGAGCATATCGTAGACCATGACCGTCATCGAGGCGACTGCACGCAATCAATACCCGCGGAGCGACGCTCGGTCGGTACGACGCACCGTAGGTGTACTAACAGAATTTCTAAGTATTTGTTCAGTGATACAATTGCTTGAGGGACCTCACCTTCGAGTCCCGCACATTCGAAAGTGCAACGAAGGCCGCTGCGAGAGCACTCTCGTCTGAGGCTGCGGCCATGGCTTGGAAGTAGCGGTATGATGCACGACCCGCAGTTCGCGGACGTAGCTTATAGAGCTCCAGAGGGTGTATCAGGTTCTCTAGATGATCAGCAAGGTGTCGCTTCTGTCGAGGAGGCAGGATAGCTCACAATACTCGGATCTTGTCCGCTAAAGCGGACCCCAGTGTGAACAGCTGCCGCTATATTCGCGTGTGTACTGTATGTGATAGCGCCGCGCCTGATGCGTCTTATATGGCAAGTATTCAGTACCTCCGCGGGCCTGTCCAGGTAGGACTCGTCCGTGTTCTGATCATTCTCATGGTGTACGCGAGCGCCTTTGGCTCGTGAGCTGTACATTGTCCAGACGTACGTACTGGCCATGCGTTAAAGGTCTTCTCACGGTGAGGAGCTGTGCTTGGGCAATACGAAGAAGCAGATGGCCTTGATTCGGAGCTTTCTTGGGAGCTAAGTCATGCACAGGTCACGATGGCCCTGACATTGAGGACGCGAATGCAAAGTCGGAGAGGGGTGCCATAAGTCCGTGGGAGTAGACGGAAACAACCGAAGCGTGAGTAAATCACCGGTCTCACTCTCGCGATCAGCCATCAAATCGATATGTTGTTCAGCACGTCCATGTTCATTTCCGCCTCTGCGCGCCAGACGCCCTCTTTCATCACCGCTGATTGTCCGTTGGAGCGTACGCGGGTTACACAAAAACCAACTATATCTTGATCACGCTCATACACTTGCGAGTCCGAACTTCTATGAAGGTCGTGGAGAATCACCGGCGGTGCAACTCAGCACCCAAACGCATAGCTATGCTCTTGATATGCTTCATCGGCCATCCGAGATGATATATGTGTATTGGTCTCGCCTCTCAGTCCGCTCCATTTGAGTGGTCGTTCGCCATTAGTCGCCCGCTTTCAACATGGACTTCGCCAGCAATCATCTCGTCGTCGCAGCAGCAGGAGTGGCCCTGGCCATACTTCTCCTGCTCATTCTCCTTCGCAGAGCTTGTACTGACTGCTCGCGCGGCGAAAACATACCCACCATCGAAGGGAATGGCATCCTTGGACCCTACGTCGGCGCGGTCAAATTCCTCTTCGACTCTCCAGGGATCATCAGGCAAGGATGCGACACCGTACGGCGCACTCTTGCTCGCACCTACACTTCTAAGTATCTGACTGAAGAAATACTCCAGTACAAAGGTCGCACTTTCCGCGTTCCGGAGCTCACCCACTGGACCGTCGTCATCGGGCCCTCGCTCGTTGGCGAGTATCTGCAGCTGCCGGACAAGAAGGCGAGCCTGCAAGAGGCCGTCAACGAGGTGAGCTGACTTCGTTTACGAAAGCACAAGTAAGACTCACAAGTAGTTCTATAGATGCTTCAGGCGGAATATACGATAGGCCGGACCGTCATGTAAGTCGACACGTCTTCACTATGTCGAATCTCCACTGAGTAGTTCTTGCCCAGCTCAAATCCCTTTCATATTCCCCTGGTGCGCAAGCTCGCAAGAGAGCTAGACGGCTTTGTCCCCAGCGTGCACGAAGAGCTTGTGCACGCTATTGACCACGGTCTTCTACCTTCAGCAGGAGGTCAGTAGTAGTATGACCTGAGGCGCTCAAATGGTCATGCCGCTCATGTTTCGTCATATAGAGTGGATACCTATAACTGGCTTTACGTTCATCTTGCGCGCGATCTGCCAGGCCAGCAACAGGGTCTTTGTTGGCTCGCCTCTATGTACGTCTCCCGCACTTCCCAGTATGTTAACCGCTGACCCTCGATCCCCATTTATAGGTCGGGACGAGCGCTTCACTAACTTATGCGTGGGGTACTCGGAGGAGGTCGTGAAGGTCGCCGCCGTCTTGAATATGCTGCCTGTTTGGTTGAAGCCGTGCGTTTTGCCCGGTCTCTTGTTCGATTCTTGCCCATATACGCGTCCTCCAGATTTGCAGCGCGCTGCTTTGGCATCCGCCGTTATCATAGGGAGGCCGCCACGCTCCTCAAACCACTGATTGAGGAGCGGCGCGCAGCTCAGGAGGGCACCAAGCGGGTACGTTTGGAGCCATATGCGAGGTGCTTGCGCTGACGGTCGATCCAGAACGACATCCTGCAGTGGCTTGTGGACAGGGCGAGCGCAGAAGAGAGCGATACGGAGAGCCTGGCACGCCGTGTCTTGACGCTTAGTTTCGCAGCACTACATACGACGACGTTGGTGCGTGCCCAAGCACATAGTGAAGGCTGGCTGACTGACAAGCGGTAGACTTTCACACACGCGCTCTACCACATCGCCGCGAACCCAGCATATGCCGAGGCCCTACGAGAGGAGCTCCGGACGCTGCAACCTCATACCGAGTGGACGAGGGCTGCGCTGAATGGGCTGCCACGCATGAACAGCCTTTTGAAGGAGACTCAACGCTTTGAGGGCTTAGGATGCTGTACGTGGAACAAATTATCCTCCAACAGCTGGTAGACTCACGTCTTTCCCCCACCCAAGTATTCCTCGCGCGAAAGGCCCGCGAGGCGTTCACCTTTTCGGACGAGACAGCGATTCCGAAGGGAACCTTCATGGCAGTCGCGGGCACTGCGGTACACTACGACGCAAACGCCTTCAACGACCCGACGGTGTTCAATCCCTGGCGGTTCGTGCCGAACAGTGGTAACGGAATGGGTAGCGCCTCCAGGAAGTTTAAGGACGACCGTGACGCTACACATCCGGCGGCCGTTGATATCACTCAGACCTCGCCGACACACCTCGCCTTTGGGCACGGACACACGGCGTGCCCTGGGCGCTTCTTCGCCGCGCTCGAGATGCAGCTGCTCCTCGCGCATCTCGTGACGAACTACGATATCAGGTTCGCTGGCGATGGGAGACGGCCTGCGAACAGGTGGTTCTCGATACACTGTGTGCCGGATCCTGGGGCGAAGCTCTTGTTCAGGCGAAGGAGTCATTAATCACAATGTGTATAGTTATTCGGAGTAGGGTATGCAATGGTATACAAGGAAAAAGAGTTCGAGGTAAGGGCTGCTTGATGTTGGTATGATGTCGACGAGGGCACGTGGCGCATCAAATGTGGTTTTACCCTTGTCCTCATTCAGCCATCTGCCGTCCGCCAACAGCTGGCGAAAGCTATGGCTTCGGTTCCAGTTGTTATAGAGAATGCAACTGAAGCATGTATACGTTGATGGGACCATCATACATTCATCAAGGTCTTCGCAAGGATGTCGTACCCCAGTTCGCAGGACCAGACAGAATGAAAGAAGACAGCGCCAGCGCTACGGCGATGTCGGGCGATTTGTCACTTTCCAGATGCAGCCTCCACTGATTCCAGAAACTCGGGAAGGCTCAGATAGTGAAGCCGTTTTCCGAAGTGCGTCGGCGCTTGCGTGGTGATCACACCCACTTTCCACCTCCTTCTCTCCCGTCATGGGCATTGTGGTCAAAATCCTTCTCGCAGCCTTGGTGAGTCAGCTCCTTATAACCTTGAATACCATGCTAACTCGCGTTCAGGTCAGCCATTATGCGATTTTCAAGCGCTTTGAACTCGACGCCCTGCGCTTCCTCGTCCTCGTAGCGGCGAGCAACGTGGTTCTCGTTTCGTACTCTTTGGCTTTCACAGACAGCTGGCTTCTTGCGCTGCGCCAGTTAACCTCGATCAACGTGCTCTACTTCGCCCTTCTCGGAGCGTCAATCGGAGCCTACCGCCTGTCCCCTTTCCACCCGCTCTCCCGCTACCCAGGCCCGCCTCTAGCAAAGCTGACAAAGTGGTACATCGCGTACCACATTGCGAAGGGCGAGCGACATCTTCTGCTCAAACGGTAGGGCTATGTAGCTTTGCAGAACTCGTTTAGGTGCTAAGTGATATCTCTGGCAGACTCCACGAAGTATACGGGAGATGGGTCCGAATAGGCCCCAACGAACTTTCAGTCAACGACCCGGCTTCCATCCGCCCTATTTATGCACAAATGTACCGCGGGCCCTCGTATCAAGGCGCGCCTGTCGACGCGGATGCACTTACGACGATCCCGAACAAGGAGCAATATTCAGCGCGACTCCCGGTACGGTTGACCCCTCATGCGCCAGCGTTACCTGATTCCTCCTCAGGCGTGGAGACGGGCCTTCAGCGCCGAGAACGTCAAGAGCTTCAGGCCTCTGGCCGAGGTCTGTCCTATGACATGTGCTCGTCAATCCCTTCGAGTCTGACGGACTATAGTCGCGCACCAGTCAATTGTTGGGCATCCTTCATCGAAAAAGCGAAAAGGGCGAGACCATTGACATCTCTCACTGGATCTCGATGTGGGGGATGTAAGTCTCCTGGTCGCGAGGGTGTTTTGCGAAGCTCATCCTTGCCAAAGCGATATAATGGGGGACATGTCCTTCTCTGGGGGCTTCGAGAAGCTTTCGGCAGGCAAGGACGAAGAGGGATGGACCGACATTGTGCGTAGAGCATGCGTAAGCGATGCAGTACCCTTATGAAGTCCTTCGCAGGTCCTGGCGGGTGTCCTTGCTGTTGGTGGTGAGCAAATGGAGTCGCCTTCTCGATAGTTCAGGCACGTCTGACCGTCTGTAGTCTTGGGACAGGTTCCGTACATGCGCGACATCCTCCGTCTGGCGCCAACTCCAGGGCCTATCGCGTCCTTCCAACGCGTAGGTTGTCGCGTCTCCTGCAACGTTTTTGTGCTGACATCTTCGTAGTTGACAGCCCAGAAAGTCAGGGAGACGCGTCGCAGGCAAGCTGGCGTGCGCGCCGATATCCTCAGTACTATCGTACGAACGCCATTGTTATTCGACTCACGCACCATCTGACCCACCTACCAGCAAAGCGCTGAGCCCGGGGAATACGAGCTATCGGAAGCGGAAGCCGCGTCGGATGCCTCGTTCCTCATCGTCGCGGGATGGGACACCGTCAGCCAGTGCGCGACGACGCTCTTTCGACACGTCTTCGGGGATCGTGCGGTCCTGAATCGCTTGAGGACGGAGCTCGTGGACGCGTTTGGTGACGACCTCGATTTGGATCACGACACGCTCCTCCGTCTTCCGTACCTCGACGCGTGCGTGCTGGAGGCGCTCCGGATGGTGCCTCCGGTTGCCGCGGGCCCGCCTAGGACGAGCGGTGACGTCGGATACACGGTTCTGGGCGAATACATACCGCCCAAGACCGTTGTTGCATGTCCGACGTATACGCTCCATCGAAGTGGTTAGTTGAAAGGCTAAGAAGATCGTCAAAGGTGCTAACATCAACATCCATCAGAGGAGAACTTCACAGATGCGGAAGTGTATATCCCGGAGCGCTGGCTCGGGGAGCGTCCTTCATTCGTGCATAACACGGAGGCGTTCGTGCCCTTTTCAAGCGGGATAGGGATATGCCTAGGAAAGCCTGTCGCACTCTTCAATTTGAAGTAAGTCCTCGTTCGAGGCATTGATTCCGGGGGTGGCTACTAATTATCGTAGGCTCCTTACCGCAAATATCATCCGGGCATTTGACGGTGACTTTCCCGAGGGCTTTAGCATTCTTGAGTTCGACGAGTCGTACAAGGTACGTCTGTCTGTCTTCGCCACTTGGATCCATCTGACTCATTGCCCACGAAGGAGCATAATCTCTGGCGGCATGGGCCGTTGATGATACGCCTCCGTGCACGAGGGCAGGCCACAGGTCCGACTTTTGCTCAACGCTAGGTGACTTCTGTCAAACACTGGGTATCAAGGGCCGGAGCTGTGCATAGTGAGAAGCATGACAGTCTACCTCGCTTCGCTCCCAATAGGATCCTTGGTGTCCGGGGACTGTTCGAAGCTGATCATGGGGAATGATGCACTATAGCGCCGCCGTTCGCCTGTGATTGTCCGTGAGCCATGATTTGGTGCGATCTCGGGCGTGCGATACATTCTTGCGAAGTCGCGCCCATCCCATGTCCTTCGTATGGATGCAGTTCCGGGACATAGCAGACTTGATGATCACACATCACCGCGCATCGTACATGTTGATGCGGATGTGGATGCGGGGGTCAGTACCATGGACTGCTGCTCAGGCGCTCATCAAGCTCACCGTTTCTGCAGGTCTTCTCTGTATATGCCACAGCGATGAAAAGCACAGCTCGGCGCCTTCGCGCACGATGGACCTATGTGTGGCTCCTGTGAGTATTCGGAAGGCACCGAGATGAAAGTATTCAGGGTGTCGAGTGGCGCCTCGGGTGTACATATTTCGGGTCCTCGCACGGCCTACGGACCATCTTGCGCTCTGTCAGATCGAAGCCATGAAGGTCCGCGTGCAGGTCTGATGTACAATCTCCCTGGCTCAGCATGCTCGATATGGTAGCAAGATGCCCGAGAACGGATGTTGTACGAGAGGTATATGTGGGCTTCAACCTGCTGAGATGATTGCACTTTCACCTCCTCAGATCCCCCAGCGTCCACAATGGATCGCCTACTGCTCATTTCCATCTTCCTCGCCCTGGTCAGTGAGGAGATTATTGACAAAGCTCTATCGCTGACGGAGCTCTTTAGTTTATGCACACCGTGTTTCGGACCTACGAACCTTCTGCGATGACAGTGGTGGTCACCAGCACCGTGTTCTATTTAGCCGTCATCACTCATGCAGTTTGGCGAGAGGGGTGCACGCTCATCCCGGCATGTCTGCGCGCCTCGATCCTCAACACGGCGTATCTCGCGACGCTGACGTTGTCTATCGCCCTCTATCGACTTTCGCCCCTCCATCCCCTCGCTGCCTTCCCCGGTCCACGACATGCTGCGCAGACGAAGTGGTGGATGGTCCACCGCATCCTGCTCAAGGGCGGTCGTCATCAGGAGCTGCAGTCGTAAGCTCATTCCTGACTTCGACCCCATCGCCCTTACGGTTTTTGTAGATGTCATCGTCGGTACGGGCCCTGGGTCAGAATTGGTGCGTCGCAGGGACTTGCAACGCAACAATCCTCATCACCCGTCTAGGTCCCAACGAGCTGTCCATAAACGACCCAGCCGCCATCGCGCCCATCTACACGAAACTTGACCGCTCGAACTTCCACAAGGGTACGTCGCATTTGCAGTACAGGACTCCTCCATACTGATATAACCTAGGTGCGCCTGCCAAAGGTGACACGATGATCACCGTCACCGACCGCCAGCGCCACCTAGAACGGCGCCGGGTATCTAATTTCGCTTGCATTTCTTGGATTGCCCTTTGACCTATCCTCGTAGACGTGGACACAGGCATTGTCTGCAAGAGCGCTAGAGACGTATGGAACGTATGCTCAGGTATTCATACTACCTTCCTTTGTTTGCGCCTGGAGCTGATTCTCGCCTCAGATGCGCGTCTTCCAACTTCTGAACCATATGGACTTGGATCGACGTGCCGGGCGCACGCCTGTTAACGTCGACCGCTGGGTTAACCTATTCTTCATGTGCGTGGCTCGTTACGATGTTGTACTAGTGAGTAAGCGTGACCCATCCCAAGGGATCTTGCTGGTGATATAGGCTTCTCTGGTGGCTTTGAGACCATGCGAGATGGATACGACAAGGAGGGTTGGATGGAGATGGTAGGTACCCTGCACCCGATGGCTCTGCTTGCAAGCTCACAAGTATCTAGCTTGGAATGGGTGTTCGCTTCGTCAGTTGTGCGTACTCCGCTGCTATTGTCGGCACGTCAAATTGACACTTTCCCGATAGCCATGGGACAAGTGCCCTGGATGCGCGACATATTCCAGCTTTTTCCACAGCGCGGCCCTATCGAGACATTCCATGCCGCGCGTGTCCTTTTCTCACCGCTCACTTAGTTGACTCACGGTTCTCCCGTACAGTTTGTCGAAGCAAAGGTCAAGCAGATCAGGGAAGAGACAGCGAAGACAACACGCGTTGATATCATGGGCACGCTCGTAAGTCGACTCTGCTATAACCGGGGACAAGCTTTCACGGTCTCTAGCTCGATGACGCATCTGGGGCGGCGTCCCTGTCCAACGACGAAGCGGTGGCGGACGCGGGCCTCATTATAGTCGGTGCCACGGACACAAGCGTGCAGACCGTGCTCACGACCCTCCGCTACCTTGCGACGGATCCCTACCGCCAACGCAAGCTTCATCATGAGATCGACGCAGTGTTTGGCATGGACCACAGGGACAAGGTCTCAGTCGACATCTCTGAGCTTGCACGGCTACCTTACCTCAATGCGTGCATCAACGAGTCTTTTCGTATACTCCCACCCGGACCCTTCGGTGAGTTCTCGCTCAAGCGCCTGCCGCCACGCGATGCTCATTTGTGGAAATGCATGCAGGACCGCCGCGCACGACCGGAAAAGAGGGCGCGCTCATCCTTGGTCGTTGGATCCCGCCAAACACTACCGTGCATGTCCCCGTGTACACCATGCACCGGGACCCCGCGAACTTCGGCCCTCTCGCAGACGTGTTCATTCCCGAGCGGTGGCTATCCGAAGCAGAGCAGGTGGAAATGATATCAGCTACGAAAGATCCCCAACTCACACTGGCCGCTCTGAGCCCATGCAATCGCCAGGCATTCATGCCATTCAGTGCTGGGTACGCGAACTGCGTCGGTCGTGCGCTCGGGCTCCAGAACGTAAAGTAAGTGATATTCCCAACATGATTGTTCTGTGTTCAACGGCGCCCAGATTGACCGTCGCAGCTATCGTCCATCACTGGACGATAGCGCCGGAAAGCGGGTTCGATGCGGCCAAGTATGACGCTTCTTTCAAGGTACGGGCCTTTGCCGCTACAACCGCCAGCACACTGACGTGGAAAAAAGGAATATGGACTTTGGACCCATGACACTCTGCGCCTTGATCTTATTCCCAGAGCAGCGCCTCGACAGGTTCCAGATGGTCACGGTCCTTGAGCATCGATACTGCACAGGCATCGCTTTTGGCCTCCGATATGATTCTCCCCCTCGAAAGACTGCAGATGTATGTGACTGGAATAGATATTTATTGCTCAAGAGAGGATAATGATATGGCCTCCGCGCATGCTCGTTGATTGATGAAGGGCTCAGCTGCAAAATCGCGCTCGCCTCTATGATGTGGGCGCATATTTACTGTGCTTTGGCGTTGCGGCAATTGCCGATGAAGCCCGTGAATATCATTTTGGATCAGGCTCTTCGTATTCATACGCCAGCATCAGACCCTACATATTCTGAGGATACTCCGTGCCATGATGCGCAGAATTCTCGAGTGGATTCTCAATCGTCTGCCTTGGAATTTCCTCGCACGCTCGTATGCACCCTCGGTTCCCAGGCTGGGCGGCAGTACGAGAACTCCATACTCCGTGGAGTCTGCATCTGCGGCGCACTAGCAACTTGAAATGCGATGGCTCGACAGTTCGGCCTTCTACTGATCACACGGACGGCTAATACAGGATACTCTTGACGTTCTCGTCTCATCAGGCTAGACCAACGGTGTCGGTCAGTCTGATCTTTCAGCTACTCCGTGCACCGAACTCTGAACAAATCGCCCATCTGAAGCAGTGTCGGGGGTCCAACAGGACACTGCTTACCCCATGTATCGTGCTCTTCCCTCGACGGCGTCCTCGACATCTACATGAAGTACATCAACATCGCAACATGCTTCTCTGATTGGGCCATGCACTTGTAGCACTACGGTAGGTTACGCATCGCTCTGCTCCTCCATATCAACCTCAAAGTGATCACCATGCTGTACCACTCCTCATACCAAGCTCGTCCGCTCCCCGGCGTCGCAGCCTACCTCTGCAGTGAAGCGACGCCCCACCTTTCTCACTCGAACTATGCTCCTCGCCGTCTTCGAACTTGCCGCAGGCGTGGCTCTCGCCTTCGCATTGTCGCGTTCATTTCGCAACACGCAGCAGGACTTGTCGTCCATCCCCGCGATCGGCCCTTCTCACTGGCTGACCTCCTGGTTCAGCGCGCTCAAGGCGATCTTGTACATGCAAGACTACATCCAGGAAGGATATGAGAAGGTACGCTTGGTTTCTGGTGCTTGTTCCGCGATTAATCACGACGCTGCTCAGTACAAAGGTCGCGCGTTCCGCATTCCTGAGATGACGCGCTGGGTGGTGGTCTTGAGCGGGGATCTCGTGCACGAGTACGTGCGTCTCCCGGAGACCACAGTAAGCTTGAACGATGCCATTCTGGAGGTGCACCGTCGTCAGACATCTCTAGCTAAGTCAAAGCTGACACGGACTGGGTAGCTCATGCAAACTGACTATACGATGGGCAAGACAGCGGTGTACGTCTACGGTTACGGCTTTACATCAACCTGACTGATCTATCTCGCAGTTCCAATCCGTATCACATAGCCCTGTACCAGAGGCTCACGCGCAAGCTCGCGGATATCTTCCCTTTGATGCACGAGGAGGCCAAGCGAGCGCTGGACGATGCTTTACTCGTCGATACACGTGACGGTGAGGATGTGCGAGGTCCACGTCTGCGCTGACTTACACGATGTATTCATCAGACTGGCAATCCATCGACGTAAATCAGCTCGCGAAGGAGGTCGTGTGTAGCAGCGGGAACATGGCTTTTGTTGGACCTCAGCTAGGTCGGTCCTTCGTCATCGAACTCAGCCAAGAGCTGACGCTTTCCAACAGCCCGAGATCCCCGCTATGTCGCGGTCTGCTGCAAGTACTCTGACACTGTAGCGATGGCTTCGGTTTTGCCCAATTTCTTCCCTGATTTACTGAAGCCGTAAGTCGCGATCCAACTAACGGGTCATCGCATTCTGACCGTCCGAGCCGGTCGTAGCCTTGTCCTGCGCTTCTTCGCCGTTGGGAGTTACGTGAACGAGATGGCGCGTCTACTGGGCCCAATCATCGAAGAACGACGGCAGAATGCAAAGGAGGATGGTCAGAATGAAGTAAGTCACTGCCGCCGTGCACCGACGAGGCTGGCTGACTGCTTCTTGCAGGATGATCTACTGCAATGGCTGATGGAGAAGTCCGACGATGACCCTTACGAGCGTACGACAGAGGCACTGAGTCGTCGTATCCTCCTCACGAATTTTGTCACCGTGCCCGCAACACTCGTGCGTATCTCGCCCCCCCTCGTCCCTGAATTGCAGGTCTGATACGCACTCAAGACGTTCACTCATGCTATGTATCACGTCGCCGCGAACGCAGAGTACGCGAAAATACTGCGCGAGGAAGTGGCGTCAGTTGTATCGGTGCATGGATGGTCGAAGGACGCCATGGACCGGCTGTATCTGATGGACAGCCTGTTCAAGGAAACAACCCGCTTCGATGGCCTGGGTGCTCGTGAGTTGACGACCTTGTACGCCGCCACTGCGTTCTAACTAACGTGTGCTCGCCAGTCACGCTAACAAGGAAGGCCCGGGAGACCTTCCAGCTCTCGGACGGCACCGTCATACCACGCGACACGTACGTGACCGTGGCGAAGGCCTCTATCCAGCACGACAAGGCCTACTTCAGGGACCCCGACACCTTCGACCCTTGGCGATTCGCCAAGGCTGCCGAGTCTCGCGAGAGCGGCCTGCGCGAGAAGGAGGACGAGCTGGTGTATACGAGCGCCACTGACCTCGGCTTCGGCCATGGTAGAACGGCGTGCCCCGGACGCTTCTTCGCTGCGATGCAGATGAAGATGATGATGGCGCACTTGGTCTACCACTACGAGATCACCTTCGCACCGGGTGGCGCGCCTGGGAGTACAAGGCGCCCAGGGAATAAGTGGTTTGCGGGTCACTGTATCCCTGATCCTGGGGCCAAGTTGTACTTCCGAAGGCTAGCTGACAAGGCACTGTAAATCCATGTCGAATTGGAGGTAGGATATGGCTATGGCTAGTAGCCTGGTTTGATACTTACCGATCTTGCCACCGTGTTCTCGACAAATTTGTTGTATCACACGCGTTGGGAGTCCACTACAGGAACATGTCTGAGTACCCGTAGGGTGAAAGCAAATGCATAGATAACACAACCATTAGTCGAGTAGCGATACGTATATCGTTGAACCAGAATTTAACGTGCAAGATAGGATGATATTCGAGGGCGCCGGGAAGATGTATGAGACGATGCGATTGGTACTTCGCTGACCAAGGACGATATGAGAGTTTCATTGAAAGAGAGTAGGGAATGGTCGACCTTGAAAGAGAGAGGAGAACGCCCCGAGGCCCCGACCAACAAACAGAAGCAGAACATAGAGAAAGCGGGCGACTTTCAGTCCTCAGGAGGTTGCATGGACATCTTGAAAGACTCGAGCTGAACGATCCATAGGTAGACGCTAGACCGCTTTGCGAAGAAGGTAGAAGATCCGGGGCCGCATTTGCTGACGTGAAACTTGAACAGTGAATGAACAGGGGAGCTGTACTGCAATTGCAGATAGCGCACGTCTGACGTATGCGTTTACGAGGTATACCAGGAGAATTTGCGTATGACGGTCTCTGAAGGGCTCGGTGGTTGTGATTGTGTCGCAACTGTTTTACTGTCAGGTAGCACCCGAGCGCATGCGCTCTATCGAGACCAGTGGAACGATGGCAGAGCTCGTAATGGTACTCCTCGAAGATGGAGTGGATCGGAGAATATGCCGAGGATGAAGACTGTTTACCAGCGGAATTGCTCATTTGTCGAGGAGGTGGAGCGATAATTTCACCGAGAATTGAACGTCTTCCCGAGAACAAGAGAGCGTAGGATGGTCAACGAAGACGAGAGGAAGGGGAAAGGGGGACGCGCAGAGACAAGGGTCGAATTCCCGTCCCCGTCGCTGTCGGAAGCGACGTCGGCGGCGTCGTCCACGATGGTGGCGGGTAAAAAGTGGCGAGGCACTGGATCGACGGGGATGGGTGACCGTTTTGTGTGACATCATCACGCTTCGCCTCATCGTTTGTATTACAGACTTCCAGTTCTTGCCACGATGAGCAGCCGATACAGCGCGCTGCCACCGTCCTCCTCGTCGGGCGACATGAGCTCGCCGTCAGCGTCGTCCGCGTACATGTCCCGCGCCGTCGCTAACGGCTCCGTCGGCGCCGGCTACGGGCCCTACTCCTACCATCCACCCTCCTCAGCCGGATACCCAGCCAACCCGCGCTTCTCCTCCGCGAGTACCGGCTCGGACGCCAATTCCACCGCGCGTCTCGCCCAGGCGTCCGAATCCCTCCCCGCGAACGCGTATTCGTCAGGCCCCGACGCCGACGACGCCCTCCACGACCCGCGCAAGCTCGACACCTCCTTCACGCCCTTCTCCGCGCGCGGCTGGGTCAACGCGTTCGCGCTCGCCGCCCTCGTCTCCGGCCTTCTCATGCTCTTCCTCGGCTACCCGATCTATGACGCCGTTGGCCACCCCGCCGTCGCCTACTCAGGCTACAACCTCGGCGGTATCAACGGCTCGGGCCAGATCCCCGACCTCAACCTCCGCCAGCTCATAGACCCGGATACGCCAGAAGACGTGCTCACTCGCAAAGGGAACGACGGCAAGTCATATCATCTCGTCTTCTCCGATGAGTTCGAGCAGGAGGATCGGACGTTCTACCCTGGCGACGATCCGTATTGGGAGGCCATGGACTATCATTACTGGCCCACCGGTGATCTCGAGTGGTACGACCCCAAGGCTGTCACAACCAAGGCGGGAAAGCTGGTCTTGACAATGACGCAGCAGGTGCGCCCCCACCCATTCCTCATCGATGCTTGTGCTAACATGACCCACAGTGGACACACGATCTCAACTTCCAGTCGGGAATGCTGCAATCTTGGAACAAGTTTTGCTTCACAACAGGATACGTAGAGGTGTGCATCCCGTCATTCTCTATCCTCCTTTCGACACCTTCCTCGGTTACCGATCTCGGAACGCATCGCCACCCCGCCTCCTCTTTCCCACTCGCCTCCGCTTTTATATAGGAAACCATCGTTGGACATGGTAGACAGCTCGCCAAAGGTGTTGAGCGTCCTCTTTTCCTCACTGCACACCGGACAATACCCTGCTGGCGTTGCGGCTGTCATCGTGAGCCACAACAACGGAGTGTGGGATCATCCATCTCTTCTCTTTCGCACGCCCGCACCATGTGGTCGCTCATCCACCGTCTTATAGGTCAAGCTTTCCCTCCCGGGTACGCACGCCAGCCCAGGTTACTGGCCCGGCGTTTGGACCATGGGCAATTTGGTGAGTTGGGAGTTCATGAAACGCGCAAGCAGCCTTCATCAGGTCTGCGGTATATCTGCCTTCGCTGCATGCCTCGAAGCGGTCCGATCGTGAAGAAGCCCGCTCAGTTTGCCCTGAGTGTTGCTAAAAATGATCTATGGGCTCGTCTTGAGCCCAACGGCTGAAATTGCTATGAGGGTTTTGGCCGCCCGCTCTGAGCAGATCCGCTGCGCCCATCTGATGGTGTAAGGGAACGCTTTAGCTCACGATGTCTTGGTAGGGCCGCGCCGGCTACGGTGCGACTACGGACGGCATGTGGCCATACAGCTATGACGCGTGAGTCGAGGGAGTCCGACTCGTCGACCCTGGCTTACGTTCTTGACAGATGTGACACTGGCGCGCTTCCCAACCAGACGAACACGGATAAAGGCATCGACACGAGCGAGAGCGGGCCGAATGGGGACAATGTGAGTGCGTTCGTTACGGTGGTCGCCTCTTTGGGGATAGTTCCAGGTTGGCGGCATCGTGCTTGAATAATGGCTAAGCCTCATCACAGCTCTCCTGGCTTCCCGGTCAACGTTTGAGTGCGTGCACATGCAAGGGCGAAGACCACCCAGGTCCGTCGGGAGGAAGCAATGGCGGGAGCTATGTCGGTGAGTGGGACGATATCCATGTTCTAGTTGAGCATTTGTCGAGCGTTCTTCACGATGGTCTCCCTCGTATCTGCTGCGTTGCTGCCGTCCCGGGTGGTCTCATCGATACTGATCATGATATCGTCCTCGGTGCTGAGATCTTGCTTCTTAGGTCGCGCAGCCCCAGAAATCGATATGCTCGAGGCGCAGATTGACGTCAGCAACTTCCGAGGGCAGGCGTCGCAGTCATTCCAGGTCGCGCCGTTCGATGAGAAATATAGGATTGTCGAGGATGTGAGTGTTGTCTAGCGCGTGCCTCTTCTGCATGTCTCGCCAGCTTCTATGGGAGTTATTTGCGCATACTGACGCATGACCCTTCCAGGTATGCACGCTCTACGACGAGTCCATCACGGAGTGGAACTCGTATCGGGGCGCAAATTTGCAGCAGGCGTGCTCTGCATTGAGCTACTTCCCTGATGATGCGTGAGTAAACCCATCATTTAGCTTTTCCCAGCATGACTGGCTGACGCTGAATCGTCAGCTACAATGAGGGCGTCACCGTGGACCAGGACCAGTCTGGCATGACTGTTGGCATGGAGTACTGGAGCGACCCAGATAACCGTGATGATGGGTACATCACCTGGTACGTAGCGCTCGCTATGCAGGCTGACAGCGGTGTCAGCAATCATGAGCTGTGCTAAGCCAGCCGCAGGTTCATCAACGACAAGGCAACCTGGACGCTTCCTGCAACGGCCATCCCTGCGCGGTCCGATCTCGACATGTCGCAGCGACTGATTGCGGAGGAGCCAATGTACATGGTGCTCAACTTGGGTATCTCGCCGGGTTTCCAGCAGCAGGATTACGAGCATATGGAGGTGAGGCTGCTTCTTCGACAACGGCCCTCTACGACTTTGAGCGTGTTGGCTGATCCTATCCGTCAGTTCCCTGCGTACATGCACGTCGACTACGTGCGCGTGTATCAGCGGGACGACGCGCCGGATGAGTACATTGGCTGCAGCCCGCCAAGGCATCCGACGAAGGATTACATCGCTGAGTGAGTCGTGATTTGTGGTGTCGCGACAGTCGACTGACCGTTCTCGCAGCCACTTGAACGCGTACATGGACATGAACCTGACAACATGGGACGCGGCGGGGTACTCTGTACCCAAAAACGCGATCTTGGATGGGTGTTAGAGGGTTCGCCCACTCTTTGTCTCTTCAGAGGAAGGGACGAGAGGAAGCCGGTCCTGCTGAGGAGGACGACACCCACCAAGCCAAGATACACCTATCGCAACTTCATCCAAATGCCGCCTCGCCTTCATCACCGTCACATCGCCACGCTAATGCCAGCACTGCCGAGTTCTATGTACCATCATCGTCTGTTCGCAGGGATATGCCTGCCTCTTCAGGTGTTCCATTGTCGCCACGATATCCCACTGCACGTTACCCATCGCACGGTCCATCGTTACCCACTACCAGGATCACCGTCGAGTACCCGTCCGCACGGTCGACATCAACCACCCGCACGGTAGACTACCATCACCCCATTCACGATACTCATACATGCACCGTACTCATATCCCATCCATTCGTCCTCGTAACCCGTCCATTCGTCCTCGAACCCATCCACGCTCGCTGCTCGGACAGCCCTACTATTCTTCGTATTTATTTACCTACCTCGCGCGCTGCACGGCGGGTCGATGGGGTGGTGGTCGGTCGGTTGGTGGTGCTGGAGACGGACTTTGTATGCCGACGCCTTGCTTTGTGCCTCAGCACCTCGCTTCGTGCCCTGGCACCTTGCTTAGTACCCTGGCTCCTTGCTTGGTACACTGGCACCTTGCTTAGTACCATGGCGTCTCGTCTGCGCCTTATTCGCGGCACATACCTACATCCTTTAGATACCGACCGCTGCCTACCTACGCAGACCCGCGGACTGCCTAATGACGACTCGCGCTCGCGATGCGACGCTGTTGTATGATGGGGGGATGATTGGGGCCTTCAGGCCATTCCATCGGCGGGCTAGGCGAGGGTATGCATGCTTTCGAAGTCTGAAGGTTGACGTGGACGGGCGAAGTCTGCTTGCGATTGACGATTGTTTGCAAGGTAAGAAGTGTGAGTTGACGGTGGTTGTGGGTCTGAAGTATTCGTTGGAGCCTATTATGACACAGGATGACCTCTACGCATCGGTTCAGTGGTCTAATGGTTATGATTTTCGTCTCACACACGAAAGGTTCCCGGTTCGATCCCGGGCTGGACCACTTTTTATGTCCCCTTTTGTATACCTTCAGCTGAGCTCAGATCATTGGGTCAGTCGATAGTTCGAGACTGGTGAGGCGGGCGTTGCGCGAGCTTCAGGTTTCCCAAATCCTTTACGCTGAGAACACCAATAATTACCGAGGACCCACATCTTCGAGGATTTGAGCGAAGCGAGTCAATGCTCAATGTAAGGTAAGGGGAGTCATAGAGGTGGAGTTGGCTTCCGAGCCTGTAATGTGCCTGCGGAGGAGGAGTGTGAATTGGCGGGATATCCGACGGAAGGAGGGCGGGTGGTAGGAGTAGGGCCCGTAGCCGGCGCCGACGGAGACGTTGGCGACCGCGCGAGACATGTACGCGGACGACGCTGACGGCAATATCATGTCACCCGACGAGGAGGACGGTGGCAGCGCGCTGTATCGGCTGCTCATCGTGGCGAGAACAAACGATGAGGCGAAGCGTGATGATGTCACACACAACGGTCATGCTCATTCGGCGATTGCCGTACGGGATTTGCCGAAGGACACGGTTTTCTACGTGCGGATGTTATGCCTTCTTGTTTTGTGCAACGAGGATGTCTGTTCCTTCACTGGCCATACCGTTGTTCACGTCGAAGAATATCTGTCTCGAGCCCACGACAGTGGGCAGCAGGCTCCTGTACTAGCCTTGGCGGGCCTGTTAGATGGACGCTCAGCAGCGTGCGACCGTTCTATCGCCTGTGAATGGCTTTTAGGGGACCTCAAAGTCAGCTCTACGTTCTTTTGGAAGCTGACACGAGACCGCAGGGCGCCTATCTGATAGCATCGTCATTGCATCCCATATGAACTCAGACTACCGGCGCCTATCCGATCCTTGCGACCTCCCTCCACCGGCTCAGCCAGAATGGAGGCCCTCATGCGCGGCTTCGACCTATCATCTCTGATGCAAAAGCTGAACGAGATTCATGACGACGATGACAATGGTCCTCGCATCTCCATCAGGGCCGTTCAATTTGGCTGCCTGGACTACGACGAGTCTACCTTTTCCATCGAGTGGGAGGAGCGATTCAACGACAGACATGCGTACGCGGTATTCGATGGCGAGCGTCGCGAGATTTGCGTGAAGATGCGGCATGCGGATGCTCCTGCGAGGCTCTCCCTCGTCGCCATGCGTTTCTCGCACATCAAGTCATTGTCTGCGCCTCCTTCGCGCCGCTCGCAGGATCCCTCCCTCACAATCGTCCTGTCTGTACCTCCCTCATTCGAATCAGAAATAAAGAATCGTTTCCTCGGTCTGGACGCCAAACGAACGCGCCTCCCACATCTGCCCTTCGGTGACCACAAGAGAGTCGTCGCGTTCACCTCCTTCGCCCTGCGACTCGAACTGCCATCGCAGACCGCGCTGCGCGACTTTCGCAATCTCGCAAAGGATGCCGGCCTTTGGCACCACGTCGACGAGTATGACTGTCCTGCCGTCAGGGACGGCGTCTACGCACAGCACGTACTGGACGAGGTGCGGTCGTGGATGGCTAGAGCGCCCTGGTGCATCGCCTTCCAGCTCGCCAGCTTATTGTGCAGTCTACTTATTCGGCCGGGCGACTTGTTATCCTTCAGGCCGCAGGTGCGCAAAGTGCAGGAGCGCTTCGGCGAGCAGTACTGCGCGCGCTTTCTGCGGCACTTCCAAGAGCGCCTGGTAGCCTGGATCTGTTACGAAGACGATTCCGAGACAGTGCAGGAATGCTTTGACCGTGCGGCTAAAGACTTCGAGCGCAGAGGGATCGAGGAGACCGTCCAGCCGACCAATGTCAGCCTCTTCCAGTCACTGCATGCCATCATCACGCCGACGCGGATTATCTTGCAAGGTCCGTATCCTGAGAGGTCCAACCGCGTCATCCGCATGTTCGATGTACAGCACCATGATTCGTTTCTGCGCGTTAGCTTCACTGAGGAGACGAAACTGCAGTATCGCTTCGACAGGGAGGTCGATACGGCGTCTTTCGTACGCAGCCGGGTCGGAAGCATTCTGAAGAACGGCCTCGTCATCGCAGGTCGCGAATTCGAGTTCTTGGCATATTCGCAGTCGGCTTTGAAGGAGCATACGGTCTAGTGAGCACCCGCGAAACTGCCATCGTCACAGCGTCCCTGACATATGTACAGCTTCGTCAAGCCCTTCCGCGTGGGCGACACCGAAGTCAATGCAGCTTCTGTCATTGCCAGCATCGGTAACTTTGAGAAGAGCAGCGACCGCCTTTGTCCTGCTCGCTATGCTGCGCGCCTCTCGCAGGCATTTACCGCGACCGACGCCTCGATCGTCGTCAATCCCGCGGAGACACACATCATCTCTGACATATCCACGCCTGACGGGATGTACCACTTCACCGATGGCGTGGGGACGATGTCGAGGGAGATGGCGGTCGATGCCTACACTGAGGTCAATCGATACAGGAAGCGCGCGATGAATGGCAGGGGTATTCCGGCGGCATTCCAGATTCGGTTTATGGGGTCGAAGGGGATGCTGAGCGTGGACCATACGCTGCAAGGACGGGTAGTGTGTTTGCGGGACTCCATGATCAAGTTCGACTGCCCGAACAACCGCAACCTGGAGATTGCGCGTGTGTTCGATCGGCCTGCAAAGTAGGTTATTGGGATGAAGTCAGACCGGCGGTGCTCATTCACTATGCCACCCAGGTACTACCTCAATCGCCCCCTCATCATGCTTCTTGAAGGACTTGGCGTGCCCTACGAGACCTTCCTCCAGCATCAAGACGCGGCCGTCCAGGACGCCTACAGCTCGACTGAGTCGCTGACCAAAGCTGCTCGCATGCTAGAAGCCCTCGGTCTTGGCACATCCTTTCGCCTCCCTTCTCTCTTGCTCAACCTCGTGAAGCTTTGCAACATCGAGAATCTGGGCGACAACAAGTTCTACAGTCGCATGCTCGAGTTCGCCATCCACCACGTCTTGCGGGAGCTCAAGAACCACGCGCGCATCCCGATCCCGGGCGCGTACACGCTGGTGGGCGTGGCCGATGTGCACGGCTATCTGAAGGAGTGGGAGATTTTTGCGTGTATTAAAGCGCACGATAGTGACGAGGTCATATATCTGGAGGGCGATATACTGATCCCGCGCTCGCCGAGTATACACCCGGGCGATGTGCAGATAGCACGCGCGATTGGGCGCCCCAGACCGGGTTCGCCGTTTGCTAAGGAGCCCTTGGCGAACACGGTGGTGTTCTCTGTACGCGGTACGCACATATCTCTACCATTATAGCCGTCGCTGATCTGTTGGTAGGGGCGAGACCTCTGGCGTCAATGCTAGGCGGTGGCGACCTCGACGGCGACGAGTACAACCTGATTCCTCTCAATGACCACCCCGAGTTTCGACCTAAGCGCATAGAAAAGGCTGCTTTATATGAACCGGCGCCACGAAAGACTCTCAATCATTCAGCGAATATGGACGACGTCTCTGATTTTGTGGTGGACTACATAAATAACGATGTGAGTCCCATGACAAGCGCTCGCGACTGAACTCATGACTTCGCATAGGTCCTTGGCGTGGTGGCCATTACATGGCTCATCATCGCTGATCAGAGTTCCGAGTCGATATTCGACAAGGACTGCTTGAAGCTGTCACAATTGCATAGCGATGCTGTCGATTTCCCGAAGTCTGGGCAGCCCGTCGAACTCAGGAGCATCCCACGGTTGAAAAGACCGGACAAGAAGAGGGCCAGTCCGCTAAAATTCCTTTCTCTAGTCGGCGCGCTCATTCAATTTACAGCCCGATTGGAACGCGCCGGAAGTTGTTACCGCCAGGTCATCGGGATACTACGAGAGCCAGCGCGCTATTGGTCGCCTGCACCGTGCAATCACCCTTCCGGCCCTCAAAGACGCGCCTAAATTTACTCGCTCTCGGCGCGACCGCCGTCGAGGGCGACGGCCAAATGAGGCAAGCGTCGTCGACTGGTCTGCAGGCTTACATGACAAGGATCACGACGATCCCGTCGTTCATGGACTCAGCGCCTTGGTCCCCGAAGACTACGACGAGATAACCGTCGAACAGAAGGAGACGACGGAGCAGCTCTTTCAGCAGTTCGCGAACGAGTTGCGCGGCATATGCTCTGCGAACGCACTCTCGCAGTCGCGCGCCGCGATGCTGACGGAGGAAGAAGCCGTCGTGGGCACGATCGTGCAGCAGACGTCCCAGCCGCGAAAGCGGAAGGACCACATGACGAGGCTGCGAGACCAGACCGATATCCTGGTGAAGGCCATACGGGACAAGCTTGAGGGGGACGATGGGAACAGCCCGGAGGATATGCTGCGCAGGGCCTGGCATGCATGGTTGTTCGCGTATCGGAAGCAGAACGTGGCAATCTTCGGGGCGCATAGCTTTGGATGGGTGGCGTTAGGAGTTATATTTGAGGCGCTCAAAGAGATGGCCGAGGAAAAGGGGACGCACGCTGAAGCACACACCGTATAGCGGCTAATGTGCGGTCCTTGTCAATGTGTACTCTATTCATTTGATCGACTGTGTCAGGAAAAAATTCTGTATGCTGCCATGCATGGACGGCGACTCTACGTAGATTCGATCATACTACTCTATAGCTTGTATGCTTATGCAACCCGCAATCTCTGTCCTGAACGTGCGGCTTCCCTCGGGAGTCGACCAATTGGAGATATAAAGTTGAACTCGCTCTGCTTCTTTCAAGTGCGAGTAAGACCACCTAGCAGCGTCATATATGAGTAGTCTGGCTGCGAGCTCCTCTCCTTGGAACTCGCAATATGAAGGCGTTGAAAGCGCTGTCCAGGGACGAAGGCGCAAGGCGCGAGATCGTGTTGTCTTCGGTAATTACCGGCACGTTGTGGGCGCTGCTCGGAATTTGCCGAAGCTTCTAAATCCGGCTGTAATTGTAAATTCCTTGTTGGACTGAACGACCACGAAACTGTTGCAGTTGGCTTGCTAAAGGGACCGCCAGACTCCTCTGGATCTCAGCTCTTGCCCTCATCACCCTCAACACTGTAGGAACCGCGGGCATAGGATATTCTATGGTGCTAGACCGCTGTATCGCCTCTGGATCGCCCTTAGGTAACGCCATGATCCCACCCATTTCTCGGTGGCTTACACGAGACCGCAGGATGCCAATCTGATAGCACTGCCCTCATACTAGTATTCTCACGGCGTCGGTCCGAATCCTGCGTTCTGCTTCCATCAGGGCCGCCAGCATGGAGGTCTTCATACGGAATATCGACTTCCAGACATCAGAATACGAGCTGAAGAAGACTCTGGCTGGGATACTACATGCAGAGCCTTTCACCCGGATGTCTGCCCTTCCAATCAATTTCGATGTCCGGCTTCTCCTGGACGACAGACGTCGACCTCGCGGCCAGGGCGTGCTCACGCTACCTACGAAGGCCATGGGAAGGCGCTTGCTCTACGAATTCGGCGAACGCAAGGATGGAACACCCAGGTCCTGCTACTCCCGTGGCCGTGCCATCGCATTCGGCCGAAGCAAGCAGGAACCGGCAGCGGAGTTGGTTGAGGTGCTCAAACAGACACCCTACCAAGATCCTAAGGCCTTGGAAGATCTGAACCAACGGACGGCCCACCTGCAGGATAGCCATGTTACCGTCAGGACTGTCCAGTTTGGCTGGATGGAATATGACTACTCCTCGTTTTCTGCCGAATGGGAGGAGCACTTCGCGGGAGAAAACGCGTATCTGCTGTTTGATAATCAACGTCGCGAGCTGCGCGTCAAAATGAAGCATTCAGCGACGCCTGGAATGCTGTCGGTCATTGTCATGCGCTTCTCGAGCATCCGAACCGTATTTGCACCTACACCGCGACCCTCGCACCGCCCGGCCCTCACAATCATCCTAGCTGTACCGCCGATCTTTGAATCGGAACCCGAAGATCCATCCCAGGGCGGAGCACGACTGCGTTTGTCGCAGCTACCCTTTGGCAACCATGCAAAGGTCGTCGCCGTCACCTCTCACACCCTGCGCCTTCGGCTATCATCCTCACAGGACGCCTTGCGTAGCTTTCGTGAGCTGGCGAGGGTTGCTGATCTGCACCACGTCGACGACATCGATATCCCTGCGACCAAAAGCGACGCGTACTCGGCGGACATCCTGCAGCGGGTGGGCTCATGGCAGCGCAGCCTTCCATGGTGCATAGCGTTCCAGATCTATAGCTTGCTATACAGCTCCCACGTGCGACCGGCCGTACTAATCTCCAATTCATTCCAATCGACAGTACACGACCTTCACCGGCGCTATGGTGAGCAGTATTGTGCCCGCTTCCTACAGTACTTCAGGGGACGGCTCGCGGCTTGGATTCACTACGAAGCCGACGATGATCTGATGTCCGTCGACGAGTGCTTCGCACGTGCAGCCAAGGACTTCGAGGAGAAGCAGCTGAACGACGATATCTATCCTGCCGATGCCAGCATCTTTCAGTCCCTCCATCTCATCGTTACGCCGACGAGGATGATCTTCCAGGGTCCATTCCCGGAACGATCTAACCGTATAATCCGGTCCTACGACGCGAAGCACCATGACTCGTTCCTCCGCGTCAGCTTCACCGACGAGGACAAGCTTCACTACCGCTTCGACAGAGACGTCGATGGATCGTCCATGGTTCGCAGCCGCATTGAACGATTCCTGAAGAACGGCATCTGCTTAGCCGGGCATAAATTCGATTTTCTGGCATACTCACAGTCGGCGTTGAAAGAGCACACAGTATAGTAAGCACCCTCATGGGTTCAGTATACCTGCTACCTCTCTGACTTATCGACAGTTTCGTCAAGCCCTTCTGGGTGGGCATTCGCGAAGTCAATGCAGCGACGATCATTGCGGGTATCGGGAACTTCGAAGGCAGTGAGGACCGCTTCTGTCCCGCTCGCTACGCCGCCCGCCTCTCTCAAGCGTTCACTGCAACGGATGCCTCTGTCATCGTCGAAGCCGAGGAGGTATTCCCGGTCAATGACATCTCCACGCCTGACGGGGCGTATCACTTCACTGACGGCGTGGGGACGATGTCCAAGGGAATGGCGTCGGAGACTTGGGCTGAGCTCCAGCGCTGGAGAAAGCGTACGAAGAAGACTAAAAATGTGCCCGCCGCCTTCCAGATTCGCTTCATGGGATCGAAGGGGATGCTGAGTGTGGACCACGCTTTGCACGGACGGGAAGTCTGTCTTCGGCATTCCATGATTAAGTTCGAGTCCTCGAGCGATACCTTGGAGATTGCGCGAGCATTCGACAGGCCTGGCAGGTATGCCGTCTCTGATCCTTGGTGGCTTTGTCCGCTAACCTGATTGATACAGATACTACCTCAATCGCCCCCTCATCATGGTAATGGAGGGCCTCGGCGTTCCCTACGAGTCTTTCCTTCGGCACCAGGAAGCTGCTGTGCAGAACGTACACAGCTCCTCGGAATCCCTGGCGAAATGTGCCAAGATGTTCGAGTCCTTCGGCCTCGGCACGGCCTTCCGCGTCCCTTCCCTTCTTCTTAATCTCGAAAAGCTGTGCAACGTCAAGAACCTGGATGCGAATGTTTTCTACAGGCAGATGATCGAGTTCGCTACCCATCACGTCTTGCGAGAGCTGAAAAATCGTGCCCGCATACCCATTCCTGGTGCTTACACGCTAGTCGGTGTAGCGGACGTGCACAGGTACTTGGGCCCCGGAGAGATATTCGTGTGCATCAGACCGCACGACAGTAACGAGGTGACTTACCTCGAAGGCGATGTCCTGATCTCGCGCTCCCCAACGATTCATCCGGGCGACGTGCAGGTCGTCCGCGCGATTGGCCGGCCGAAAGCGGGCTCGCCTTTCGCAAAGGAGCCGTTGGCCAATACTGTCGTATTTTCCGTGCGCGGTATGTTCAACGAGTCTTAATTCTGTGAATCCAACCGCTCACGCTTGTCAGGAACGCGACCGCTGCCAACCATGCTTGGTGGAGGTGATCTCGACGGCGATGAGTACAACCTCATACCGCTCAACTCCCATCCTGAGTTTCGTCCGGCACGCACTGTGGAGGCTGCATCATATGCGCCAGCGCCACGGAAGACTCTGACGCGTGCAGCGGACATGCGTGATGTCGCCGATTTCGTTATAGATTTCATCAACTACGACGTGAGCGACCGTCCTTGCTAATGTTTCTGCGTGCTAACATACCCATCTCAATCAGGTCCTCGGAATTGTGGCCATCCACTGGCTCATCATCGCCGACCAGAGCAACAAGTCAATATTCGACGAAGACTGCTTGACCCTGTCGCAGCTTCACAGCGATGCCGTCGATTTCCAAAAATCAGGACAACCCGTCGCACTCGACAGGATTCCAGCACTGCACTTCAGAGCCAAGGTGAGGACTCATGAATTCTATAAGTCTGGGGCGCGCTAACACGCAAGTCAGCCCGACTGGAATGCACCGGAGACCGTGAAAGCCAATTCGGCTAGATACTACAAGAGCCAGCGGGCTATCGGGCGCCTGGCCCGTGCTATCACGCTGCCCTCCTTGAAGGAAGCCGATCCAAGGTCCACGATCCCTCCGCTCAGCGATGAGTACAAAGACACCCGGTCTCATCGTGGAGAGGACATCGCGCACTGGTTCGCGGGAATCAGCATGGAGGATCACGACGATCCTGTCGTCCGTGGACTGTGCGCCTTGGTGGGCGACGAGTACGACAAGATCTCGCACGAGCAAAAAGTGTGGACGGAGCAGCTCTTTCAGCGCTATGCGAGCGAGCTCCGTGGCATATGCTCAGCGAACGCGCTCTTGCAGTCGCGTACCGCCATGTTGTCGGAAGAGGAAGCAGTAGTAGGGACGATCGCGCAACAGACGTCGCAGCCGCGGAAGCGGAAAGACCATATCACGAAGCTGCGCGAGCAGACCGACTTGCTGGTGAAGGGTATACGTGGGAAGCTGGCTGGGGGCGAGGACGACATGGCAGAGGATGAGCTGCGAAGGGCATGGCACGCCTGGATGCTGGCGTACCATAAGCGCAAGGCTGGAATCTTCGGGGCGCACAGTTTTGGATGGGTGGCGTTGGGCTCCATCTTCGAGACGCTGAAGGAGATCGAGGAGGGCGCATGAGATGCGCACCGGAGCGAGACGTGGATCCGACCAGCTGTCCAGTTCATGCATGTATATCAACCAAAAGCGATACGATATGCGAAAGAAGGATGATTAGAAACCATTGCATGATGCAGGTGTGTAGTGTAGAACCCAAGTTGCCGTCGAATATGTACATGTCGTAGCCCTGTCGCTAGTCACCCAAACAGAATCACCACGTCGCCCCATGACGACCACGTCAAGATACATCCCTCTGCCACTACCGCGGCCCTTGCATCCAACTCGTGAACGAACTGCCCGGCATGCCGTTCATACCACCGCCCATCCCTCCACCCTGCATCCCGCCGAACTGCTGCTGCTGTTGGCCGAAAGGCGACGGCTGCTGCTGTTGGAACGGCTGTTGTTGCTGAAATGGCGATGGCTGCTGCGACGGCTGCTGCTGGCCAAACGGCGACGGCTGAGGCGACGGGTTCCCAAACCCTGGCTGCGGCGACGGCGTCATTCCGTTCATCATGCCCGGCTGAGGTGACGGGTTCCCGCCGAAGCCAGGTTGTGGTGACGGCGTCAGGCCCTGCGCCGGCGAAAGGAAGGTCGGCTGCGAGGTGGGGGAGAGAAACTGTTGGGGCGCGGGGGATATGGGTTGCTGCTGCTGTTGACCGAACTGTTGTTGCTGGCCGAACGGCTGTTGTTGCTGACCAAGCTGTTGTTGACCGAACGGCGATTGTTGCTGCTGTCCAAACGGATTCATCCCCGTCGACATCATCGACAGCCCTGTCGGCTGCTGCTGCATCTGGCCGAAGGGGTTCAACCCGGCAGGCTGCGAGTTCATGCTCAGCCCCGTCGGTTGCGAGTTCATGCTGAAGCTGGTCGGTTGTGTCTGCATCTGCATCTGCCCGAACGGATTCAGGCCCGTCGGCTGTTGCTGCATCTGACCGAATGGATTCGGGGCCAACCCCGTCGCCTGCTGTTGCATCCCCCCAAGCTGCTGCATCTGGCCGAAGGGATTCGGCGCCAAGCCAGTCGGTTGCGCCTGCATCTGTCCGCTCATCTGCATCTGTCCGCTCATTTGCATCTGCCCGAACGGGTTCGGCGCGAGCCCGGTCGGATTCGGCGCGAGCCCAGTCGGATTCGGCGTGAAGCCTGTCGGCTGCGCCATCACCTGCAGTGGTAGCGTCGTGTTCTGCGCCGGCCCTTGCAGCTGCACGAGGTCGCCCCAGACGCCATTCTGCTGCTGCTGCTGCTGACCGGGTTGTTGCTGATTCTGCTGACCGGGCTGTTGATATTGCTGGCCCGCCTGCTGATACTGCTGCCCCGCCTGCGCCTGTATCGGCGCCGTGCTTGCGCGAGTCGGCACAGATCCCGGGCCCGATGAAGCGGTCGGCGCTGCCAACGTCGACGCGCGCGCAGGTGCGACGGACGTGCTCGGGCCCGCAGCGGATACAGAGCGCGGCTGGGGCGTGCTGCCTCTTGACGTCGGCGTGGTCGCGCGGACGGAGGCGGCAGAGCGGGAGGGGCCGAGCTTGGAGGCGACGATGGCGTGCTTGTCGAGGAAGCGCTTGTATTCGTATTTTGCTGGGAGGGAGGATGTAGGATGAGTGATAATGTAGAAGGGAACTTGGAGAAGGGCAAGGAGGATAATGTGTCACTCACCTCGGATATACTTCTCCATCTCGCTGTCGCGCTCCGGGTCGAGGGTTTGCGGTGGGGGAGGGTGCCGGACCTCATTGTTGTTGTATATCGCGTTCGACTTGATATTGCCCATTTGCTTCATTTGCTGTGGGTCTGGTGTGAGAATCCGTGTATGGGAGCCTAATGGGGCATCTTCTCACCTCGACCTGTTCCTTCGTCCACGAGTCCATAGTAAGACTCTTTCTTGGGGACAGTCAGCTTAGTCTGATCCGCCAAACGAAGTAGGGATTTTGTGGCGCTAGGACGCGGAGGGGGACGAAGGGTAAGCAACACTTACACTTTGGTAATGTGCGTGCCGATCTTGCGGTGTATGCTAGCGCAGTGGACACTACACGATTGGATGTGAGTGAGAATATGTTGTGTATTGAGCATGACGCGCACCAAATGAAGATTCCGAGGTTGTGGGAAGCCCATCGCGGGTTCCGTGCCTTGCAGTCCGCGCAGATGTCTACGTGTGCAATAGTCAAGCGCAAGGTGTTGTCGCAGCGTGGTTGGGGGTAAACAGTGCATGAATGAGTTTCCGAACGTCGTGGTCATTCAAGAAGCAGCGAGCGAAGCGAGAGGGAAGTATATGGACCATACGAAGTATCGGAGAACGGAGATCGTCAGTACATCCACTGCGTTGCAACACTAGAGACGCACCATTTCCCGGTAAAGTGGCCAGCTCAAGAAGAGTACGCTGATTACGATCCGCGGCGGCTTTGCTGACGGACATGATGCTCCTTCGACGTGTTGAAGATGATTATTGGTGAGAGAGGGGTATGAGTAAAGATGGGTTCCACGACAAGACGATGGGAGATTCCGGAAGATGAGAGTCGAGAGAAAGATTGCGAATGGGCGTGAATGCTGGTCGTCGTTGAAGCCGGGCCGAGCACGCTGCCGGTAACGTTTGAATGCGATCGGCGTGCACGCGATAGAGGGCGTACGAGGTCGGTGTGGTGGGCGCGACTAAGTATTATCCTCCGGTTGATATTGGCGACGTCGCAGACGTTCTGAAGGGGTTTCTGGCGATGCTTGAGAACGCGGCGGGTGACGACGGGGACGCGAACGATGAACGAGCCGGCGCGGGTGCCACCACGATCGCGCTGCGGAATCGGATTGCCGGCGCGGGGCACGTGCATATGTTCCCGCGGGGTCAAGTTCAACTTACGTCCTCCCTCCATCATTGCGGGGCAGAGAAGTCTGCTCGATATACTCTGCTGCTGCTGCTAATTCTCATCCTCCAGACCGCTTTGTGAGATGCCGAGCCTTCTGGACATACCAGCTGAGCTCTGCGAGGAGATCCTCTCCCATCTAATCAAAGCGTCCCATCTTGCATCCGCGGCGCTCGTCAGCAAGACCTTCCACGAATATTCCATACCTCTACTATATGAGCAGGTATACATCTACCATTGGCACGGCAACAGCAAAGCGAGGGTATGTGATGCCCCTCCAGTATCTATCGACCCACAACAGTGCCTGTAAAAGCTGTCATTTACGAACGATCCGTAGGTGGTTCTGCTCTTCATCACTCTCTCTCGAAACGCGCATCTGGCCTCCTATGTTAGGAAGCTAGGTAAGCGACTTGTTGCTCGTCTTGTCTAATTTCTTGCCTCTCGCCTTTTCTATTGATCGCCCACTAACAACCCCCAGTCCTTACCGGCCCACCCAAGATAATCGCCGCCGATTCCGAAGACCTCTTCACACGCGGCCTCAGAAACTGCAAAGCCCTCCGCTCCTGCACCTGGACGCGCGACGGAGCCCTCACCTCCGGGATTCTTGAGGCTCTCCAGTACTGTCCCGCGCTCACCTCCCTCGAAATCAACGGCCGGAGCGAATACAATTACCGCGTCGAGCTACTCCTAGGCTTCAGGAGGTTGGAAGAGGTGACGATCATCATGCCGGATGCGGGGGTGGTGGGGTGTATGGCGGCGTGGTTGGGATATGTAGGCGGCACGCTGAGAAGGCTGACGTTGATCTGTAAGGTGGGTGAGGGTGGAGAACTCCCTGCTAGAGAGGAACGAAGGTTGATGATTCCTTTTCTGTAGGCTTCTCCCCTGATTACGGACGACACGCTCAAGACGTGGGCCCCGCACCTCGCAAATCTGGAGCATTTCTCGCTTGTTGGGTGCCCGAAAGTCACACACGAGGGTATATGGAGCGTCATATCGAGCAACAAGCACGGCATTCGCAGCCTGGGATTGGAGGGTCTTGCACTTCGCTTTGTGAGTCGTCGAACATCTGACCTTCCCCTCTAATCCGTCACAAACGCTTATTTGCCTTTTGCTCGCAGAGTCTCGACTCGCTCACCGCTCTCTGCACGCGAACCCCCGTCCTCGCACGCCTTACCTCCATCACCCTTACAATTGGACCTCATATGCCCGTCAAAAAGTTTTCAGATGAGGCGCTGGCGCTCCTGACCCCGTGCCCCCTCGAGCGTGTCCACACTTACTCAACGGGGAAGGTTATCGGGCTGAACGATTCGAGGTTTAGCATAGAAGAGGGCGACGAGGAAGCCACCATGGACGCCCTATCCACCCAACTGAGCAGTCTAATCGTCTCGGGGACGCATCAGTCGGCGGCAATCACGTCTCAGCCGTCCGCCCCCAATGCTAACCCGACGATCAGCACGACCACCTCAACTCAAAATGCTTTGTCTTCGACCGCCGACGCTTTTCCGCACTCCAATCCCACCGACTCCTTCTGCCTCCGCCTCGTTGCTCTGCATAGTCATCGCCTCACCCGCTTCGCGGTCTACAAGATGGTGCTCAGCCTGCAGGCGATCGATGCGATATGCGCTGGGTGCCCGAAGTTGGAGCAGTTGTTTGTCGTGGTCGAAAGGGGGGAGATGGTGAGTGGTCCTTCCGGGCTAGCTCTTCATTTGGGCGAACTCGTGCTTACAATAATGTCCAGACCACGATCGCCTCCTCCCTCGCCAAAGCGCCCCGACTGCGCTCCGTGCATATCAATTTCCCTCAGGACGCGCACTCCCCGCCTCTGGACGCGAATATCATCGAGGCACTCGTCGTGCCTCGCTGCGGATCGTCACTCAGGCAATTTGGCTGCAATACAAAGGTTTGGCAGGTGAGTAAGCATGATTTCCATCAGCTTTCTATGGAGGGATGCTGTGGGTTTGACTGCGGAATATGGTATGCATCGTTGACAATGGGGGTGGTCGGCGGGGTCGATTCGCCGCCTTCGGAGGAGGGTTTTAGCGACGTCACGGTTTGGTCACGGTTGAAGTTCGCTTGGGCGTGACGGCACGTGCAATGTCACGTCGCGTTGCCATTGTTACGCGTCCGGGCCAGCCGCGGCGCCCTCCTCCCGCTCCTTTGCCTCTGCCTTCATTCTGCTTTTGACGTACTCGGGCTCTCCGCTTGGCGACGTGTCTGTCTCTCTTCTTCTGTTACGGGACATCCCTGCATTTCCCTGGACGTATTTAAAGCTCTGACTCGAACCCCGCTCCTTGCGATGTGTCCTACCTCGAACGAGTTCTCTGACGCGACATCGTTCAGATCGAGCGAACGGTCGAGAGGAAAGCCGATGGAACTGACGAAATTCGGACGCACTTAGGCCCGTATGAACGACTGGAGGTGCCGGAGCAATTTCTCGTCGTGCGCGCTTGATGGTTGCAGCCTCCCGCCCTCCGACGGACGTCAGCACGTCAAGGACGACGGCTTCACGACGAGGCATCCGAGCTTTGACGCACTTCTCGGACTCGCGAGGCCTTCCCTCACCTCGCCTACGCGCCTCAGTACAGGTCATATGGGAAAGTACAGTACGGTACAGCACATCCCCACCTCGATAGAGCCATATCACACCAAATCGACGCGACGATGCACACGATAAATTGAATGCACACGTCTTTGAGACGGAACAAGACGCTGACAAGACGGGGCGGCATCCTCAGCTTGCTGCACGCCGATCTCCGGGCCGCGTTTCCAGGCGTTTCGCCCGAGCCAAGCCGCGCCCCCTAGACTCGCGTGGCCAGTCCAGCTCGCAGCTCACGGATCACATGGCGGTTCGCGAGGAATTGCCAATGTGATCCGCGAGCTTGCGAGCGGACTGGGCTACTCCGGGAGGGTTTTGGCGGGCCCGCCAAAAGATGCGTTTGACTTAGTGAGATTCAACGCTGGCCCGCCACGCTCCGTCGACGTGAATCTTCCTCATCCGTTGTGACTTCAGACTGTGGCCGGAAAATCGTGGTATTTCACTCCAGTAGATGTAGGGAATCCAGTAAATGAAAATATTGAGGCAGAAAAAGCAGAAAATGGCAACATACACGACTTTTTGAATCAATGGACCCAAAGATCTGAGCAGGGTCTTACTAGGAGTTGTTTGTGGGGATGAGGGAGACTGGATGATTGTCCTGTATTAACGTTAAGAGGTAGTCAGCCAGAATGGAGGAGTGTACGAGAGCATCAGCGAGCGAGCAGGCCTTCACCTCCACCTCTTCCTCGTCTACTCCTCCCGCCTCTTCGCCACCCGCGGCTCGTCCGCGCGCTACTGCTTGAGCCGTCGGTGCTCCTCCTGCCGCCTTAGCCGGCCGAGCCGCTTGCGACCCGAGATCTCGCGCGCTGTGCTCTCCTGCTTCCCGTGCCCGATGTTTGCGCTGCTGCCGCTCGGATGTTGCATGCTCGATCTCGAGCTCGAGGAAGGCCTTGCGCGCAGTGTCTTGCTCTTGCTCGCGGCGCCGCTCGACTTCGCGTTCTGCCTAGGGGCGACGCTGGCGCTCGTCTTCGTGTTGAAGGGCTTCCTCGGCCTCGCAGTCATGCTGGGGCTGCTGCTCATTGCAGCGGCATGCGCGCGCTTGGCGGGGTCGCGAATGATGACGACGGAGGCCCATTCGTGAGAAAAGGGAACAGCGTGATGCTGCACGGGCGGCAGAAAGGGCGTCCGATGCGCGAGCGCGGACTTGCGCGACAGAGCGACGAAGGCACTGGAGATGTCCGTGGATTCCCGCGGCAACTCGATCATGGTCGGCGTGCACACGTCGCCGCTGTGCGCGTCACTCGCGGACAGCGCGTCACTCGTCGTGAAGGACAGCTGCTCACATCTCCGTCCTCTGACCTCAGCAGCAGCAACGGTGTGGGCGAAAGGTTCGTGATGTGTGCGTAATAGCGATCTGCGAAGGGTGCTTTAGTAGTTGCTCGCGTGCACAGGGTAGTGGGCGAGTACTCGTGTGTCACGGAGACGACGGGATCCGCGCCGTCTGAGGTGCCGCTTACCGACGAAGGAGGAGAACGTGCTCCTCACGCGCGAGCGCAAAGGGAGCGGCAGCAATTGCAACCGAGGCAAGGAATCCTGCGCGAAGAAGGATCGGCGCGGCAATTCGAACTTGTCTGCTTCATGATTGGCGAGGGCGGCAGTCCTTGATGGTGCTCTGATTAACGTCCGCGCTGAAGCCGCTGTCGGAGGATCAGACCAGCACCTGCCCGATCGATGACAAACGTGTTGCGGGTGTCGGAGAGGGCTTGGGAGATAGCGGTGACGGTCGCCACGGTGGGCGTTGTCCACCTGGCCCAGGGAGACCATTGAGACGAGCGGGACATGAGAGCGGCCTCGTGTGTACTTTGAGCGGTGCGTCGAGGCGACGCGAGTGGACGTGTGTGTGCACTGAGAGGGGGAAAGTCAGCGGGGGGGATTATGTTAGAGGGGAAGGGTGAGGCGTACCTCGAACACCTGCAGATGCGTGCAGGATGAAGAGCTGGATGTAGACAGATATGTGCTAGAAAGGATTGGCTGTCCGTACAGGGCGCTGTCGTATACGCACGGCAACCTGCCAGACCCTCAATGATTGAAATTTTGAGGGTTGGGTAGCGCAACACACCTTGAGTAGTATCCCTTGCTCCCAAAGCTCAATGAATGTGACCTAGATTTGAGGCTTCGATGGTGATGTCCGACGAGCCGTGGGGGCGGAGGGGTTGCGCGCTTCGGCGCGAGGAAGAGATCGTGTGATGGGGAGGGTGTCTCCCGGGGGCGCCTGCTCGATCATGGGTAGCATTGAATGTAGTCAGGCTGAGCCAGCTCCCGACGTAGTGAAGGGGCTCAAGAACGGCAGGGCGCCTGATATCAGGGAAGACAGATGATGTCGACTTGCTTGATAGCGGCGACAGGCAGATAACCCCGTCTCCATCGCCTTCACAGGCGTTTGCGTAGCCTGGGCGTCATTTGGGGAGACGAGATGGCTAGAGTGCTTGGGATGGGAGTATTGACCAGTCCGGCTCGAAGAGTCGTGATGGTGGTCGAGGAAGAGAAGCGTCGGCATTTTCCGTGCTGCCCATTCGGCCTCTTCAGCCTCACGTCGCGCGCTCGACAATGAACATGGCTGAGATACGGAAGATACTATATGTCGCCATCTACATCACTCTCACTGGCTGAATCCCGAGCTCCATAAGACCCCTCAGTGTCATAGTCTTCGGGGTCCGAGTCGTCCGCCTGTCCTACTTCCGCTTCCAGATCGTCACCCTCCTCGAGCAAGTCCCCCAACTCCTCTAAGGTGAACTCAGCCTCCATCTCCTCCTCCCCCTCGACGCCATCTTGCTCTTCTGCCTCGCTGTCCTCCTTTCCCTCCGCATCCTCCGCCTCCGCTTCCGGCTCTGGATCATCTAAGGCCTCCCTAAGCGGAATCAAGACCGTTGGTGTGGTCCCATCGAGCTGCATGCTTCCCAAAATTCCGGCACGGCCTGCAAAGAAAGGATCTGTCACCTTCCTAGTTGAGAAGCGTGAAGAGACGACTGACCAGGAGTGCCAGCATTGGGCTGACCGAAGGCTGCCTGAGGCGGCGAAAGCGCCGATTGCTGGCGCGGCACCAGGGGCGGGACACGTCGACGCTTTTGAAGAGCCAAGAAAGCTTCGTTGTACTTCTTCAGAGGGGATGTGGCGCCGTGCGTGAGCTGGGTATGCCCGATTGCCACAGCATCTGGTACAGCACCCATCGCATCGTCCTCGTCTAGCATTCGTCCGAGCTGCACCTCATGAACTTGATGGTGGGCAAGACTTCTCATCAGCTCGTTGATGTCCTCCGTCAAGTCGGGGATCGCGTGCTTTTTCCCTTGACGAGCGCCCAGTGTCCGATTGACATCGTTGTTGAGTTGGCGCAAAATCGTTACGCACGGGCTAACGGCGCCAGTCCATTCCCAAGACGCGTTACTGCCGTGCGCTTGATAGAAAGCCTGCGTGATGGTTTAGCTAGATCTGGCGAGGGTCGAAGACAAGAACTACGATACCTTGATCAGCAAGTTATTATGTTCCTGTAATAGATCCACTGGGTGATTCGCGTTCGGCTTGCCACTGGGGTTGACGAGCCAATTATCGAGTACTGCATTACTATGTGTACCTGTAAGACTCGGAAAACGGAGGGAGGAGATTTCATGCGTACCGAATCGCCGGTGGCCAGACGTGTGTTAGGTTGTGGATGAGGTACAACACCTCTGTGGCGTACCGTGAGCGCCCTTGAGCGCGGAAACTGAAGGCCCACTTCTTAAGAACGAGGATGATGCGCCCCGAGTCTCCAGCCTTGATTGCATCGTTGAATTCTCGCAGGAGAAGCGCATCTCGAATGAAGAGGATCGCGTTCTCATAGACCATGTCGCCGTGGTCTTTCCCATACTTCAATCGTGCGCGACGGAGCTTGTCAACAGCACGTGTGTCTGTGAACTGCCGAATGACCTGGCGAGCGAGCTCCTTCAAGTCCTGCCAGGTAAGGCCATCACAGAGCGCGTCGAGCGAGGCCTTCCCCGATACGCGCAGGAGGCAGTCGAGGATGCGAGCACCAAGCGAGTCGAATGCCAGGCCTTTGAGAACGTGATAGGGAGGAAGGGAGGTCGCCACAATTGGCTTGCGTCGCAGCAGTGTGTTGTGAGCTTGAAGCGAGGCGGGGTTCGAGACGTCGTGGTTGACCGATCCCAGGTGCGCATATATAAGTGCATTTACCGCCGCCATCTGGTAATGGAAGAACCCAGGAACAAAGACCGGCCAGCGTAGGGCATTAGGTCCCCCTTCATGACCGGCACGGGCAGCGGCGACTTCTCGAAGACGAGCCATGGATAATTGATCGCCTGCCACCAAGCACGCGACATCTGCGCGTTCATTGTACTTGAGCTCGGTCATTGCTGCATTGATGAAGTCTGCGTTCCCCTTCTTCGAAGACTCGTCGATGGGATAGGTCGGCAAGGGATGGACCTCGGAAGTATGGATGGGAATGATGTGAGATGAGAGCGGCTGTGTGTCTAGAACGCGCTGACGGAATTTCTCCATACCAGGACCACCGTAGCGTACAGCAAGGCGCAAGACGGTATGCACCAGGAAGTTGTCAAGCTGCCGCACCTCCTCTTCGGTGAGTCGTATGTCATCGATGGAGAGCGGCAAGGCCTTGTCGAACGCGCGATCCAGGTCTTCCGTCCTCATGTCTGATGGCTTCTCACCACCATGTAGTGGCACGACGGTCGCGCACGTCCCGCTTTCTACAGAATCTGAACTTGCCTTGAGTGGGGTGCTGTTTTAATCAATGAGGAAAACATACCTGTACGTCCGATGATCTGCTCAGCAACCTTCCAGCTCATGTTAATGTTGTCGTAGGCTACCAAGAAGGCATGGGCAGCTACAAGCTCCCTCGTGAGCTCGCGCATCGACAACGAAAGCTTCTCCAAGGTTCCCAACCTGGCGTGGCATGTCTTGCGCTTCACAGCCACTACCGCAGGCGCCGAGTTCGTCGGATCTGCCTCCTGGTCGCCACGCGCATGAACTTGACCGGGCTCGGCAGGTTCTTCATCGTCGGAGTCCATAGTAGGTGAGCCATCGGTGGTGGCAGATGCTGTCCCGGTACCAGGTTGATCGGTCTCTCCCTCTGGTGATGCTATATCATCCCATGCGAGAGACTTGCCACCGCGACCTGCCAGAGTGACATAGCTGACGCTAACACCCAGATGATTGAGAACCGTGATGAGCTGACGAGTTGCGCCCGAGGCGAAGAGATAGAGGCCGAAGACGTGCCGGAAGTACGAGTTCGCACGGCTGTGCTCGCCCAGCAAGAGAGTTGCGTATGCTGCAGTGACCTGAGGGTGTGTCAGTCAGTGGTGCAGTACCTTCTGCATGCAACTTACGAATCGCTTGTGCGCAAGCTTCGCAGGTGTGCAATCCTTTACTTGACGAGCCGTTGTTGTGATGCTCGTAAGGATCCTAAGGATGAGTGGGCAGCGCTCTTGAATCCGTTTTGGTAAGTCTGCAAACTTGTAGCCAAGTACAAAGTCCTGATCAACCTTTGAGGGTGGCCGCAGAGAGCCGCTCTTCGTGATTGCCCTCGCTTCGTCTCCAAGCAAACGTTGGATGACATTCAGCATGCCGTCTACCGCCGTCGAGCGCGCCGTAGGTGAGTTCTTTTTGGTAAGCGCCATCCATTCAAGCGCTTGATGGACCGTCGACCGATGCTTGAACAGGTTGTGCCACCGCCATCCACGCGTCGTGTTCCCTTTGGGGTCGAGCACGTACAGCAGCAGTTCACCAAACGAGGCGCCACTCTCTTCAACAATGTCGAGCGCAGCTTCGAACGCAGCTTCCTTCGCACGCGCCTCTGCCTCGTGTGCACGCCGTGTACTCTCCTCTCTGACTTCCTTCTTCCGCGCGAACGTATGGTGTCTTTTTTTGTGTCCTCTACGCTGACGATCTTGAGGTCCGCGCGGAATAGAGGAGCCGGCAAGTACGCCTGGGTCGCTTCCATCCGCATAAAGGAGTGTTTGACCGACGAGATGAGCAGGGGTGTGAGGGGGGGAGTGCGCTTCTCCTTCGTTGTTCTGTAGGACCAGAGGCGTGAGGCGATGCGATTCAGGCCTAGGTCCAGCAGGTGTGGCTTCGGTCCAAGTGAGTGACAATCTCGTATAGAATGTGCGCGATGACTTACGAGATGAAGGGGTACTTGACGAAGTGTCACTCCCGTATAGCATAGCAGCAAATATATCGTCCTCCTCGGTGTCATTCTGTACGAAGACATCATTCAAGCCCGGAGGAGAAGACCTCAGTGGTGAGGAGTCGATTTCCCGGGCATTGGGTGCCTCGCTCGATGGCAACTCGGTCAATGGCGAGCCCAAAACTGAACTGAGCGCCATCTCTTTGATTTGAGGACCACAATCAACTGTGAGCGAGGTCACTGAGGCGTTTCATAGGCTGCAGGGTATCCGCCAGGCAGTCAGGTAGGTGAGTGCAGTGGACGAAACGGCGGCGGAAGCATTTCTAAGTAACGTGG